CCCCTCTCCCCTCTCTATCTCTCCCACACACACATAATAGCGCTAAGACGTCGGTGGAAAGTGCTTTATAAGCATCGTTTTTATTATTGTTATTATTATTATAATTATTATGCACATCAACAACATTTTGGCCCCTTTTACAAGTTTTGAGATTTTCACCGTGCAAATCCCTGCAACGCCCTTCAATTATTTATTCTATTTCTTACTGAAAACAGAGGAGGAAAGCAGCAGCTACCTGTCTAGCGGCCCCTCAGGTAATGACGTCACCAGTGACGACGAGACGAGGTCACAGGTTGATGAAGTTTGTGTTGATGAGATCGAGACCATGCTTTTGATCTCCCTGATCTGGACCTTGATCCGCATCCCCTTATATGGCGTCTTCCAGGCCGGGCTCCAGTTCGTGAAAGGGGAGGAGGATGAAATGGACGTCGACGAGGAGAGAGCCGTGGTCGTCCATGGAGAGACAAGATATCGTATCCCCGAGGTTTGTCCATGATAAATTTGATAATGATAATGATAATAATAATAACAATTATAATAATGATAATAATAATGGTAATAATGATAATACCATGATTAATAACAATTACAATAACAACGATTATCAAATACAAGTACACTCCTTTCCTAAAGCAACCATCTCATTCAGTCAATGATTTTATATTTACTTTCTCAATCAGGCTACCCAGAAAGATATCCTGGAGGAGGAGGAAGAGGAGGAGGAGGAAGAGGAGGAGGAGGAAGAGGAGGAGGAGGCAGAGGAGGAGGCAGAGGAGGAGGAGGAAGAGGAGGAGGAGGAAGAGGAGGAGGAGGAGGAAGAGGAGGAGGAGAAGGAGGAAGAGGAGGAGGAGAGGAGGAGGAGGAGGAAGAAGAGGAGGAGGAGGAAGAGGAAGAGGAGGAGGAGGAAGAGGGGAAGGAGGAGAGGAAGAGGAGGAAGAAGAGGAAGAGGCGGAAGAGGAGGAGGAGGAAGAGGAAGAAGAGGAGGAGGAAGCGGAAGAAGAGGAGGAGGAAGAGAAAGAAAAGGAGGAGGAAGCGGAGGAGGAGGAGGAGGAGGAGGAGGAAGGAGGAGGAGGAGGAAGAGGAGGAGGAGGAGGAGGAGGAGGAGGAGTAGTTGTAGAGATGGGCGTCGATGAACGAGGATGAATGACATGGAGATACAACTATCATCAAGAAGCTGTTTTGTTGCTCTGGTGAAAACAAAGATGTAAGCCAATCATCGGTGAGCTTTACTCCCTCCCCTCAACCCCCCCACACTTTGATTGGTCATCATGATGGATTTAAATAATTGAAGATGTTAATAGTTAATAAAGAGGTTGGCAATATCTAAATTATCGTAGACTTGTTTTAACATGTTTTAAGTTAAGAACTTCCATAGGCTGGTCAACACATTATTGTTTTAAATATTATAATCATTCCAATAAAGAAATAAAAGGAAATACAATCAAAATTCATCTCAATGATAAGGCTCTACACATTAGGACTATAATAAATTGTCAGCCTCACTGCTGCTTCATTATTGCATGGAGCGCCGTCTTTTTAGCATGCCACACAGCTTAGAAAAACTACAAACATGAACACTGAAAGTTAGTGAACCCTACTCTGCATTTTCATGTCATTTAAACAGCAGCATAAGCGAGCCGCCATCCTCACCAGCCGAGCCTCCTGCAAATCGGCTACCAGACAGCGCTGTGTAACATCGAAGCCTCGACAATGTGCATGAATGAAATTGGATGCATCTCAAGTTTATTCCTTGGTAATAAACGCGGTGATTGGGATCATAATGATGGTGGTCTGATCTGTTGCATTGGCGGAATAAAGGTGAGGAAACCTTATTTTCAAAGTAAGTATTTTCTAGCTCCTTTCTTAAAAAGTACGAGAATAATGTGGGCTAATCTGTAATGACAAACCTAATATACATGTGACATTTTAACCTTCGTATTATGAATACGAATTAAATAAAACGATTTAAAAAAAAATTATGTATACATGTATATATCACTTTTTTCTTTCTCAATTGTTTTACCATTACAGGAATCTAAAGCAACATCAGCAACATAAATCACTGCGTGCTTCTCATCAATCTACCGCATTATCATTAGTACAGCCAACAGTTAGAATTGTGCCATTATAGATTAAAACAAATAATGGTTCAGCTTTGGATAAAAGTGCAGTTGGCAAGAAAGTACGGTTAACAGAAAATCGGCAAACTTGGACGAAGATAGCAGAATGTGTCCATCATGTCAGCCTCTCACACAGGAGTTGATGGAGTCAGTCTTCTTATCAGCGGTCCGCCCAAACGTAAACTGGCATCAGTTTAAAAAATGAAGTCTAAACTAGAGATGACATCATGCAGACAAACCTCGTCTGTATACATCTAACATTTTACTCAAAAAGATAAACAATAAGGAAACAAGGCGAAGGAAACGAACCGAAGTGTTTCGGAAAGATGCAAAAATCCTAACTTGAAATCAGGAAATAGTTTCCAGTGACAGAAATGAATTACAAGGCAAGCTGCAAAGAACTTTTATAAAGTATGAATGGCCCAAACTGTTGGTCATGTCTCATGGAAGAAACATTTTTTAAAATGTAATGATCTAAACATAGATTAGAATGATTAAAGTATAAATAAAGGGAAGACAACGTGTCAGCAATATTATGATGAACCTATTGTGTATGAGATTGATCCGATGAACTTCATAGCCGAATCCGTACCAACTTAAAAAAAAGTCAGAAAAATATCTAGCGCCAAATCCTTGAAAAATTATTGTGATTATAAACTTAAGATAAAAGCAATAAATTATGAAATACTTCAAAACATTATGTTTGATGTCGTTGTGTTTGCTTGTTTGTCTATTTTTTTCTTTGACAATCATTGCAGTTGAACGAGTGATGAAAATTATAATATTACTATCCGATTCAAGTTTAATACTCATTTTAGATAGCTATATAGAATGATAAATAGATAGACAGAAAGATTGATGAAGTAGATAGATCATGAAAGATAGGTAATAGCTACATAATAATGATATGGTAGATAGGGAGAGATTTGAAAGAGAGAGAGAAGAGAGAGAGAGAAAGAGAGAGAGAAAGAGAGAGAAGAGAGAGAGAGAGAGAGAGGGCGAGAAAGAGAGAGGAGTAATATAGGAAGAGAATGGGAGAGAGAGAATTATGAAATATCCTGTCAACACATGCGCTGCGATCTGTTATCGGTGAATGATCCTCATATCCCTTTATTTTTAATATTTTATTTTAGACTTGTCATTCTATTCTAGGCCTATACAGTGCGTCCCAGAAAATACGAAACCGAGAAGTATCAATGTTCTATCATAACTTAATCACAACTATAATTAATGAATGATACATATTTGGAATTTGCTTTTAATCACTCATGCGTGAAATATGCATCACGTGAGTAGCATTAACTGAAAGAGGAGACTCTAAGCTTTCCAAATATGGTTGTGATTAAGTTATGATAAAACATCGATACTTCTCGGTTTCGTTTTTCTGGGAAGCACTGTATACTATTTTAAATGAGAAATATCAATTACAACATACTGAAAAGGTACGAATTATAGTCGTAAATGTGAATGTCATTGACATGTATAAATGCGAACGTTCAAAATTAATGATAAATATTGTGTGGCACCCGCTTTCGACTCTATTTGACTTGATAAAATATAGGGTAATAATTCCAAAGCTATTTGGAAGCGCATAGACACGTTATAATGTGATACAACCGAATATTATTATATTATTATTTATTGATTTCCGGGGGAGAGGTACTCTTATTTGGTTTAGAATTTTAGATGGGGGAAGGCCGCTCAAGCCTCGATCGAAATCCCTATCCATATTTACCGGGTTATTTGGGGGGATTTTTCTCGAAATAAAGGCCCATTTTGAACATTTTGAAAAAACGGACCCATGTTTAGTGATATTTTTGTTAAAAATGGGACCCATGTATCGGGATTTTTTGGTGTGAAAAAGTGACCCATTAGAGCGGCACACCCCCGTATGCTGTATACCCCCCTCCTGGATTTATTTCCGTTTCAATATGAGCATGTTAAGCACGTACAAAGTACATACAAGTTCTATAAGTGGCATACCTTACATAAAACAAAGTACATGATTGTAATAAGCGTACCAAAGACAAAATAGAAAAACTGAAGAAATTACAATGATAAAGGAATATATCCGAATTGATAAAATTCGGATATATTCCTTGACAGTCAGAGAAGAGAAGTGAATGACATGTTATATGATTGAAATTTTTATTCTTCTGTCGGTTCATACTCTTTCATATTGTATATACTTATGTTTTCGTACGTTTATATAGAAATTCTACAAATTCATCATTATTTTCCTCTTCTTCCTTCTCTGCTTTTTCTTCTTCTCCTTCTTCTTTTTCTTCTTGTACTTAATATCTTTTCTATCATCAGTTTAATGTTGTTATTATTATTATTATTATCTTTAATAAGTAGTTCTTTTAATTTTCTTATCTGTCTGTAAATATTTCTATTTTAACTTATTAATTTTATACATGTCTGTAAGGGACCCCACTGGAAATAAGCTCTCGAGCTTTTGTGGGTTATCCTGTTCAAATTGACTTATTTTTGATCTGTTATTATTGTATATTGTTGTATGTTGGAATCTTGTCGAATAAAAATCAATCAATCAATCAATCAATCTATCAAAAAGGAAAGGCTACACCCTGTGCTCCTTTTTATTTCTGTGGGCAGGGGGAGAGGGGGGGGGGGCGTAGTTGTCTGGGGTAATTGTCCAGGGGTAGTTTTCCTGATATGCTGGATTAATCTTGACATCATTCTGTTTGATTTCTAACTTATCAGGGAATCCAGGGCATAGTGGGCGTGGTTGGAGTGGAGCTGAGCTACATTTTATACCTGGGCGCGGCACGATCAGTGTGGCAGCTCAGCGGCGCGGCGCAACTACTGTACACCGTACCGGCGTATACCACGGCTCTTATTCAACTGTGATAGGCACGTGTATCATTTACAGGCTCATATAACTGTATTTACCTCGTTTTCAAAATGGCTTTTGCTACGAACGTAATCTCCCGCAGTATGGTAACGTCTGCAGCAAGAATGGCAGCTATCAAGAATGTAACAATCGTCGGCGGAGGTCAAATGGGTGCTGGTATTGCGCAGGTAACTTAGTCTGGCTCTATTTTATTGTAGACTGTAGTCCCACATGATCATTCAGATGTGTGTTAATTGAGAATCTATCTATCTATAGGCATTACCCCCAAAAAGTAGAATTTGAAGTCTGTACAGTTGATTTGGCCTTCCTTGTATGTCTTTGTTGACTGGAAAGGGGTTGTGTGTATGCAAGAAAGATTCGATTTTGTTTCATTATCTGAAATTTTGGTTGATGCTCACAGTCACAGATCAAAAAAAAATTCCACGCGTTGGCCATTGCTTGTCAAACTCGAACTTCATTCAAAATTTAAATGTCATGAAAATAAGAATTTTTTAAACTTAAAAAAAAGTCAGACTTAAACTTAAGTGAAATACTTGAACCTTTTAAGGATGCTGACAAAATTTCTAACAATAAGAGGGTGTGACAATTGACTGAAATATGATTTTGGTATCATATCGGAAAATCCCAAGCTTTCTCCTCACTTCGCACGAATATCTGATAACATTGAGTGAATGGCAGCCAGCGATAGCCAATAAAAAGGGCGCTTGTTGGCGCCAATTTAGGAAAATGAGGCTGCTATTCGCTGAGATCGGATGATCGTTATACGGATGCGCTAAATGTAAGCTAAAGTTCTTCTACATGTGTTGATAACTCACTGAACTATTTAGAATAGGCCTAGTACAAAGTACAGGGTCTATTCCTACCTTATCTCTAACATCATTTGGCAAGACACTAATCTACAATTGCCACATTTGACCATGGTAATGTAAATGTCCATGTCTCCTTTGCCCGAACTCTGCTATTCCAAACCACATTCTACCCAGATACTATCCGACTGTGGAGCTCCTTACCATCTGCTGTCGTCGATTGCACCTCTTTGAAACTTTCAAGCAGAAGGTGCAACACATTGAGCTCCGTTGAGCTTCAGACTGTTTTTAGCTGCACATAGAATTCTTGTAGAGCCTTAAATACTTGCACTGTACACTCGGCACTTGACAAGCACAAGGTATGATAATACGCCAACGGCGGTCTGTTCTATACTGGAAGAAGAAGAAGAAAAGTACTTGGCAGTAATCATTCCTGTAAAATTGGAGTGCCTGGAGACCTTAGTGTGACAGACACAAGTATAAAACCCACTATTATCATTATTTGGAATCTGCTGTATTATTAAACTTGAAATATTTACTTGTCATTTAACAGGTAGCAGCACAGACCGGACATGCTGTTACAGTGGTGGACCTGAGTCAACAAGTCCTAGATAACTCTATGGCCTATATCCAGAAGAGCTTGGCTCGCATCGCAAAGAAGAAATATGCTGAAGACCCAGCTGTAAGTCTTTTCATAATTTTTCTTAAAGGGACTTGGTAACATTGTTCAGATGAGAGAAAGTGGTGCTAAGGTAGTGACTTAAATGCTAGATGTTTAATCAAAGATAATCTGAAAGTTTGAGTGAAAACAGACCATTATTAAAAATAAAAATTGGGGAAAACTGATCTGATCGATTCCTTAATTCTCCCAACTATATTATTACAATTTAATTACATTTTAGGTGAATGTAAATCGTCACAAAGCAATGAATTGGCTCTACATGTATACCATTCCAGACATTAAAGTGTTGACAGATTTGTTATAGCCTGTATTATGACTTACCTGTATTTTCAAGGAAAAACGGTTGGGAAAATTCAAAAATGGTTGGGAGAGTATATTGTTAATCATTGTTAGAAGGTGTTGACTAGTGACACCTTCATAGAAAACCATAAATATCTTTGTGGTTTGAGGATTTTCTCAGGATTTTTTGCCTGTTAGAGGGTTAGTACAGTAGAAGGAATATAATACATGTCATACCAAAATTACACAATCATCAATCTTCCAGAATGTTACCGAGTCACTTTAAGCTTCCACTTTCAAGGTGTCCGATTAAGTGCTAATTCATAAGGTTATCTATTATACTGAAATTAGAAATTGCAATGCAGAGTGTGATGTTTCAAAATTAATATTTTCATAGTCATAGTTCAGTGGTTTAAACACTTGACTTGAGATGTGGAGGTCATGGGTTCAAGCTCTGGTGCAGCACTAGTTTGTTTGGCATGACAAACATTTAAAGTTGCCTCTCTCCACTTAGGAGCTAAATGGATACCTTTAGGAAGGAATTCTTTAAAAACTCACTGAAATACATGTAGGAAGTTAAGCTAGTGCTGGGGTAATACTAGAGCACCTTGAGAACCTTTCATTTCATGAGCGCTACAAATATATAAACTGAATTGGCAAGAGGAAGCGAAAAATTAATATTTTCCTTTGAAGCCCCTCTGTCCTACTTGTAGTTACTTGCTCCCTCTAACTTCTCAAATCGGTGCCTGTTGGTCCCCCATGATCCTCTTTTTCTTATGTTAGTTGAGAGCTGAGTTTGTGAGATAGCCACCTGTCAGTGATCTGGCTGGGTGGTCTTATCCCCTCTGGCCCAGTAGTATTGACGGTCTTTAAAGAATTATAACACTTATATTTCATAATTGGACATAATAATGTTTTGGCCATACACATTTACCCTCGGGATCCTACGTATAGGGATCCTGTGTATTTTAAAAACAAATCTCTCAAGGTAAAATATGTCACAGAATATGCTATCAATCTAAAATTCTTCAAACTTCTCATTTCTCCCCTTTTCTCCTAGGGCGGTACAGAGTTTGTAAACTCAATCTTAGGGAGCATCAGTATGGTAACAGATGCCGAGAGCGCAGTGGGTTCATCAGATCTCGTCATCGAAGCCATCATTGAAAACATCAAGATCAAGCAAGACCTCTTCAGCAAGTTAGATAAAGTAGCACCAGCGTAAGTTGCTATCAAAACCCTTTTTTGTATCCAGTCCACTCTAATCAAATCCAAAATGTTTGACATAGCACCGTTCCCATACATTTCAAAGAAATTCATGATGATAGACACAGCTTATTTTATCCAGAAGTGTAGGACTTTATTCACTCTTTCCAATTGATGGAGTACCAAGTGTTGCATAGTTTTTGTTAATCTGTACAGATTAATGTAATTCTCTTACAAAATGTATAATACATCATATGTGAAATTAATCTGAGAAATTAATTTCTTGATTTTTGCTGTATTTAAATAGTTTTAAAAATTGTGGTAATTGCCATAGAATTTAGAGGTTGACTTTTATCCTCTTTTTTTTTTTTTCTTTCCCATTAACAGAAATACAATTTTTGTCAGCAATACCTCTTCATTACAAATCTCAGACATTGCAAGTGTGACGTCAAGAAAAGACAGATTTGGTGGACTTCACTTCTTCAATCCAGTATCCATGATGAAACTTGTTGAGGTAATAATAATAATCTGGATTTATAGCATGCTTGATACAGAATACCGTCTCTAAGTGGTTTACAAATATTATTACCCGATCATCAGGGTTCATTCACGCACAATGTGCACCAATCTTGACTCCATGTTAAGTATTCCTACCATATCATGGTCACCATGAAGGCATAGGCAATTACTAACACAAATGCTTTCCCCATCCTACCGGTTCCCCATTTCTCTCTTGGGTATTGAGTGGCAAATTTAGATTAATGCCTTGCCAAAGGACATTAGTGCCATGTCAGGGATTGAACCCACAACCTTAGAATTTCATAAAGAGAAGGATATACATGTAGACATCGACAAACTAGGTCATGAACGAATGACGTCACAGGATTTTGCGTAAACCACTCAACTATGACAATTCTTCAATCTATTTGACACATCACCTGCTGAATGTAAAAGGTTAACGCAGACTGAATGCCCTTCTAACTTCAGCAGCGGATGTGGTCAGTTCTTCACAGGATTCTAAAATTGTCATATCCATGCCTCCTCCCCCCCCCCCCCTCCCCCTGTACATCTGCCCAAAAAGGGAGAACAAACGTTTATTGGTAGAGGGAAAATTGGGTGACTTTGGGTGACGTCAAGAAAAGATATATTCAGTGGACTTCAATTCTTTAACCCTGTATCCAGATGAAAATTGTTGAAGTAATGGATTTTACACATTACCTGCTAGTAGATGCAAAAGGGTGTGACACAGACCTACATTCTTCTGGCTCTCAGCAGATATTATAATCAGTGCTTAACAGAAGGGCTGATTCTAAATATTCCGTATTTGCTTGTTAAATCACTCTTTGGTACATAATGACTGGTTGCATAGGGGGGCTATGTCCTTTGAAACAGGATGAGAACTTGTTTTCTTTTTTGCATGCTCGAACTATTCTAGGGCGCTCTTTATAATGGAGTACATCCTCAAAATTTCTGCCCTAAATGAGTTGCAAATCGTGATAAAATACCAGGAAAGAATCTCATGGTATACACTAGATTAACAAATTCTGAATACTACTGAATAATAAAAATATAAAACGTTTCTTGTCAATAAACTTTTGAAAATTATGTGCAATCAAGATTGACAAAAGTTTGGTACTGACAAATGATTGAATTTTACATAATTAAATCATTGGCAACTCATGGCAGTTCTGGTTTTATACAGTGTAGTATCATTTTTCAGTACCTATTTTTTTGGTCATTAGTTTGAAAGTATAATACAGTCAAACCTAATATATATATATATATATATATATATATATATCAGCCTTGTATTATACTATGAGTACCTTTTTATTCAGCTCACTTTTTCGATCTCTTGTCTCATGTGTAGGTGGTGAGAATAAACGATACCAGTGAGGAGACATATAACAGCCTCATGGACTTCTCAAAAGCACTTGGGAAGACACCGATCACATGCAGAGTAAGTTCATCTCCTCCTTACTTAAATTCTACATGAACAGCAAACGGTTTAAAATTAATTTTATTTCACATCTTATGGCAAAAACATGGCAGGAATGTACATTGGAGAAAATACAGAGAACACGATAACAGCTTTTTATACAGTTTTGGAATCACACAATTACACATACTTTGCTATAATTTTATAAGGCATGACCAAATGTTTAAGTGTTCAACAATTGTTGAACTGAAATAAGATCATAAGGCTCTTGCTGCCATAATAATGTTTAAAATGAAAATTCAAGAAAGTAGTTTTTATCGGGGCATTTCCAGATTTTAGTTCCATAGATACTTGTACCGTATTTTCTTTTTAACCAGGTGGAATTTGTCAGATTGTTGTAACAGCCATTCATGCAAGACTTTCATTTTTCCTTTTTATTTTTACTTGAAGGATACCCCAGGCTTTGTTGTGAACAGGTTGCTTGTACCTTACATGTGCGAAGCTGTAAGGATGATAGAGAGAGGTGAGTAGGGAGAAGGGAAATTTGTGCATTTTTATTCAGACACCTGTGGCAGCAAGGTACCCTTACCTGGAAAGGGACAGGGAGACTATGACCCCGACCCCCTCCCCCTCCCCCCTCTTACAGCTAAACATATTTTGATCTGCAAATGCATTCAGAAACGAATCATTTCAGTTTAGGTTGGTTCAATTGACATTTTATTTCTACCATTTGAATAATATCAGAGTCAATAGGAACAAGCATATGAATACAAACTAGAACTTCAAACTAGAAAGTAATGATAACTTTAAAAAAGCAAATCAAAATATGTTGGATTAAGAGATGCCAGGTAAACTATCAAAGGTCAATCCACAAGAAAAGAAGAAGGAATTGTAAGGAGCCAGAAGAAGTTGAGATCAATATGTATAAATAATGTTTTAAATTGTTATTAAAATTGTCATGGTCTGTCTCTTCTTCAATCTCTCTCTTCTTTATGTAGGTGATGCCACCACACGTGATGTGGACATCGGTATGAAGCTTGGAGCTGGGTATCCCATGGGACCGTTTGAGCTGGTGGACTATGTTGGTGTTGACGTTATCAAGTTCATCCTGGACGGTGAGAGAGAAATAAATGATATAGCTTCAGTCAAATTTTAACGCTAAAGTGTGACTGAATCCTACCTTAGCAGTTGGTTGGTTGGTTGCATGTTTATAAGTAAGCAACCAGGGTATCAAGGGCTTTAAGTGCTCTCAGAAGGACTTGGTAATAAGGACAAGTGCCTTACCAAAGGGCACTAGTGCATCAAATTGGTTTCGAATTTGGGACCTCCCAGTTGTGAGATCCCTGCTCTACTATTGCAATGAAGATACATTTGTGACAATTGGTTCAAGCCATCTTTCATCAAAGAGGTAGAGTTAGGTTTGCAGAGGGGTTTTAGGTTAAGATTATGGTTAGATAAAGGGTTCGGTCCAGGGTTGAAGTTAACTTGGAATCATTGGCCATAGAGCCATTGTCACAAAAGCATGTATCATACAACTTACCACTGTGGTAGCTATTCATATTACTTAGGAGGACAATTTATTTTCTCCTACCTGACAACATAATATAAGGAGAAAGTAATAACATTAGAATGAAAATCAGGTGAGTGATTGCCTCAAATGTGTGGTTATATTTGCTCCATGACAATCTCATCTTGCACCAAAAACAATGAATATTCAAATCAGTGTAATAATAATAATATAAAATATTTAGGAGCGGCAAAATAAATAAGTACCATAGCGCTTACAAATACAAATATATGAAAAGAGGACAAAAAATGTTAGTCTAAAAGGAAGTAGAGCAAATAGATCACTAGGGGAAAAGGTAAGTTTTTGAGGGATCTTTTGAAGGTGGCAAGACAGGTAATTTCTGTAAAAAAATACATAAACTTTACGATGCTCACTACAACTTGTTGCCATCAAATTCCTTACATGTGTTCACATTTTTCTTAATATTTGAAGTAAAGCAATGTGTAGAGATATACTCAAGCATTTTATCTGCAGTGCGCTCATCAGAGTAAACCGCAAGATCTAGAATGAACGAAGGGCCAAAATTGGACAGTAGAAAGAAAAACAGAACAAGCATTCTAGACATGGATGTGTGATTTCAACCCTTGTGTTCATTCTTGCAGTTTACTCTGGCTAACGAGCGTAAAACAAAAAGCTTCAGTATGTCTTAATTCAATGGTATTCGTCGTTTTAATAATACCAATCATCCCTTAGACTTTCAGTCTTTAAATCTCTTCTTTTTTTCTTTTTTTTGCAGGATGGCATGAATCTTACCCGGATGAAGCACTCTTCCAGCCAAGCGAGACTATCAATAAGCTTGTAGCTGACGGAAAGCTTGGCGTGAAGACTGGCGAAGGTTTCTACAAATACAACAAATAAGAGATCTATTCATAAATATACATTCCGTGATGTCTTGGCCTTATCACAACTTAGTAGGCTACCTGTAATAAGGCTATTAATAATTTGGCGTTTGGGTGATACAGCCTTATTGCAGGCAGCTAAATAATTGTTCCGGATAACATGAATTGAGATGATGATTGATGCTGTTGTCAATAGATTTGTAAGAAATGTGGAAATAGATTTATTGTCAGATTTGTTCACTCCTGCTAAGCTTAAGGCTTACTGTCTTTTTTGGCATAAGTAATGTTTGAAATTCATCATTTTGTATTTGTTTTCTAATTTATTTGATTTTCCCAGATATGATATTTTGTTATATACTGGCCCATATTCTACTCAAATTTTAAAACGACACTGAGCTTAAGCTTTCGTTCAAAATAGGGTTTAACAAAGGACATGTCAAATGTTTCCTTTGTGAAGCGTAACCTTAGACCCAGAGTCGGGTCGGTTGTAACCAAATAAGTAGGATATGGACCATAGTGTATGATGATTGTATGTCAGAAATTCAATAGATTCATATTATTACTTCTGTTATTAATTAGTACTGAAAACAGTACACCTGTGTGATGAAAAAAACTCTCATTCTGTTGGTAGGAGAAATGAACATGTGGTTCATTGATCAGAAGTCTGGAATCTTGAGACAGTAGCTTGACTTCACAAAGTTGGGCTGAGTTGGACCTGGTCTAAACTTAGCCCAAACCTGATTCTACTTGGTCCACTGATGTTTGGAGTGCAAAGTGCCAATCCTTATTCTGCACAAATTATTGTAATCCCATTACAAAATGCTTACAGAAATTAATTCACGTGCTAGTTGCCATCTTGCTAACTCAAAGGAAAATTATATTACATGATTGAAAATACAACAAATATTTTCTTGATGGCTCTTATGCTTCCAATTAATTTGTATGTCTATTCTATGAATGCGGGTTCCATTATTTCTTGCTGTTTTCTTGCGAGTCGAGTGTGCCCTTTGATTAAACAATAGTTATGAACAAGATTTGTTTTTATACAAAGAGGTGAATTACTCTGTGTGCAAATATATTATAATTTTCTTGTTTTTACATACTTTGAATCTTTTCATTTTCGTATTAGTATTCTAAGTTGGCTGATTTTAGCTCTTGCTCTCACTGTTATAACTATGCTTTAATACAAAAAGGCATCAACTCTTTGTTATGTGACAGCGATACAGTTAACAACAAAAATTATTCATCCTCGTAAATTTGATGTTTTTTAATTTTTTTCTCAAACTCAAATATCAAAGGTGGACTGTAGCTGTTTGAATTGGGGCCTTTATTAATTACTTTTAGAAATTAGCTTCATTATGTCACATTCTCAGGATATATATTAATCGGGACAAATCTATTTTTCACATACTTAGACAATTAAGTTGTAACTGAATGTGAGTTCATGCCCTTGTGGCTCTCAGCACATGATGTTATCATTTTTTTTTTTGGAGAATAACCTTGAAACCTTGGAACAAGCTCATGTATTCATTATATGATGCTGACATTTTAAACGGGGTTTAGTGAGCATAGGCTTCAATTTGCAGTTACAAAGTTCTCTCTCTCTCTCTCCCCCCTCTCTCTCTCTCTCTCTCATGCTCTTATTATGGATCGACCAAATCAATTGATTCATAATATATGTATATGCAATATTTTTTCCCGTAACATGAGAGTAATTTTAATAGTTTCATACTATTAATTAAATGTGTTGTTAACTGTAACTGTATAATTGTTTTAAATGGGGGCACGCTACACGAGTCCTATCTCGCACCCCGGGGTAACGTGTCTGACACGGCCGGTTGTAGCAACTACTCCGAAGATCAAGATTACCGTAATCTTGATCTAAGGAGACACGAACGAACGAACGCTCTTATTATGAAGCCTTTTATTTTCACCCAGTTGGCACAGTATTATTGACAAATGAACCTCACAGGAACCTCACAGGAACATTTGAAGATACGTGTACCGGTATTCATGGAGAATTGGAGATAGCAAATTATAATATATCTGTATGTATATTTTAATTTTTGATTCATGTAATACATGTACATCCATTTTATTTTATGTGATCAATTGGATTGATTGAATGTGTAATATGAGATTCCAATAAAATGGAATAAAAACCTTCAATGCTTGGTGCAGTCATTATTCTCTTGGTGTGTGAAATTGTATTCTATGTATAAGCTTCAATGTTTGATACATCTTCCAGTGTATGAGTGATTGAGGAGATAATGGTCCTCCCCTGGAGATGAGGTGTGAAAGCGTGAATAATGGGAGAAAGCGGAGTAGATTATTAACGTCAGATAATGAGTGGAATAAGGAAGAAAGACAGTTTAAAAGGCAGTAAATCTGTGGGCTTTTGAAAAAGAACAGTCGTGAAGAAGGAGAGTGAGTATTGAAAATGATTCAAAATGTTCAAATAACAGACTTCAAACATTTGAACCCCCCCCCCCCCAAGAAAAAGGAGAAAAAAGTCGACAGGAATTCTGATATTTCCTTTTTAAATAAAATGATTTCAATTATTCATATGAAGTAATATACAACTACAATTATATTATATGTCTGGGGTATATACATGATGATTATGGCTTATGATTGATTATTAAAGTAGGCCTAATGTATGACATAAATTATGAGCAATGGTTTTCGTGGGCGCGGTTCCCCCCTTTGGGTCGGGATGCCTAATTGATCTGTGGCTGCTTGGGATCACTCCATTTTAAATCGGGAGTAACATATTTTTACTTTCGTTCCTGATAGTATTTCCTACAAATTATCCCATTAAGATAGATAAACATAATTTAAAAATAGTGTTAAAATATTTGTAAACATTAGTAATCACAAATATTTGAATAAAATAGCACAGCTCGTCAGACTATCGATTGAGAACCCCCTCTATTTTAGTGGACGCGTCCACCGTTGTCAATAACGCTATGAGTCTTTGAAATGGTATGCGTTTATGAATGGTACACGGTTCATGCTAATCGCACTTTACTTGTACAGTACAGTAAAATATACAAGATTGGCGTTGACCGGAATGAACAGAAGCCACAAAGCTGGACTTGTTTACATCATGGAATGCTAGATCCTTCGAAGAAATAGCTGGAAATCATGTTGAAATGGACGTATTTGAAATTTTAACCTCCTTAACAAAATGAGTTTGAGAGGATAGATTAGAAACTGGTGAGTAGAAACGTTGAGGGTGAGAATAAGATCATGCATAAATTTGAAAGTTGTTGATTGGTTTGCAGCTGCCGTTTATATGTAGCGAGTCGAAACGGCACGATGAAGGGCACTCGCCCGGTAGCAAGTCGGCGCGACGCGACCCAATCATCAGACTCCTGTACATGTACATCACTGAAGTAAAACGTGGTATGGTTAGAGATATAGAAGAAATTATGGTAATGATGATGGCGGAGTTAAACCACGGTGCTGTGAAAAGTATGAAATGAACAGGATGATGAGAGTGTAGAACTCCCCTGGCGGGTACTTTTAAATTTGATGATCTCACAAGAAATAAACTAGACTACACTATCAAACAATGTCAATGAGATTAGACCCTATACAATTAATATCAATGGTTTATTATAGATAATCAACACAAATTATCAAGGTTCGTATAATCGTTGATGTACACACCAAAAAAAATACACACAATAATCAAATATCTCCGGAGGGAAGAACTCCCTCAGACGGCAAATAATTTACATAAAAATAACAGTGATCACTGGATAAAAATAGTCAACAGAATCGTTCCGAGGGCGTATGAAACGCCCCAAAGGTTAATCTACGTCCCGTTCAAAGAATACACAATATTTAATACAATAATCAATCATACACAATTACAATAACAATAATCATTCATCAAGATCAAACACAAAAGGGATCCTCAAATAAATCAGCAAAGCGTTCAAAATACCAGATCAGCTACGGCGAAGTCAAATTTGATGATGCTGACGATCACGGTGACGATCACAAACATTGACTAACCTTATATTTATGTAGTCTATGGCATTCAGTTCAACTCACTAGTCTTGAGGTGACCGAGAGAGTTGTCTTGTCTGTAATATCTAGAAGCTAGATGAGTGAGTCTGGTCCCTGGCTGGTGTGTATGACGGTGTGGTCTTGGCAGCAGCAGGAATCAAAATGACCAGTTGTGTCGGATAAGCCGGATCATTGCCGTAAAAGGGTAGCGACAAACGGATACGTAAGAGCATGATCATCCAAGATGCATACATACATGTGTATGTGTATAAAATACCGACGTGCTGGTGAAATAACCTGCGACTGGTCACACATATGTACCTACGTGTTCACGAATACATAAATGAGAGAATTGGCATATCAAATGCCCTTTTACAACATTCCTCCTGGTTCATTAGATTGTGGCATATTGCAAAATCTCAAAAACTCCCCTATCAGAGCATAAGAAACAAACCGGGGGAAACTGATATCCGGGCTAGTTTGTCCCAGGGTATCAGACAAATATAAAAAGAGTTACATAATATTATATAACCAGTTACAGTCCGTTAATACAATCCATAATTTTGCGAGTGCACGAAACTCCATCGCGTTGCGCCGACTTGCTGCCGGGCAAGTGCCCTTCATTGTGCCGTTTCAAAACATATACGAATATACATGTCCAGTACATACATAATATAACCAATAGAATCAACAACAAGAATATAGCTGATTATACAAGATAAATATTTTTTTAAAGCAACACAATGTTTTTCCACCTATTATCAAATGATACAAATTTGTTATTTTAAACATAAATGTATTGTTGAAGAGAACGATAATACCTTAACATGCATTTAAAAGAATTTAGTGAGAGTACGCTATTTTTTCATTTGTTAGAAAAAATATATTATTTGGCATATAAAATAATAAAATTAAATTGAACTCTAACGTTTCCATAAAACCCAAATAAGAAATTAATTTTATTCAAAGTAACTTTATCCTCTATTAAAAAATGAAATGTTGGACATCCGAAATAAACCTTCTAATGATTGGGCAATCCCAAAATAAATGTTCTATAGATTCCACGGAGCTATAACAAAATGAACATAAGTTTGACTGCTTAATATTTAATAATTTAAGATATTTATTAACACCAACTATACGATGTATTATCTTAAACTGAAAATAACGGATCTGTGTAGATAAACATGACCTAAACAGGAACTAAGAAAATTTTACCCCAGTCTATGTTTGGGATATTAAACAGAGAATTACATTTATCTATTGATTTAGGGGGACTAAAAACCTATTGAACACTTAAATTATGAATATAGCGACATATCTTTGTTACCTTCATTTTTAATCATTTCCTCTGGAGCTGTTAGGTCTGCCTCTGAACATTTAGGGATATTATTTTTCTAATTATGAGGAATAGCTGTTTTCACAGAATAAAATTCTACAAAATTGTATTCAAAATTATATTTGTTTCTAAATTGAAAGAAGGTAAAAATATTACCATTTTCGTCAAGAAGATCTGATAATTGAATTATACCTTTGTCATACCATGACTTTATGAATAATACTTTTTTGTTTCCACGAATCATAGTGTTGTTCCATATATATTGTTGTCTGATATGGGAATTCAGGACTAATTTCCGTATCGAGTGTTAAAGAGGCCCATGACTGGGCAACTTCCCTAATAAAATGTTTGTTATCGACAATATACTAGAATCTTGTCTTGACTTGATATTACCAAATTCTGTTCTGTCTGTTTGGTAACAGATACAGGGCTCTACAGATATAATCATGATAACAATGCTTTAAATAATAATGACAATCACATCCCCTTCTGATATGCTTCTGCATGGCTACATGTAGTAATTTCCAAGAAAGTAAATAATGTAGGACTGACTCTTTAGAAATTTAGGACTTGACATATCGTAATCTGTTTGTGGTAAGGAGCAATGTTCATCACATTCAGGACTATACAGTATGTAATAATAATAAAAATAATAACAAAATACAATTTGATAAACAATTAAACAAAACATAAAGAAAATGCAAATAAACCTCCAAATTACAATACATACTGCATGAAATACAAATCAGTGTAAACAGAGTAAATTAATCATCAAAAGCAATTTTGAATAAATGTGTCTTAAGACAAGTTTTGAATTGGTTAAAGGGATCGTTTAACAATGTTAAATCTGAGATACACGGCCCTACATGTTATCAGTGTCTATGATATGGTGTAATATTGAAGCCCTACAAAAATTGCGCTTCAAAATGATCAAGAAGTGCCTCAAAAAAGTAAAAATCTTTGTGTGACCTGTTTTACCATACTCGTTTTCCCCAATAGACTGTAGTGTTATGAAAACCGTCAGGCGAACGTTTTTCAAAATTTGTAATTCCAATCATAAATATCTGGATAAGCAGACAGGCGATCGGCTTGTAAAAGTCATGGGGTTCCTGACTGACCTACAGGTTTATCATTGCATCATGAGCTAAATCCAAAATTTTGTTTCAGAATCTGAGACAAAGTTACCGGATCCCTTAACAGTGTGACAGGTTTTGACATTTAAAGGTATACAGTACAATACATCATTACAGTAACATACAAAACTCAATTTGGTTTGTGTCTCCTCATTTCCTGTCATTCTTAATATGCAGTGATCCAGCATCATGCCTGTTGGTAGCAGTATCCAAGTCCTAAGTAAATAATGTACATGTAGGTCTCTTTGGACAAATTGACAAATTGTAATCTGCTTAATTGGTGAAGAGTAATGGTTAATGGCATTTGGAACTCTGTGTATACAGTTCATCATTACAATATAACATACAAAACTTATTTTGGTTTGTGTATCCTGTCATTTTTTAAAGATTATTTACTTGTCTAGCTTTCTCCCTTGTATATACAGGTATCGTAATTATTTGTCTCCTTTTTCTGGTTTTACTCCAATTTGCTCTCATCATTATTGTACGTTCTTATTTTGCTGTAAGTTTTCCTTACTTCTGTACTATCTATTTGCATGTTTTCTATGTCTATAGGGGCCCCTCTGTGCAACAGCATTGTTATGCTAACAACACTGAATAGGGCCATCCCTCCGTCTTACTTTTTGATAAATTTGCGTGGACTGATACGTGTGACGTCCATTCAAGGCAGTGCATTAAAAGGACATTGATCGTAGCAATCCATGTTGTCGTTGTGCAAATGTAAAAGTCCCTAGTGTCTTTATGATTGTAAATGTATATTTGTTGATGTTTTTTAAATGACGGAAAATAAATACAATACAATACATTCTTGATATCCAGTGATCCAGCACCATCATGCCTGTTGGTAGCAGTATCCAGGTCTCCCTGAGTGAGGTGCTCCAGGTTAGAGGAGGCCCTCTGGAGGAGGAGGAGCTATGGAGCATTCTCTGTCAGAGCTGTAAGGCCATACAAGACACATTCATTCAAGGTGAGTTGAGTTACTTGAGGCCTGATAAAAACCTGATTTAAATTGGTTTCCTGTTTTTTAAAATATTTTCCTGATTTTTTTTCCTCCAGATTTTTCCCTGATTTTTCCCTTATTTTCTCTATTCTTCCCTATGTTCCCCTCTTATTTCCCAATTTTTTTACTAAAAATTGGGGAATGTTGTTAAATGCCACCCCCCCCCCCGAATCCTTTTTTTTTTTTTTTTTTACTCAAGGGAGGCTTGTTTGATGGGGGGGGGGGGGGGAAAGCCTTTTTTTTTTTAGTGCTCACTATCACCCCTGGTTACTTCTATCAGTAGGTGTACATGTAGCTACATTTTTAAAATGTGAATTCTTGACATTAATTCAAGGTGAGTTGAGTTTCTTAAACTTAAAGTTCATGTACATGTACATGAAGCTAAAACAAAATTGATGTGAAGTCTTGACATGCAGCTTTAGTTTTAGGAAAGGCTAGTTATAAGTTTGTGCATTCTCTTTTTATTTTCACTCTTGTACTAGTTATCTGTTTCCATCTCAGTCATGCTCTCTGTTTAGTGGTTTTGTTACCCTCTTTCCTCCATCTGCATTTCCCTTTCTATCTCTCTTTCTTTCTTGCTCTCCATTATTGTACACTGACTATCCATCTTGATCTTCTTCTTTCTCTCTCTCTCTCTCTCTCTCTCTCTCTCTCCTTTTTGCTCTTAATAGTGTTCGTCTACCAATTTCACTCACATGCTTATATTTTATATAATATATGTTATCTTGTTGAATAGCTCTACATCTTGTATCTCTTGAAGCCTATTGCTACCCATGCATCTGACAATAACAAATTTCTAACTTGATTTCTTTTATGCAATGTATATTTCCTTCCAATGGCATTAACAAGTAAAGATTACCTGTGACTGCATGAATGTATTATCATTTTTCAAAACCAATTCCACCTACAGGTCGTGCCATAGAAGCAGATGGTCCTAGCTTTGTGGTCAGTCCCTACACGGTGCTCTTCAGTCCTAGCGGCTCAGTCCAGTTTGCTGAGAGCATTGATGTGACCCTACCAAACATTGCCAACTACCTGCCTCCCGAGGGCATCGGAGGTCAGGGGTCATTCTCAAATGCTGCGGTTGAGAAGGTAAATAATTAGATAATTAAATAATTAGGTAAACATTAGAAATAAAACAATAGATATAATAAGAAATAAAAAACAATAAAATACATAAGAAAATAAATAGTTGAAAATCGCATCAAATTTGTATAAATTATCATTATTAATTACATCAAATAACTATTTTGTGTTAGAAAAGAAGTTTCATATGAATAATTAGTTTCAACATTCAAAAAGTGGAGTCGGACAATTTTTGTAATGATCTAGTTCCCTATATATATTTCCAGATTTGATATTCATGAATGGGTACCGTAAATCTCCGTGTATAAGGCGCACCTGTGTATAAGGCGCACCCCTATTTTTTGGGGGGGGGGGGGGAGGAAAAAAAAAAAAAAAAAAAAAAAAAATAGTTTTTTTGTTTTGTTGTTGTTGTTGTTTTGTTGCCGAAAACCCACGCGGGGAAGGACCTTCATTTTACATCGAGGTGCAGTTGAAGTTGTGAACTTGTCACAAATAATAAATAACAACAGTCTAAGGCTTCATGATACCAAGTGTCCCACACCAGCCTCATCACATCACCTAGCAGAAGCACTGTGTTCTATGCCAAACATCAATAGTCATGCATGATATGAATAGCATCCTCTATCTTTCTAATAATGGAGTACCTAGGATAGAACCTTGTGGTACACCATTTGTTATAGAAAAAAAATGAGGAATTATTATTATAAACTACATATTGAGATCTATTAGAAAGATTACTTTCAAACCAAGATGACAGACAAATTTGAGTGTTGTTGTAGTTTCCGAGTGGTGAGTCAACACACTGATTACTGAGCTAGGGGACATTGCCAGGCATAGCGCCATAAATCGAAACTTTAAAAAAAAAAAAACTTTTTTTTTTCTGTACCTGTGTATAAGACGCACCCCCGACTTTCAATTTTTTTCGGCGGCAAAAAAGTGCGCCTTATACACGGAGATTTACGGTATTCATTATTTACGCAAATTAACATTCATTTAATACATTTTCAAGCTTCTATACAAGTCTACGGACAAATATGTAGAGTTTTCTGTAAAATGCATAAAATTAGCATATGAGGAAAAAACTAGTTATACCATCTTGTTCCTTACGTAAATATCTATGTACAAACATGCAAATTTTCGCGTTCATCGGACATTAGACGGCCAAGATCATAGGGGGGGGAGGGCCTCCCAGGCCCCCCCCCCCAGTCAGAGAGTGCTCGAAATAGCCCAGTACAGTAAGGGCTAACTTTCTTTAAATCTCAACTGAAAACCTACATGTACTTGTTAAAAAACGCTTTCTAATGTCATTTAAACTGTTTCTAATGATTGATTATTATTAATCTTGTCCTTATTTTGATATATCTTTAGTTCATGAATTAGTAGTTATGTGTAATTTGTTGTATTAATATTGTAAAGTGCATTGTTATTTTCTCCGAAGATGAAATGTGCTATAGAAGCCTAGGTTATTATTATTATTATTATACATGTAATGTTCAAGTAGCATTCAATGTAATTAACATTTTGATATGTTGCCTCTCCCCCCTTGTCGATGTAGATGTACATCTATGCACTTGGCAAGTCTCTCCTGTGGGCCTCAGACTACATGCGTATCCCATACAGCAGTGCAGTCATCAGTGCAACCCTACAGTCATTACTGATGGGTATGTCAGACAACAATCCAATGACTCGTCTCGGACTAGTCCAGATATTAGAGGTAGGTTGATTTAAGGTATTTTTTCTTTTCATTGTTTTTTGTGTGATCAAAGAATTGCTTGTTAGAAGTACTGCATCATATCCAGCAGATGATGCATGCACAGTTTAAGATTTTTTGGGGGTTTTATTATAAATTGTTTATTTATTACTATTATTATTATTATAATCAAGAATGGGGAGGAGGGGGTTGCTTGAGCCCCCTCCTCCACCCCCTCTATAACTTCTTCTGGGTTGAATTTTTGTTAAATAGGGGAGAACTGCAGAGAAGAACAGCTCAATTCATACTGTAGTGCAAACAAAAAAAGACAAACAAAATCTAAAAGTTGTTTACCTTCAAAACAATTATAAATGTTGTGTAGCCAATCTGTGAATTATAGATTCATCATAAACTTCATCTTTTGAATACTGAACCTTACAACAAAAATTAAGAAGTATTTATAAAATGTATAGAAGACAAAAATCAAGTGAAAAGAAGAATTATTCAATAATTTATGTAGATATGAAATATTTCTTTATTATTTGCTTTCAATTCAGGCTTGCACTATCCATGCCCAGAGTCTTGGATACGGGATGCCCTACGCTCGTCACATCATCCAATTGAGTAAAATCGTACTTGGGAGCATATTTGCTGTAAGTTCTGAAGAAAAACACTTTATTGTATGACATTGAAGGGTATCTTAACCTTTTGGCGATGAAAATCATCTCAAATTGCCAAGAAAAGTCTTTGAGCATTAACCTTTCACAAAATGATATAACAGTGAAACTCTAAAAGTGCATGCAGAAATGCATGTATATCCATGTTTCGCATCTGGCTAGATTTTAAGTATTTTAACCCTTTAAGAGCCAGGAAGGGGGTGATTCCACCCCCTGTAGTTTTTGTGTGATAACTTTGCAGGATTTTGTATTTATAAATCTGTGGTATCATGACTTTTAAGCCCTGAATCTAGCACATCTTTTGACATTGAAATATACAGTGTGTTTGTATAAAAATAAAAAACAAAGTTGCAATCTCCCTATACTAATACCCATGTAGTCTGGTCACATATACGAACAATTAATTTGGGTGATAATTCAAATACACCTTGAAAACGACATTACTTATTTATATGCTCATTGATTTACTCTATTTACGTGCCAAATTCTAGATATTTCATTGCTCCACAAAATAGATCAGAGGGGAATGGAATAACGGTGATATTTCAAAAAATCCCCTTCTCAATACAGTATATCCACCATTTACGTTGCCTTATGCAGTGGATTATTGGTAAGATCCAGTAGCCTCATTAGATATCTTGTTTACTTTTTGTCATCTGTTTCATATTGATGTATGGATGTTGTGTACTTTTCTGTGTAACAGCTGGATCAAATGGGACTGGGAGACAGCTTCAATAGCAATACAAACAACAGTGTCTCCACGGTAACAGGGTCACCCTTGTCTGCCATGGGGTCACCAGAACACAGGCGATCAGGTATTAATTTCATTTCTTTCGAATAAACAGTATTTTTTATTAAAAAGCATTGACTTAGAACAATAAAGCTCCACAAAACTCACTCTGTTTTTAAATGTCCCAATATTTTCATGCCTGTCCTTGAGAAACATGCTTTTTTTTCCCCAACATTTTTTTGATACATCAATAGTTTTCAGGAGTTTGAAAAAACACATCATAGAAACACTGTTAATACATCATCTTGTTTTCTTATTTTCTGTCATTGATGACTCCCTTTGGGCTAGAAGTTCGATGTCAATTAAAAAAATGCAGGGGAATATAGTTTTCTTCTTTTAAATGAATAGAAGTCTTATTTACATGTAAACAGTGAAGAAAATATTAATTAAAAAGTTTTCTACCCTACACCAATGTACCAATTTTTTGTTGTTGTTAATAATAGGACGAGTCAGTCCTGGTAAGCGGAATCACCAGCAACTCAACTCCAGTGACTCCACTGACCACAAGAACAAGCGCACCATGCGAGGTAACGACGAACCAGATGCTAGGAAAGGATCTAAATCAAAACACAGACGCGGTGGGTACTCCAACCTCAGCAGCAGTACAATGGACTCCCAGGAGAGTTACGAAGACGTGCGCTCATACAAAGACACAATACCACATAGCCGCTCTGCACGGAGCTCTCGTGAAATGCTGGATGAGCGATCAAGTCGTAGGGATGCTTCACACAAATCTAACGCCACCGAAGAACGTTCGTATCATATGTCTGACATATTCTCACCAGCGAACAGAACAGAGAAATCAAATGGTTATAAAGCTTTGAGTGTAAAGAGTGGTCATTCGCGTCGTGCGGAGTCAAAGCATTCCAAAACGCAGTCCGCGACGTCGCGGGGTTACGAATCCATGCCGGACAGACCGAGCAGCCGATCAAAGCAGCGGTCGCCACCACCACGAGGACAATCAAGCAGAACGAACCTGGTTTACGAACGGTTAATGGAGAGACGGGAAAGGCTAGGTCGTCTTCGAAATCAACTAGGGCTTCGACCACGGCATGGGAACGAACTGACCAGGTCAGTATCGGACTATGATAGCGAGACGGACACAATGACAGAGGATGAAAGCCAGTATGGAGATGGGAGATCAGAGGCAAGGTCCTACAAATCTCTGACCTCTGTCGAGTCTGCCAGACAAGGTAAACAAAAACTTGTGATGTATTTCAGGTCATATTATGTTCATGTGTGGTGGTTGTGTGGTGTTTATTTTACTTGACTGCTAAGAAAGTATAAATGCTTGTTAGTAAGCAACCAGAGAACTGACTGCTTAGTTTAGGTCCTCTCCGAGGGACCTGGTGATGGGGATTAATGCCTTACCAAAGGGCACTAGCGCATTGACTTGGTTTCGAACCTGGGTCGCCGGAGTACAAATCCACTGCTCTACCAACTGAGCTATCGCGCCTCCTTCTTAATTATGACAACAATGCAATGTTTTAGCAAGGCACATGCATCCAAAGAGATTATTGATCAGGACGCATCATCATTTCAAACTTTGTAACATTTGTAAATCATTGTATACCATAGCTTTTGAGAATCCCTCAAAAAGTAAAGGGAGAGGAGGGAGCTCTCTCTGAGCTTTCTTGGAAGATTCTTTGAGTATGGAGGAGCCTGGAGGACACAGAGGAGTGAAACAATGGTCTGATAGAGCTGATGATAGGAACTGGTATTCAATACTCAAGTAAAAAAAATTACTCTGGGTTTTGGACTTTTTTAGCCAAGTAATATACTCCAAGCCCCAAAAAGCAGGCTAGCTAAAAAACTAATCTGGCAAATTAGTTTGTACCGTGATTGGCTGGTAGTGGTACACAAGTCATTATGTTGCTGCACACAAGCAAATTAGGTCATATATTTGAAGCACTGCATTTAACTTACATAAGTTCAGATTGTTATTTTAAATGAAGTCACAACAGCTCTAAGTACTTGTATTTTTGCTAGGACTAGATTGCCTTGTTAAAATGTGATTCAAATAAGATGTAAACTTGTTTATGCAAGCTAGTTATAAATGTTAAGTAAGATATTAATCATATCCAAGTATTGAATCAAATATCGCCAGGATCAATGGGCCCGTATTTGTATGGACCACTATTAAAAATGAAAATTGTTTTGATTTACCAGGGAGCTATCACCCAGACCAGTATTCTCAGTACTCCTCGGTAGGGTCATTCCCCTTCGGTCAAGGTCCACAGGCCTCCTCTTCTCAGCGCCAGAGCCGGTGCGTACCCAACGTCCACCAACAGAGGGCCGATCAGTACGATGGGGTTTCCAATAGGGATCCTTCGTTAGAGCGCAGGCTGCAGGCAGCGCCCTCTAGCAACGAACACAAGAGGAACACCTTGCCTTCCAGAAAGAAATTAAAAGTAAGAGGTGTTTCATAGAAAGTTTCATTAAACATGGGGAATAGTCTTCATGCAGTTAGTCTAGAAAGATAATAACCCTTGTTCAATTATTGTAAAATCAGCTTCTGACTACACTGTATTGCAAATTGTATTGCTGTTTGCTATAAGGAAACATTTGTGGAAATTTTACGTACTTCATTTTCAACTGTCAACCATTAAACTCACCATAAACCTAAAGGCTTGTTAAGATATGAATTGGTAAACCACAGCGTTTCTTTATGCAATGTGCTATTGAATTCCAACTGCGTTCAACGAAGGGTCTAGGCGCACAATATATCTGTGTTAAAAGAAGATACAAATATATGAAGCGTATTTCACTTACGTCACCACATACAAATGGCGCATCGGTTTACTGCGCCATATTGGAATGAGGCTTAATTATAAATATGTTATCGATATGATTATCCAAATAATCATATATTAATCCTATGTTTGCTTCACGCTTATCTTTCAGAAATTTTTTGGGCCAGAGTTTGTGGTGATGAGCGGCGAACCAAACGAATCCATCACCATGCCCATCTCGTTCTTGGTAAGCATTAAAGCCCCACTGTACTACTTGTAGCTACTTGCTCCCTCTATATAGTAAATCAATGCCTAATTGGTGACCATTTGGTCCCCCATGATCCTCTTTTTCTTCTGGTAATTGAGAGCTGAGTTGATGAGATAACCACCTGTCAGTGAGCACCCTGGGTGGTCTAATCCCTCCTAGCTAAACTAGACAGACGGCCTTTAAATACAATTTTGAAGATACTTTGATAGATCTAGGCCAAGACCAGTTACGATATAGCCACATGTGGGAAGAATTTATGTTGAACGTGTTAGATTATGATGTAGTGCTATGATGTGCCCCGTTTTTGTATGTACACCTGTATCCCCTTTAATTTCTGTTAGTCTAAAAATAACAAAACAATATTTTAAGATGAGGGAAACTGAGTGGAGGGAAAGCTTCAAGTTTTTGACAAAATATGTTTTGCTTTTTAGTTTTACCTTGTATGTGTAAAAGGGGAGCGGTGTACCAGAAGACTTTGTGTGATTTTCTGCAAATTTCACTTCAAAATATTGCTCTCTCTGATAGATTTTCCTTCTTTGCCATCCATTACACTAATGGTTGATTTGCATGATGATGATGAAGATGTTATCTTATATTATCTTTTAGATAAAATGTGTGAAATTATATGTCTCCATTGTGTGTAACAGATGCACTACCTGATCAATAATTTACAAATTTTGCCCTTTTTCTATTTTTCTTCCTAAAAAGAGCAAAGCTGGTAAGATTCCACCGGAGAAGAAAAGGGTTACAGCGGTCATGCTAAACGGCCGCAGACTTGACCTTTTGTGTGACCTTGGGACCTCTGGTCAAGAGCTGTTTGACCTGATTGCATCTCACCTGGGTCTCAATGAAAGGTCCTACTTTGGGATTGCCTATATCAAAGGTAGGTTGTTCTCTGATAATCCACATATGCATGTAGTATAGACTAAATTTGGACACCTTTTTATGATCAACTTATTGATTAGTTCAAGGTTTGAATGTGAAGATTAATGGAAAGCTTACTCAAGAGCAATCATGTATACTCTAGGAATGGATATAGTAAGTGTTCATCAGGAATTATGTCTAAACATATTAAATCTCATAGAAATCACTTCCAGTATAACTTTGCATTTTAGAAGATTATACTAAACTATTTTTTTTTTAATGCAGGAGAAAAGCTTAATTCTGCATTAAGACTGTTGTGCTGAAAAATAGACAAATAACAAAATGTTTTTCCTCCTAGAAATGTTATCATATAGGTGATTCCTTGTACAAGTGTATTTTCTTGTTTTCTTTACAATAGTTTGTTGCCAGTTTGGCTGCCAGAAATGAAATTGCTCAGATAATTCCATGTAATTTCCTTTAAAACAAATTTTAAGCAATTTTGGTTACCAAAATTTGTCATACCACAGTTCATTTGTGGGTAATAAAAACAGGTTTCAAGTATCTTTCTGTTTGTAGTGCTCAAATAATTGGGTCTGAAATGCTAAATGTACTCTTCAATTTTACAATGTTTTTCTTCCTTGACATCAGAGGGTGAATATCTCTTCATAGACCCCGACACCAAACTCTATAAGGTGGGACCAGAGACGTGGCGTGAAGAGGCCAAGAAGAGGTCAAAGAAGGTTGGGTCAAAGGAGAAGTTCACAGTGTTCTTCCGGGTCAAGTACTATGTGGAGAATGTGAGCTTGCTGAGGTAAGAATGCTAAGTCTAAGAAATTAGAGTTAATTGAATTACAATTTTAGATTTGTTTCTAAAAAGAAATAGAATTCAAGGAAAAATTGAAGAAACTATTTTTAATAATTTTTTATTGTGGTGTCGTTTTTGTGGTGGTAACTTGAACTATTTCTCTGTAAGAGGTACTGTAACCTTTTAGTTACCTCACTTTAGAAATCCAGCCATCTGATTGGTCGAAATTGGAGTCGTGATTTTAGCCATTCCCGTAAAATGCCAAAACCGGTCAATAGTCTTTTGAAAAAAGCCCTAGGTCACTTTTCAAAACACTATTGACTGGTTTTGGCATTTTACGTATAGGCCTATGCGTGCAATCTCAATGGGAAAGATTTTAGCACACAAACTCGAGTGGTGCGCGATCAGACACCCTATTAAGACTAGGTATAGGCATAGTATAGAGATATCGACTGCTTTGAGAGGCCTGGCTGGTTTTATATGGTCAAGGGAACTCGCTCAGATCCTGCCATGGCCCCTCGGCGCACCACCCACCCAGGCGTGCCTCGTGGGGATAGCACGATCATGTAACCTCCCCTTGAGCGTATAAAAACATCTACAGGTATGTATCTCATAGCAGTCATTATTACTATAATATGACTCAGAAAGGCATTATCTTATACCATTCAACTCAAGGCTTTCACTCTAAGTAAATTTTATGTCATGAAAGAGCCAAGTAGCAGCATTTGATTTTTGCCATGAGTGGTGTTTGTAGATTATAGGAATGATTGTTGAATGCCCCATGTACACTCTATGGTGCCAATTAATTTCACTTATGATCGCAGTTTAAATACAGCTGTATTTTGACATGTGATGTACATGTACATGACTTTCGTATGTTATATATTTTTCAGGTAACAAGTATGATGTTTATGAGTTATACCAAATTATGAATTACATTACAGCCATAAGTCCCCTGGCTTTTCATCACAAAACTCATAAGGATGCTCTCTTTCATGATTCCAAAATAAACACTCACAGTTGACAATAAAAGTCTAACCAGTTCTCTAATCCTTCTGTGGGGCTATTGTTTAGTGATGGAATGAGGAAGTAAATATATTTTCTTGAAGTTGGGCACAGGCTTGCTGAAATGTCCATGTAGTTTTCCTTACTTCTAATAAACACAACACTTCTGGATTTTTTCGTCTTTAGAGAAGACATGTGCATTATTGATCAACATTGTAAGTAGAATTAGCTTGTGTCTATATGGATGAGAAGGGGTGTACACTGCTGTTTAAGCCTTATTTTAGACAGCCAACAAAAGTTAGTACATTATAATTTTGTGCCATACATGTATGCATGTTATGTACCTGTACTAGATTTGTTTGCATGCATCTATTGAAGCTGGAATGAACAGAGAGCACTGTTTTCATACCTAAAACAACAAAACAAAAGTAAGATGTCAACAGGATTTCAGTTCCTTTTCTTATTTTGCATGAGAGTACACCGTAAATCTGTAAGTGTATCATGAAATTCTTGTTCTGTTATTGACTTTGCAGGGATCAACTCACAAGGCATCAGTACTACTTGCAGTTGCGTAGAGATATCCTAGAGGAGAGAACCAAATGTGATGATAGAGCCGCTTTACAGCTCGCTGCCCTAGCGCTTCAAGCAGAAATGGGAGATCACGACGACAGCACCTCCCGGAACTACTTTTTACCTGAGCACTACGTCGCAGCTGGCATGATAGAGTCGATTGGTGTGGCGAATATAAGAGCTCGATTGCCCCCTATGCATGAAGCTCAGAAAGGGATGTCAGATGTGGAAGCTGAATTCGACTTTTTGATGGTATGTACACGTACTGACAAATGATAGTCATCTGTTAGGCCTAAAATAAAAACTTGTTGTATTGTCCTTTGCGACCGACCCATAAATCTGAAAATCTGCGGTCGGCATTTAAAAAAAAAAAATGTTTTTTAGATTTTTTTAAAATACAAAAATATGTATTTTGTTTGTTTAAATGGGATATAAATGCATAAAATCAAATTATTCCAAAATTCTCACTCGTGCAAACCATAGATAATTATGAGGTGAAAAAGATATCATTGGAATGATGACGCTGAAACACGTGTATTAAAGCATTAAAAACTGAGAAATATCAGCCAAAAGAGGTTGGGAAAAAGGGAAACAAAATCAAATCTGAAAAAATGTCAGCCCAAAGAGGTCGACAAAAAAAAAGTTGAAAAAAAAAAAACTTTTCTGACCGACCGACCCATGTTTTGGTACCCAAAGGGCTATACAACAAGTTTTTATTTTAGGCCTTATAGAAGCATTCAGTTATTATGTGTATTATACGATGTATTTGTGTCCACACACCATTTCTGCACTTCATGGCACTCCTTGCAGTTACATGCCTGACCTACCATCCCAGTGCAGCTTCCAGAGTGAGCTGCCAAAGGGATTACTCACCCAAGTACCAAGTCATCTTTTGCCCTTTGAGTATTTTCATCATAAACTAGAATGACTTCTTTCAAATTTAGACATTAAAGATTTTGCATACCTGTGCACCATCACTGAAGTTCAGATGATAAATTTGAAAATAATACGTTCATACTTCCATAGAATATAATTTTCTATGTTGGAAGGAAAGGAATAGGAACAAGTTGCAAATTTAAACCTCCATTAATATTATGCCATTCCTTCTCTCTTTACATTTTGAAATTCACAAAAAGTATTAATTCTTGGAAGCAAAGAAATTTCTGGATCGTGTTCCTGTCACATCTTGGTCTGTTGTATGAGAATGGTGTAGAATGAATTTAAAAATTGAAATGCAGTTGAAGTTTAAATCGGTCAAACTAATGCTAAAAAATCAACTTCTTTGTTTTATCTTTGATATAGGAAGCAAGAAAATTACCGGAGTATGGAATCCACTTCCATCGAGTGACCCACAACAAGAAGGAGAGCACACGAGGGGTGTGGCTTGGGGTGTGTACCCGTGGTATCATTGTCTATGAGAAGGGGGGCAAAGCTCGCAAACAAGTCCACGCTCATCCTTGGAACAAGACTAAGAAGATTGCTTTTGATGTAAGTATGGATTGATTATTGGAACACATTTAGAACTCAAAGTAATTTTCCAGTATTATCTCCTCGCGTACTTTCACTATGATGCTAACATAAAATGGATAAAAATCACGTATAAGGAGTTATTTTCTATTTTCTCTTAAATAATTTGAAATGAAGGTAGCGATGTAATGAAAGTAAAAAATAAACAATAGGAGGAATTTGTTAATAATGGAAAAGTACTGTATTATGTCATCATCAATGATTGGTTTGTGCACCACTCGTCACAAATACTTTGTGCATCTTCATTAAAGTGTTCATATTTATTTGTTACAAAGAAAATGGCAAATTAAAGCTATATTGTGAATTGTCAAATAATGTTAACCTAGAAAAATTAAATTAAACACAATAATTTATTTTCATTGCAAAGAAAAAAAAAGAAAACAGTTTGTATAACATCTATGGAAATGTACTTCAATGCTCACATCGTAATTGATTTTTCTTTTTGTTTCACAGCGGAGAAAGTTTATAGTAGAACCTTTCGATGCCACTGGGATGAAGTTTGTTCACTTCACAGAAAGCTACAAGAAGTAAGTACAGTTACGATTTATGTAAACAGTTTTGGAATTTCTACATCACATGCTATCATTGTTCCAAAATGTCTCCCCGGAATGAAAAGGGGTACCCTTCTTTTGAATAAGAATGATATCCTTAAAGCCAGAAATAACTAGGCTTTTGATTTGATTGATTTGAGTTTATTCGTCCACAATGTGGAAATATGCTTTCCACCAGCATTACAATGATACGAGAAACAGAGTACAATAATATGAACATATTAACAATTAAGCAAGCAATTTCAGAACAGAAAAGATCTCGTCATTTCACATAAATAATACAAAATTGTTTAAGCCATCCAAAATTGTTAAACTTGATTAGATGATTAGAAATATCTTTGAAATAGCTTTATGATAACAGTTTATAAATTCAAATAATTATAATCATTATTGCTATTGTTATTATTATTAATATTATTATTATTATTATTATTATTATTATTAATATTATAATTATTATTATTATTATCTCTTAACGAATTGGTTGAACATGTGGATAGAGTTTGGTACGAAGGATTGGCGGAAGCGTGCTCGGTTTGTGCGTGGGACGTTTAATCGAATTCCAGAACGGTTGAAAGAATACTGGGTGTTGAGAGGGTGACTTTGATCTTTCATGATTTTGTTTGTTTTGGACATGAGTCTCTGTTCGAACAAACAGTTTATATCAGCCAAATCATGCCCTATCACTCTCTGTGCCGCTCGCCGCACCCGGTCTAAGCGAGTCCGGTTTTTCTGGGTCCCATTTCCGTAAAAGCAAATCACGTTGTATGTTAAAATGCTTTGTATTAGTGACTGATAGAACAAAACCAGAATTGTTCTGTCAACGTGAATATTTTTCATCATTCTCAGAAAGTAGAGTCTTTGGTTTCCCTTCTTACACAATGTTTGTGTGTTTTTAGTCCAGTCTAAAGTGTTGGTAACTATGCTTCCCAGGTACTTGTACTCCTTCACCTGTTCAACCTCCTTATTATGAAGAAATAACGGATCGTGTTTATTTGATTTTTTCCGAAAGTCAAACACCATTTCCTTTGTTTTAGATACGTTTAAGTGGAGGTAGTGCGCATCACACCACTCAATGAAAGCATTCACCGTTGTGACATAGTCATTTACATTCTCATCAGTAAGATGTCCAGTGATTACCATATCATCAGCATATTTTATGATATTACAATTTTCATTGTCACTGATAATTTTACTAGTATACAGGGAGAAAAGGGCGGGAGATAAAACACATCCCTGCTGGGCACCTGTACTAATTACCTTGGTACAAGATTTAATCATTCCCAATCTTACTGCCTGAGGTCTGTCAGGCTGACAAGAATTCTTGAAATTCAGAAACAATGATACAATATTAAACACTTAATAAAGAAAGTATTGTCTGATGAGAGCCAGAAACATTTAAAGTATGATACATGGATCTAGTCCAAAGACTATTAATATCATGTTTACAATAATGGGCAACATAAACAAAAATAAACGTGAACATAAAATCTAGTTATGAATGAGAAGTAGATAAACTTATGAAGCAGATTGTTGAATATATGCATCAGACTTAATGCCTTTCTTGCTCTCTCAATAGAGGAAATGTATCATTCATTTTTGTACTAAAAAGAACATTTATTACATAACATTAACTTCCTGCTCAATAACTAAACCAAATATTTAAAACAATGACCAGTACATTTTCTATGTATTGGTAACTATTTTCATGTTATTTTTCACAGGGGTCGCTATTTGGTACAGCTCTGCAAATCACAGCATAGATTCCACATGGCTGTGAGAACTAAAACTAATATTGCTCATCAATTTCAGAACGGTGAGTGGTTTATAGCATCATGAAATATGTTCGCAAACCCGTAGCGCGATCGTGTTTTTCATTTATTCTTTTGATAACTTTTTTTTCTGAAAGGAAGAAAGGTTTATTTTAAAGTTTGAGTACATAGAAGGAGATCAGTATTCATTCATGGTCATGAAAAGAAATTTAATTCAAGTTTTCTTTTTCTGCAAGTCAAAACTATTTGAAGATGTGTTTGTCTGTACTTTTTGTACCAAATTGATATCATAATAGGAAGATAATTTAAAGCTTTTTCATACCTCTCAAATACACTGGAAATTTAAGTGATATTATTAATGGGTTATTTACAGTGTAGACCAATTAGATAAACAATTTGTGTATGCATCTTGAAAACCTTTGAAGGTTTTTCCAACCTACATGCATTTCCAATGCTTCCCCCCCCCACATTACCCGAGTTTATTCTACGGTAGTTTAAAAGATTTTTTATAGTGGAAACAAAGAAGGGGACCAGTATTCATTCACGGTCATGAAAAGAAACTTAATTTAAGTTTTCTTTTTCTGCAAGTCAGAAATGTTTAAAGTTATGTCTGATGGTATTTGTACCAAATTGATATCATAATAGGAAGAGAATTTAAAGCTTTTTCATACTTGTCGAATGCACTGGAAATTTAAGTGATATTATTAAATGGACTATTACAGTCTAGTCCAATTAGATGATCAATTTTGTGTACATATCTTGATAAGCTTTGAAGTTTTTTCCAGCCTACATGCATTTCCAATGCCTTTCCCCCACATTACCTGAAATTTTTTCTACAGTGGTTTGACAGATTTGTTATAGTGCAACCAATTTGAAATTATTATCAATTCTGTAGATTATGGCATAGAAGGAGAGTCCTATAGCCTAGCGAGCGGGTCACTACGCTACGCCAATCATTACGAGCCGAACGATGAGTTTGATTACAGCGACGCCGAGCAGAGCATGATGGGATCGGTTCCCAGTGAACTTGGTGCTTCCTCGTACACCATTGATAGCATGAGGCATCATGGGATGCCCGAAGTCAAGAGGTCAACTTCAGGTTACGAGGAAATCAGGATTGGGAGACAACCTCCTCAGATCAAGGTACATAAAGTCACATTCTGATTATGATAATAATAATAGTAATAATAATTTGATTTATATAGCGCCTTTTCCAAAGGATACAAGGTGCTGCTCTCTTAGACTTTCAACAATTTAAGAGGAGTTGTACAGGTAAGTTTTCAGTTGTTTTTTGAAGAAATCTAGTGAAGTACTGTTTCTTAAGAATGAGGGGAGTTTGTTCCAGAGACGTGGGGCTAAGGACTGAAAGGATTTGAAACCAGTCTGATTACAGGATTTGGGAATGATTATCTCTGCTTTAATTGTTTCATAGATTGCGGGGGAATGATGTTCCCTACAGGAAAGTACATACAAATACATACTTTTCAGCAAATAAAAAGCAGAAACATATTTATGCTTGGGTTTTTATGTCCTCATTCAATCACTTCTGTGTTTGTTGTAAATGAACAGAGCCCTGAGAGACGACCTCACTCCACTCCAGTAACGGAGGGCAGCAGACAACAAAGATCAAAACCAGTGAATCAGCCGTACAGAAATGGGACAACGGGGTCAAGGTCAAATGTCAATCCGCAGCATGTGCTCCTCGAGCGTCAGCAAGATGAGTACGATGGCAATGGTTACGTCGAGAACGGGTACGAGGAGGTCAGCAGGGGTCAGCCAAGGTCGCAAGGGAGGTCAAGGCAGGAGTTGCAAGAGATTGAAGATGACCCTCCTTATGCCACTATAGCGAGCATCAAAGAAAACAGAGAGAAGAGCAAGCAAAAGAGAAGGTAATGTTTGTACTTACATGTACGTATGTTGGTATTTTGGCTCCTGAGGTTAAGTATGTTTATACAGTTGTATTTTTTTTTCTTGATGATCATGAAATAAGCACTAACAAATATCTTTATCTCTGGTAAAGTAAATGTGATTTTCATCCCCCATCTAATCTAGTTGTCTGTTCAGATTTGCTGTGAGACCAAAGTTTATACAATGTATGGAGAAAAGAAAAGGCTCTCGATTAGTAGATACTTAAGGAAGCTTTGCTGAGAAATGTCTTGGCGTAAAGTGTATGATCATATAGAAATCAAAGTTACATGTAGCTGTTCTTTGAAAACTTTTTGAATAGTTGTGAAATCCATGTTAAAGATAAACTTTAGTATTGGTAATGCGATTGCATTCTGAAAGAAAAGGTGTGGAAAGGATCAGAAACTGTTGATCATGTAGCATGTAAGTATTGGGGTGCACTGCAAGGTTCTGGAGTCATCAAAATCATAATAAATTTGACCGAGTCTTGGTAAAGTAACAAGCACTGTACACAGAAAGCTATATATGGGACAACACACATGGTGTCGGGGCTAGTACTACCTTGATTTCCTTGTCTTTCTATGCTCATTACTCAGCCAGTATACATTTTCTTCCAAAATTGTTCGGCACATGTCATTTATTTGTAATCTTGAACATTCAGTGTAAGTTTTGTTTGATTCTGTGAGAATTAATTTTCCTTTTTTTACCAGAACTGGAGTTTATCTTTAACATTTACTTTATGTTTAAATAATCTTTAATGTTTTGATTTAATTTTAGCAGGGCACCTAAGACGAGAGGTGAAGAGAGCGGATATGCAGAGATTGGATCTAGAGAGTCAGAGAAACCATACGTCCTAGGTAATTATCTCTTTCTTCAGTTTTGCATGTATAAGGATTCAAAACAGTGAAAGAAAAGATCTTCTCAATGCCAGAAATAGATTGTTGTAATCAAAGTCACTTTCTTCATAAAAGAAAAAAAAGAAGTAAAGATTTACCTTTGCTAGCTTGCATAACATGTGTTACACCTATCTCACTTGGATGCAAAATTGTGCTTTAATTCAGCCACTGTTATTGTTCTTGTGTTGAACACTGTTGTCCTTTCTGGATTAGTTAGTGCATATGTTTACTAATGTACTTCCTTCCCCCCCCTCCTGTATGTCATGTTTTTTAAATGAAATCATTTTTTAATTCTGTGCAAATCCCAAGAAATGTTTCCTACATATTCCTTCACTTCTTTGTACACTGCAATATTATTCAGCCCAAATAGGCTGCACCATCTTCCATGCTGGAATGCTCCCCAGGGAGTGGAAAACGTGCATACATTGTGTGCGGGTAAGCCTGAATCCGATTACCGGGGTAATAATATATCTGTAAAGCGCTTAGGCACATCGTTGGATCTATGTATTGATCGCTATATAAACACGGAATATTATTAATATTATTATGCTTTTTGGGTACATTTGCATCAATGTCGCGAACAGGATTGTTCCTTTTCCCTGTTCATTAAATCTGTGCATAATCAAATAAATCGAAGTTGACCTACCGGTATGTCCTCTGCTATCCTGAGCAAACTTGCACATTCACTTGTTTTCAGGTACAAGCATCCACAACAACAGTCGGGCCCAGTCTCGTAAGTCTTTGGACCAAGATGAGTCCATCAGTGAATCCCTGAGGGAGCGTCTGGAAGATCTGCCCCCTTCAGAGCATCCTGAGAGGGATATTGTCATAGTTACCCTCAAGAAGAGCCAACAAAAAGGACTTGGTAAGTATCCATACAGCTGATTAGCTGTAAAAAATATCTAAAGAACGTTGTGTCTACAGATACATCTATTTTGTCTGTAAGAAGGAGGTGTTTTGAAATGAAACCTTTTAGTTAATATAGAATTCCTACTCAGAATAGAAAATGTTGTGTGTCAAAAAGAATAATTGAAGCCTCCTCTTCAAAATATAAATTTCCTCTGAAGGTTTATTTAAGCACATTATTTTTCTAGCTTTTCATACCAAGTTATATGCCCTCGATGATACCTCTCAAAGCTCATGAATCAGGTTTAACAAAGATGGTCATTTAAAATAAAGAACAGTGTTCTATTTTGGCCAGTATTCATATACTTGAGGTTATGGTTAACATCATCAAAGAAAGTTGACTCTTTTTTTTCTAGATTAAACTTTAATCACAGTCAAACCCATCTATAGCGACCGCCCAAGGGAAACACAAAAAGTGTTCTTTTAGGTTCCTTTAGTACATGTTTCAATGAGAAACCATTTTCAAGGGAAACAAAAGATATGGTCTTTGTAGACAGGTGGTCACTACAGTAGGTTTGACTTTATTATAAATTAATTTATTCTTTCTATGATGCTTAGAAGGTGAGTGTATGAGAAAATGGTGTTACAGGTTAAAGCCATCAGTTTTTATTTCTCCCTGACATTTGTTTCTTTGTATATGTTCTTCCATACATGAATAACACCACATTTAATCACTAAATCCTTCTTCTCACCAGGCCTTACCATCGTTGGAGGGGAAAACTCCCGGAGCTTAGACCTGGGCATCTTTGTTCGTTCCATCGAGCCTCATGGCCCCGCCCACAGAGATGGCAGGCTTCATGTCGGAGACAGGATCATCTCCATCAACGGACAGAGTCTGGAGGGGGTGGGGCATCGCGTTGCCGTGGATATCATCAAGAATGCACCGGAGGTCGTTCAGCTGATTGTTTCTCAACCTAAGTCGGGTATTATTACTATTACTATTATTATTATTTATTTGACCAATCAGAAAACATACAGTGAGTATAACAATCAGATAATACATAGAGATTTCATAATACATGCAAACAGTATTAGGAAGGTGGATAGGAGAGAGAGAGAAGGATGCAATCTGCTGGTCAGGGGTGACAAAAGCAATTGAAATTGCTTTTACTCGAAAACATGTCACCCCCACAGGCTGCATCCTAGGAAATAATGAGTAAAGAACAGAATAAAAAATCCAAATATGAGGTAATAAAACATATCAGGATAAAATTATAATAATTTGAACAAAACCATTATATCTTTCATTAATTTCATTACATTATTTTGTCATTACAATGTCTTTACATTTATCACATGAAACTAAAAACTTTCAAATCGATTAAATGTTGCCTACATTAGAAACATTTGATTTGATATGTACAATGTACTAGTGTAAAGTTTGTCATTCTATTAGTAATCACTGTATGTTGTGATGTATTAGATGAAACATACATGTAGATGAATCACATGTGGAAAAGGAGGGTCAAACCAATGCAGCAATATGTTGTATCTTTATCAACAAACTTGTTTATTGCAATTGGAAAATAGACATTAGAAGTAGTCATGATATTGAATGGTAACCTTGTATTGCATTGTCTCCCAGGATTAATTCTTTCAATGCCATAGTCTATATTAGTGCAAGTAATGAAAAAAGGTTTCTTATGATACATATAAACTTTGTGGTAATTGATGGATTGTGAATTACTGCTGTATTTTTGCAGGCTTGAATTCTAAAGTCTCATCCACCCCGAGCACAGAGGTTGTATATGCCAATGTACACCACCCTGCTAAAGCCCATCCAACGCCCCTCGCACCTAACCACCAATCCCAAGGCTCTCTAGAAAACATCCAGGATCTCCCCGTAGAGTCCTCAGCAAGTGACAGCTCCCCCAAGCTGCGCAACAATCAGTTCCCACCGACCAAGCCACGGCGACGCCCGGAGAGCTTCGGGTCCAACTACAGCCTGAACTCAGACCAGGAGAGGAACGGGTCAGGAGAAGGGAAACACAGAAGGTATCTCACCGTGGAGAAACCAAAGATTGTGAAGAGGAAAGGAGTCGTGGATGATGAGGAGGAGGATGATAGAGGGAGGATTACTGAGAGGAGCGAAGACGTTTCGAGGATAACTACAGAAGTAAGCCATTTACTTATCGGATAGTGAAGCGGAAAAGTTGAATGGCCTAATTACAAAATCTGAGCTTTGGTCAACTTTGAAGTCAATTCCAGCAAATAAAGCCCCCGGGTTGGATGGTCTTCCAAGTGAATTTTATGTTTCGTTTTTTAATGATATAGTCAAAATGCTCATTGAATCTTATAATTTTTCTTTTTGCAATGGTTTATTAAGTCAGTCACCAAAATAGGGAGTAATAACTTTTCTAACGAAGGGAGATAAAGATCTATTGGATGTAAGCCTGAGTTATTACATTTTTTTGTGCTCACGTTTAACCGTTAACTTAATATGGCTGGTTTTGTTTAACCGTTATGAAATATGCGTATTTGTAATAGTGCTGTAGCTCGTAACGCCAATGTTTGAGGTGAATTGTGTGTGTGTGTGACAGAGAGAGCATGCATGGACCATAGAGAGTGAAGAAGTAAGACAAGTGAGATAGAAAGGGTGGCTGTGTTATTGCCGGCTGAATTGAAGAATGATAAAAAAACAACTCACAATATGCCCAAGACATTCTTGATTTTGTTGATGAATATTTCAAAATATTCAATTATTATTGTTATCATTATTTTTGTATTTTATTGTATATATATATATATATATATATATATACATTATTATTATTATTATTTTTTTTGGGGGGGAGGGGCGAGTCGTCAAGGGATTGATGTTAATATTGAGAGAGGGTGAGATTATTAGAAGGGGGGCATGGTTGGTTACAAATTCATTCATAGAGATTACTGCTGCCAGACAGCTGGCGCCCAGCTGCCTGGTGTAATATTACACTGTGGTTTCTTTGATTATCTTTATTATCGGCTATTGGCACATTCCAAAATGTATACAAATAACGGTGAAACAGAGAGAAAAATGCTAAACGGTTTTGATGAATGCGGTCGTTCAACCATCGGTTAAACAGTTTGACTCAGGCTTGATTGGATGTAAAAATTATAAACCAATTTCATTACTAAATGTAGATTATAAATTGATGAGTCATAGATTGAAAAAAGTCATGAATGCTTTGATTTATTTTGATCAACAAGGATTCTTAAAGGTAAAGACCAGTTTTGGAAACGCCCCCCTCTCAAAAAATGAAATGGAAGCTCTTATTACCAATCATGTGAAAGGATATGTTTTGACTAATACGTGATGATACAAATTTTGCTGAGAAACCGCCTACTAATTGATATATTTGGTAAATTATTATATCTATTTGGACCTGATAGATATCGCGCACGTGTCACACACGTGTCGCGTAGTCTGTGTACAGTGCTTGTAACTTTACCAAGACTGGGCCAAATTTCTTATCATTTTGATGATTCCAGAACCTTGCATGCCGTACACACCAATACTTATATGCTAAATGATCAACCTTTTCTGATCGATTCCACAACGTTTCTTTCACAATGCAATCGCATGACCATAACTGGTCTTTATCTTTAAGGGGTCGCAATATCAGTGCAAATATTTGTACAACTATAGATGTGATCAAATACACTAATTTGCTTGATGTGCCTGGATCAATTGTTCTGTTAGATTTTAAAAAGGCTTTTGATAGGATCGTGCATGGATATTTATTTGAATCACTGAAACATTATAATCTCAGTTATGATTTTATAAATTTCATGAAAACCTTTTATAATGAAAGAATTAGCTATGTTCATAACAATGTTTTTTAACGAAACCCTTCTCCGTGTCCAGAGGCATGTTTCAAGGGTATCCTATTTCACCTTACTTGTTTGTTTTGGCCATTGAAGTGTTAGCTGTAGCTATCCTCGATAATCCAGACGTTAAGGATGTTAAAATAAACAATATAGAAAAGAAAATTAGTTTATTCGCTGATGATACTATCTTCTTTTTTAAAACGGTGAAACAGACTCTTTTGTTAACTTATTTGAACTGTTGAACTATTTTCATAGCTTCTCAGGATGTTGAATAAATATGTCAAAGTCTAAAGCAATTCATATCGGAAGTTTGAAAGACAGGCAGATAACCCTGTTTCATGGGGAAGGGCCGAGCTGGAGAAAAAAGGAATTTAAATCACTAGGAGCAACTTTTTCCTTGCAAACTAGATGTTTGTATGAACTTAATTTTCCTTTAAGGTTAAAAAAGATTGAACTACTGTAGTTACAAATTGTTGGAGGCAGAGGAATCTATCTCTGATCAAAAAAATAACAGTAGTTAAATCTCTCTTATTGCCCCAACTTTTATATTTGTTTTCCGTTTTATGTATTAATGTACCCATTTCCTTTTTCAAAAAGTTGGATAATATTTTTTACAAATTTATATGGAATAATGGAAATGATCGGGTTGAAAGGGCTTCAATGTGTAACTTTTATGAATAGGGAGGTCTTAAAATGGTAGATCCTTAAACATTTGCAAAATTTCAAAAAATGGTTTGGGTGAAGCAGCTTTTAGATATTAAGTATGAGAATACTTGGACAAGTATAGAGCTAGAAATGCTTTGAATGTTTAATGATGACCCATTTGTATTATGGAAATCAGATGCACCCCAACGTCTTTTGAATAAGTTAAGAAATTGTCAGTTAATAGAAACTCTGAAAGTGAGGTATGATTATAAATCTGTAATGTTAACAGAATTAAATCTCAATAGATATCATATGCAGGATTGCATATGGTGGAACAAAAAAGTGAGCTTAAGACACAGACCTTACTGCTATTATCATGCATGGTATGAAAGAGGTATCGTTAATATCAATCATTTATGTATATAGAGGCTCTAATCTGGTGAAGACATTTGAAGATCGTGTAATTGAATTTGATATTCCTTTGAAATATCGTTGAAAGTGTGATCTGTAATGAATGCGATTGTATTTGGATTGGTTTTTGAAACCTCCAGATGTGGAGGAGGATATTTTTCAGAAAATTGTCTCCGAGCTGGTGAGCAAATTGAAAGGGCCTAGATACAGTATGCATGTATTATTTATTACGTAAAAGAAACATTTCCTCTGAACACAAGATTGAAATGAAATGGGAGTCTTGGTTTGGTTCTGATAGAAACGAAGTCGAGTGGTTAAGGATACACAAAAATAATTATAATTGTACTATTAAAACTCAACTAAGATCCTTTTATTTCAGGTTATTTCACAGTGCTGTAGCCTTAAATGCATTTTTATTCAAAATCGGAAGGAGTGATTCTCCAATGTGTTATTTTTGTAAAAAGTCCCCCGAGATCTTGAAACATATATTTTGTGAGTGTGAAATGGTTGCTCCTTTATATGGAAAGAACTGACTGATTATATTGACTATAGGATTAAGGAGTCCACAATATATATATGCAGATTTTAGTTATGTCTTTGGTGTTGACATTGGCAGTAAACATGAAAAATGTATAACTTATTTGTTTCTCTGTTTTAAATTTATTAGATGTAAAGCTTTTATTAATTTTCTAAAAAATTAAGCAAAAGATTGAATACAAGATTGCTGATATGAGAGGTAAATTGAGCCTGCATTTAACTAAATGGACATGTCAGTTGTAGACCATTAAAGGTAAAGACCAGTTTTGGAAACGCCCCCCTCTCAAAAAATGAAATGGAAGCTCTTATTACCATCATGTGAAAGAATATGTTTTGACTAATACGTAATGATACAAATTTTGCTGAGAAACCGCCTACTAATTGATATATTTGGTAAATTATTATATCTATTTGGACCTGATAGATATCGTGCTTGTGTCGTGCACGTGTCGGTAGTCCCATATACTGGTACATCTTTCTGTGTTCAGTGCTTGCAACTTTGCCAAGACTGGGCCAAATTTCTTATCATTTTGATGATTTCAGAACCTTACAGTACACACCAATCAGTGGCGGATCCAGGGGGGGGGCCCGGGGGGCCCGGGCCCCCCCCCCTTGAGAAAAAAATCATGTAAAATCACGTGATTTTTACCTTTTTTGGAGGTTGGGCCCCCCCCCCCCTGGCGCTCAAGGGGGGGGGGGGTGCAAATTGAAATTTTTTTTGAGGATCAAAAAAAAAAAAATGTGCTCACTTTTGTAGTGCTCACTATCACCCCTGAGATCAGTTGCTACTACTCAAATATATTGTATGATGCACTTTTTCTTAGATACATGTATATGTTTTCATCTGCTACCTAACCTGTTCTTTGTGTTGTGTTACAGTTTCACTATAAAAATAAGTAAGCCATTTACATATTTTTTAATAAAAGAATATTCTAGTGCTGTAAGTTATTGGCTGCTTTTAAATCTTGTTTAGTGAATGTGTGTTTAACGGTAAAGTGAAACAATTTTCAGATCTAATATCACAATGCACAAGATTACCTGGCTTACATTTATTTGCAAATCAGGAGGGCCTTGTTTCATAAAACTTTGTATCAATAACAAATTCAGTTTCAGTTGTTATCACATGAAATATCTTTACCCGAAAGTAGCTGTAAATTACTCTCTAGAATTATAAAAGGGGTTAGAAGACCTTTTAGTTAGATTTGATCTTGATTTGGATATAATAGGTTTCAAGTCAACGATTTTTCCTTCAATTATTTTACTCGAAGTTATAAGTGTGATCAAGAAAGGGGTATTTAATAGTCTTAAGAGATGCCCTGTTCAAGGTATATGGGGGATGTTCTCCCTAGATCTTCAGTGTCAGAATGATACAGTTAAAATTAGAAAGAAATTTAAAATCAAGGTTGATAACAATTTTTTTTTAGTTATGCATTTTCATTTTTTCACTTTCATTTCCAGTAGGCTGTCAAAAGTCCTACATCAAAGATATTCATGTTAATCATAAACTTTATTTCTTCATTACTATAGGATATCCACTCCAGGCAGTCTGTCAAGGATGAACCAATAAGTACCGGCATCCTCGACAACCATTCTGAGGACGACTGGGACGACCTGGAACACGACGACGACGATGATGACTCAAAGGTCACGACCCCTGAGAGCTCTGACATGGAGGACCTCTTTGGCGACATGGACGAGAAGAAGAACAAACCAAAACTCAACTTTCGCAAAATCAGCGCTGGTATCGAATCCCCTCCCGTAACCGCGACGCCATCGACCGTGACAGCGATGTCGCCATTGAGTGAGAAGCTGACATCGGGTACAGCATCAGCAGCCAAGGAGACGGAGGTCGATGATACCGAGGCAGAGCAGGAGGGTAATCTAGATGAAGAAGTGCAGGAGGCTAGCGAGGGACTCGATCTACTACCGGGAGACAAGTATACTGTTCAGCTGAAGAAAGCTAATGGCTCTTTGGGCATCAGTGTTACGGTAAGGGAGAAATAATGATGAGAGTCATAGACCTTATCTCACATGGAATTTTCTGTCTGTAAACCTCAGATGAATTGTCAGGAAAGAACTGTGAAACTGTGGCTTAAATCACAAGTTCGATGTCAACAACATTTATGTCATATTTGAGCTTTGGTAACTGGTGCTTGGCGGTTTGTAGTTATAAACAGTGGGTGTAACTGTATCAAAAGCTTGTTGCGTTGTGTACTTTACTATAGGGTGTCTGGATATCGTAAGTCAAGATTTTGATTGTTATTAGTGTACTAACATGTGTTAGTGTGAGCATGAATGGCAAGTGTTTGTGATTTTAATCAAGGCAATTACTTTTTGTCATGCTTAAATTCAAAGTATCTTGAAGAGTTTGGTAACGAATGAAGAGAAAGTAAAATAGATTCACAACACTACTCTGTGAACTTTGACCTCCGTGACTTCTTATTGAATTACAGGGTGGTGTTAACACGAGTGTAAAGCATGGAGGTATCTACATTAAGACCATGGTACCAGGAGGAGCGGCTGATCAAGATGGCCGTATCAAGTCTGGTGAGTGAAAAAAAGAATTGTTCATTTAAGATATAGAATTGAAAGGTAAATACGTAGGTGTCATGGTCGAGTGGAAACATGTATGTCACCGTGGCTCTAATGTCCTTTATCAAAACATTGATCTACATTTGCTACTCTCCATCCAGGTGTTAAATGGGTACCCTGTAGGATGCAAAAGTTAATGTGGTTGGATTAGCAAGTGGCGCTTGTAAAATGACGACTGGCTGGAATGCTCCCCAGGGAGTGGAAAATGTGCACACAGTGTGTGCGGATAAGTATTGAATCCAATGACCTGGGGTAATAGTATATCTGTAAAGCACTTAGAGACATTTGTATTAAGCGCTATTTAAAAGCGGAATATTATTATTATTATTATACTATCCACTCAGGTTTGGCCATATATATTCATTACTCTGTTGTTTTCACTCCTGATTATATTTGATTGACAGAGTCACTGTACTCAAGATTATATATGCATAGTTGATTTAAATTAAGGAAGAGTTCTCATGTTTTACCAAATTGCTTGGACTATCTAACAAAATTGCAACGTTGTGTTGAAATCTTATAAACAGTCAAGTACAAACACACATGCACACATCTGCGACTATGTATTCAAAGGAATTCAAGTAAAGTTGTACATGTATGTATGTTATAAATCTCAAAAGTACAAGTAAAAATTTAGCACTTATTTCCAGTGTAATCGTTTGGAGCACAGCTGAGTTGAAAACTCAAACTAAACTGCTGTTTTTTTTACTAAACCTAATCAGGTGACCGGCTACTGGAGGTCAACAGGTCAACCCTGACCCAGGTAACTCACAAGCAGGCGGTAGAGATCCTCCGCCGGGCCAAGGATGTGAGTACGCTGGTCATTGAACGCGGCATTCCTCCTGCAGCCACCAGCGCTCTCCCTCCCACACCTGTCCACTTCCAGCAGCCCCTGCACCAGCAGCAAGGGGGTAATGGAGGTGGTAGTGGTGGAGGGGTGCAGGTGGATACCAGTACCAACCAGAACACAGGTGCACCAGGTAAAGATTTTGTTTATTTGTTTTTTGTCATTTCATTCAACAAAGTACCAATTAATTTAGGTGGCATCTCAATTATACTTGACATGAAATACATGTATGACATGGACTGTTACTGTAACTTAAATCTGTGAATCTTTCATGTATTTGGCAAATAGACCAGCCAGATTAAGGAAATAACACTTTCCCAGCTGATCGAAAAGCTTTACAATATATTCTCTGTAGAAATTGCTGATGGGACATGTTTAATTGGACAACATTTTGTGTCACATAAATTCTTTTCCACCTCGTTACCATGAATCTTTTAGGATATTGTGCTGGGTGATTTTTCAGCTAAAATGATGATTTCCTGTAAAGGAATTACATTTTTCATGAAGATTATTTTGGTGATTTCACACAATCATCCACACAGACATTCATCCAGCTTCGGCCGATGAAAACCCAGAAACCGACTTTGCTACCGAAAATGAAGACCTTGACCTGGGCACTGCGGATGAAGAATACGAAACAGGATGGGACGATGATGACGATGATGTGGCGGTCAGCAAGAGTGACCCGATGACCATCGAGGAACCTGTAGCACGTATGCAGGTCAAGGAGCAACATGCAACGGCGCCCTCTATGGGGGCCATGTTGCCTCCTGAGATTAAAGGTGATCCTACAAAGAAAGAGCAAAGTAAATTCAAAGATTCCTTTTTATATTTCGGTGTTTTTCCTGCTGTGAAGCTGTAAGCTGTAGCAAGTGTGGAACTTCTTTGCATGGCTTTGTATTCTTGTTCCAAGAAAGGTGGTAATGTAGAAAACTCAATTTGAGGTAGAATGTAAAAATCTCTCTGTAACCTGTTTTTAATTTGAAAACTTATATTTTCCCTAGATGCCCTGTTTGATTTAGCTTTCTATTTTTTTTTTCTCTCTGTTTTATTTGTTATTACCTCTAGTAGAAGTATTGTAACAAATTATACAGTCTTTTTTTTTTAAATCTCTAGAATATCAATAACATTGAAAACGTTTAGTGTATAATAACTTTCTTTATTCCCCACTGGCAATTGTGTTAGATACCCAGTTCTCAGATAATTTGTGTTAGTTTGAATACATGGAGGGATTGAATCTGCATGTGATTGTAAAATTTTTTAAACTTGGAACCAAAATGGTAATTGCTAGACCTACTTTGATTAAGCAGCAACCTGGCCCAAAAAGTTATATGTTGCAGCAAAATACAACTACTTAACATTTAAATAGCTGAAGGCAATGATATGTGGGTTAAAAGTTGAAAGGGTCTCTATGCTTGGCGACTAGTCAGGGATTTGCATGTTACGTAATTATACAAATAAGCATAAGTGACATCCATTACTCTTCTCTTTTCTTTGCTGCAGTGGGTCTTATTGTAAGATATCTTAGTGGTTCTTTGGTGTAATACATGAGGGTTATGTCTTCTTTTTGTAGCTTTAGTTTTCCTTGTATTTCTATCTTTGGTAGAGGGAGTAGGAAACCTTTTTCATGGAGAATTATTCTCGGTGTATGTTCACTTGGTGTATAATGATATCTTTTACCCTTGACATATATTCTCATTCCTTTCCTCTAGTTGAACTCTTTCATATGTGGAATGACCTAGAATACTTGTTTATGTCTTCTCTTTCCATTTAGACTTATTTCCTACATTTTGCATGGATAGTATATATGTCTGGTTCTGCTGTAAAATAACTTATTGTAATAAGTTTTAACTGTGTTTTTAGATGAAGTAACTTACAAACTTTTTGAGTAGAAGTTTTTAAATATAGTAACTGACAAAGTAGAAGTTTACATAGAGTAGAAATAACCAGTTATTAGTAAATAACGAGACTAGTTAAATGGTGCTGACAAATTGCTAATTAAGCAAATCCAAAGTTCTTTCATTTTTTCTTTACTAATTCTAAAACATGAAAAAATTTCATACCTGGTATTGTTTTATAAATGATATTATACACAACAGCAAATAATTAGATGCTGCTTGTACATGTAAGCGTCGGCTTGCATGGTGATGTAGATAAATAATTATTATAGATTTTTTTTTCTTACAGGTAATGCACCCAATGCACCCAATCGTTCATTGATCTAAATATTCTACACTATGGTATGAACCCATACCAGTGCTCTGGTGAGCCGTAGGCCATTAAATTTTGTAGTGGGCATGAATCTTACTAACCTAGCCATATGTTTGAATATAAAATGAGTTTCCTTTACACTTAATAATGTTAGCTCCTATATGTAAAGGCATTATAACATATTAGTAGATGCAGTTATTGTAGAATGATCTATTCTTGTTGAAACTAACCTGGTATTCTTTGATTCCCTTCATGGTTTTGCAGTTGATCCAGATATAGATGACACAGAGCCGCCGGTAAGTCCCTCCTCAGATGACGTGGCTCTGTCCCCTACAGACATACACAGAATGGGATCTCCCATGTTCCCTGCACAGCGCAAGAACAGCCTTGGTGTCATATTCCATCATGACCTAGATGGCAGCATCCATTCTCTGCGGAGATCGTCCTCGGCAGCGTCCCTCGGGATACACTCGGAGCACACCGAGTCTGACGATGGCAACAGCCTCATGATGCCTTCCTTTGCTTCTCATGCGACGACACCCACCATCGAGGCACTGCATGACGAAGACTTCTGCACTCCACCATTGACGGACGATGAGTTTGCTAGTGAGAATGAAATGCCTGATGTACCGGTGGACGAGAGCGTTCATCCGGAGTCTCCCGGCTCTGTCACCGAATCGCCCTACGCTTCGGATGGCTATTCGGACGAGGTGGATGATTACTTGGCAGAAATTGCATCGCCGACATTGAGCACTCGCGAGGCAGACACGTTGACACCCACTGCCCACCTGACAGGAATGCGTAAGAGCGCGAAGCGGAAGTCGTGGGTGAGCATCGCAAGCAGTCATTCTCCGGCTCCAACAGAGAGCACACAGTTTGGAAGAACAGAATCCTCGCCTCGATCCAGCCGAAAATCACCAACATCGCATCTGTCCGAGTCCTCGGAAGAATCAGGCAGCGAAGAGTCTGGATCAATGTTATTCAGCGATAATGATATTGCAGGACATTGGTCAGACGAGGAAGACCACAGGCTGGTCAAGTCAAAGCTACCAGCAGAGAGCACCCCCAAAGATCCTAACTTTGTATCGCGGCGAGTAGCCATGAAGTCTCCTGCCAGCCCTGAACCCATATCAGAAAGCTTCCAAGATGCCTCTCCATCCCTACCAACCATGTCCCCACCGCTCTCCTCCCGCTCGTCATCCCTGACACCATCCCAGGCCAGCCAGATCTCACTCACCAGCCCCATCCAGGATGAGGAGGCAATGTCACCTAACTCCACCTTGAGCAGTGTGGGTGCCCTCACTCTGACACAGACAATGCTCTCACAGACAATGATGTCTACAGGATACATGAGTGAGATTGACATGCCAAACCTTCCTTATGTTACCCCAGGTGAGGGCAAATTTTTCGCTAAATCTCCATATTTTGTCCTTTTTCTTTGTAATAATAATAATAATAATAGCTAGTTCTTATATAGCGCTTTTCAGGACCAAAGGCACTCTCAAAGGCTTTATAGATATAAATATTATTATCCCAGTCATAGGATTCAGGCTTACCCGCACACAATGTATGCACATTCTCCACTCCCTGGGGAGCATCCAGCCAGGCGTCTTTTTTACAAGCGCACACTTGCTAATCTAACCACATTAGCTTTCGCATCCTACCGGGTAATCATTTAACACCTGGGTGGAGAGTGGCAAATGTAGATCAATGTCTTGCCAAAGGATATTAGTGCTGCGGTGGGACTTGTAGTGGTGAAATACTGCTGACATTAGTCCGTTTAACTTTAAAAGGGACCATGGGAACACAAAATTGGAAAATATAATATAAATAATATCCTGTGAAAATTTCACACTTTCTATGGTAACCACTAAAGAGTGTCTATGAAGAATATTTTTAGAATATCATGGGTTGATATTTTGGTTATTCAATCATGTACCATATACTGATCTTAGCTGATACAACCTAGGATGTACATGTATCTTTCTATCTATTTTCTTTTCTTACCTTAATGTATATATGACCTGTCTAAGTGAACTGATGTAATACAGCAAACAAAGGAATATGTGTCTAGAGGGGGCATGTGCTCCTAATCTCACGGCAAATTTAACCAAAATATGTAAATTTGCTACTGAGAATTTAAGCATGAATGCCTCTTTAACCTTTACAAATAAATACCTCTACATAACTGCAGCTACATTTCTTTACATTTTCACCCATATATACATATATATGTTTATGTCCTGCTGTTGATGTACTGAACTATCCTCAACTGATTTGAATGACATTTTGATAGCAGTTATTTAATATTTATATTTTAATTCAAATGAATTAAAGATGGAAATTTTGTTGCCAAAACTAACAATAATTCCCCCCATGACGGAAAGACCAATGCCATGTATCTTGTATGACATACATGTACATGTGAGGTTTGTATCTCCTTGTATGACCTTTGTTCTGTTGTGCTTTACACACATGTACTACCCATTTTCAGTAGTCGTATATCAAGAATTTTTTTAATGAATTGAATGGAGAAGAGACATTCCATTGAATGGTCTCCAAATTCCATACATTGTGGCACACAAGTACAGGGTTAATATTAAACACTGAATAAAGACCTAGACTTGTAATTTGTCTAAGTTTTGTGTATCATATTTATGTAAAGCGCTTAGAAGTTAGAAATAATACATAAATTATGTTGAGCGATATACAAGTGTTAAGTCATATTATTATAATCACCATGATATTTCCTCTTTACAGAGAACACCTTCGAAGTGCAACTCAACAAGGGCTCTCAGGGGCTAGGCTTCAGCGTGATGGGGGGCAAGGGCACCCACACCGACCCTAGAAAGTGCCTCATCAGCATCAAGAAGCTCTTTGCTGGTCAGGCCGCCTCCCAGAGTGGTCTCGTGGAGGAGGGCGATGTCATCCTGGCGGTCAACGGCGAGTTGGTCCACGATGCCACCCATCCGGTAAGTCAATCTCAGAGATCCATAGTCTGTATTAAAATCATGAGCCATGCTACCGAAGGTGGTGCCACAAGACTTGACCACAAAGTATTTTTTTACTTAATTCTGAGTGGTTATGAGTAAGAGCATGACAGAAAAATGTTTGTCATATTGCTTGGATGAAATGTACATGTATGCATTCACCAGGGCCTGCTGCATAACATTTACCATTGATGTAGCTTTGCCATTATTGGTAACTTCCATGGAAAACTATATTTGATTGACTGTAGAATGATGTTGCCATGGTAGTTTATAAAGATGGCAAATTTGCCATCAATGGTAAGTTTTATGTATTGGGCCCTGATATATATGCTAGCAAGTCTGTTACCCAATATTGTCAATATCCGCTAATTACGATCTTTTGTTGATATTTCAGTCGCGATGCCTGTACATACACTGTATGTATCTCATTTTGAAAATGTTTATAGGAACATAATCTATCATTAAGCATTTAAACATTTGTTATACATGTACATGTACAGTATGTGTATAGTAAATAAAGGAATGGTCACAGTTACAGGTTAAATAGTGAATCCCTAAAATGTGAACCAACTTTAGATCACAATCATACAATCTTTGTCCAGGTTTGAGAGATCACCTCATCAGAAAAATAATTTACCCCTAGAAAGCTCCCAAATAGCTCTGGGAGAACATTTTGAAAAGAATAAAAAATACAATTAGGAAATGTACTAATTATTCATAAAAGAAAAAGTACCAAAACAATTTTTAGGTAAAACAGAATTGTGTATTTGAACAATTAAATGAAAATGGTGAGAAAGCATTGATGATTTAATGCAGAATTTGTCCCTTTTAATGTTTTTAAAATGAAGAAAGAAAGCACCTACCGGTACATAATTATGGTTTCATTCACTGTATACTATCAAAAGAGTTCCTAAGGAAAATATACACATAATTTCTATACCACTGTTTAGGCCAATAACCTCTGTTGCATATGAACTCCCTCTCTCTTTCCACTGGTAAACAATTTCTTGGGCGTGTGAGTTGTGTGAATTGAAGTTATCAGCGCAACGATGCTCAGTAATTAGGTGTGATCTACATGTACAGGGGGGTGTTTCACAAAGATCCTGAGTCGAACTTAACTCTAAGTTGGACTTAAAAATTATGGAGAGCCATTTGTAGCCTTAAATAAAATATATTCAAAAGCGAAAAATTAAGTAGTTTAGACTTTTTTTATAAATTCCACATCAAGAACATGAAATCTCCTTGATAATAGAAAATATGAATGATTTGAATCAACATCTTATGTCTTTTAAAATAACTAATTTGCAAAATATTTTCATAGATACTAACGGCTTTCCATAATTGTTAAGTTCAACTTAAGTTCTTTGTGAAACACACCCCTGATCATCTTGAATGATGACCTCTGTTTTCCCTCTGAAGCTATCCATCGTAACATGTCAAAAATCAGCTGGTAATTGACCTAGTTTTCAACTCTACCCCCTCCCAAACCATCCACAACTTCTAGTATTACACCCCCATACATCCACATGAGCAGTGCTGTCGTTATAGGACAGAAGGACATAAGTGACAGACATTCAAATCAAAGAGATGATTGGTACATCGATCTACTACAAAATAAGAGAAGGGCACTGCATCTACAACTCATCAGATTAAAGTACAAGATTGAACAGAAAGCTGAAATCAGGCAACATAAACAAAAATTGAAAATCAAGTTAATCAAATTAGTCAATACCTGTATGTGTAGAACTTTTTTTTCTTTCTTTGCCTCATCAGAGGACTTATTAAGTATACATGGTTACATTCAAAGATACCGCAAATCAAATTTACATAATCACAAATGTGTAGAATTTAGTTGTATCTTTATACAACTCTCTTCTGCTTTGTAAGAAACCCACACACACACACGCACAGAAAAGAAGAAAATCACTAAAAGCGTGCACTTCATTATTGATTATAGCCTGTTTGCTATTTATTTCAATATTTGGCAGTATTCTTCAAATTTCAAAGTTTATTCAACACTCTTCATGAAAACATTTAAAACATACAAATACAGAATGGAATAATAAAAAAACAAGAAAGTGATAACAAATTACAATGGCAATTTATAGGAGCATTTGGGATAGGCAGAAAGGAAGGGATTCCTTAATGTATGAAAGCCTACCCCTAAAAACACATACAGGGGAAAAAGAAACAAGAACAACAAATATGTCACTTATTGCTTTTTTGCAGTTGTAACTGCTGATTATGTATATAGGGTTGAATGCTCATTAGGAGAAAAGCCTCCTGTGATCAGAGATTTCCTGTATGATCCCCCTCATAACAAGGTATTGATTTCATGCTGCAGGCCCTTCCACATTGCCTTACATGGTTTGTCTGCAAACATATTTCAGGGCTGTAAAATCCAATTTAATAGATTTGCTATCTAATCAGAATTTCCTTTTATTTTTGATAGATAGAATTATATCACAGTGACCATTTTTGTGGACGTCCTATGGAATCTTGTTTCATATGAGCTACAGTGTATATATGTGGAATGTTATTTTCCTAAAAATAAACAGACACAATAAACAGTAGTATTGTTGACTAAATCATATGGGAAGGGTGGAAACAGTCCTTGCATGTTTATTTGTCCATGTTTGTAGTCAGAAAGTTATTAGGTATGAACGCACTCAGGATGGGCTCTGGTTATTTAGCAGCTAGGGCTACAGAAATATTGAGCCCCTGTACTAGCACTGTGTTTCCCATATTTCACACATTTACATAAGTATTTCCTCCTTCTGGACAAATTTATGAGAAAAGAGCACCTACATGTATGTGTACTTGTATAGAAGAGAGAGGGAGAGAAAGAGAGAGGGAGGTAGACAGACAATGTATTTAGAATGTGAGTACATGTAGGAAGGGGCTGTGCATAGGTTCCTTGTGCATTGCTTGCGCGATGGTATAGGAAGTACGGCAATGGGAACACAGTTGTGATAGCCAGCTCTTTACGAGCTTGTTATCATCGAGTGAATAATTGATAGAATCCTCTTTTCCACCCCTTTTTGTCTAATTCCAATTACTTTTCCAATTTACTCACAGAAAAGTAACCACAAGCTATTTTTGTATGCGGAAAGAGAACATTTGTCCTTGCTCATTGTTCACGTAAATAGAATTATTGCACTTTCTAAACACTCAAGGTTTTCAATAAAAGTTCCAATTGTCACAATATTTGTTTATTTATACAGGTACATGCAACAAACAAAAAAAGAAACATGTACACATGTACATGTACATCTAGTAGAGATTAATTACTTTGATGGGAAATGAAAAAATGGAATATTAGTCAAGTAAAACAGTCCGGAAGAAGTACACTGTACTAACATGTAAATTTAATTATTTTCAGAAAAAATATTAATTAGCACACATTATTTGTCATAAGTAATACATGCTTGTCTAAACCCCATGGTGTGTTTAAAATACATGTAGCATAGACATGTTTTTAATTACAACAGATCACAAGACAACTTTGTAAATAAATTCAATGACAAATTAACTTTTCTCACGTTCTATTTGAAGTAGAATATGAATTAAAACATCAAAGGGTGTCAGACAGACAATAATTTCATTATTAAATTCTCATGTGATCTGATGTAATGGAAATGCTAGAGGCCGTCAGATTGAGTATTAAAAGGGGAAACAGTTCCATCATTATTTTGAATGATTAAATATACCATGTAATTAATAGATTACATTAAGTGCATCCATTATGGAAGCGCTAATTTGGTTAAGCAAATTTAGATTGTTTTTCTTCTATTTAAAGTAATCATGTATTATTGGGGATCTCGGGCTTCTGATATCAATTAAAAAGGAATCACTTTTGTCACAGCAAGCAGCGATAGTCTGCTTATTAATGGAGGCCATATGCAACTACATGTACATGTAATTACAAATTGAGAAAGTCTGGAACATTCTTAGAGTGAATCTTGCAACAATTGTAAGTTCTCATCTTATTGTTTCCTTTTTCATCATAAAATAGATAAAAATTCAAAACTTGTGATCTTCATTTGATCGCATTCCAAAAATGATTATGGTTTTATGTACAACTACTGTACTAGTGAAATACCTCAACATAATAACTTTGGATTTACAAACTCTAGGATAGTTATTTTCATTTCCCCCTGAAAATGATGAAAAACTCTGAACTTGTGATGGCCAATTTCAAAGCATGCATTCTAGACATGAGTTGATTACTTGTGAAGAAATCACACATGGATTGACAAAATTGTTCACAATTGAGAATGTACTATTTATTCAGAACATTAACCTTGCAATATAAATTCATTCTTCATGATTTGACATTCAAATATATTTCCCCCTCCTAATTAATTTAAGCTCAAATCATTTTGCATTTATTAAAATTGAATCATTTTGGAAGAAATCACTGTCTGCCCTTATGATTAGTAATGTCTAATTAGGATTTAGACATTTTAAGAACATTTCAGATTAAAATTTTTAAAAATCATGAGTAAAAGAACACTCAAGAAAGTTCCCCATCAAATGAAACATTCTTGATCTCAATTTACTTGGAAAAAGTCAATTCAGCTGTAAATCAAGAACATATTTATTCAGAATATTAATCTAGCAAGAATCCCAAGTCCACATTTAGTTTCATAATTTCTCTTTCAAAAATGAGTAATTTTCCTAACTTATTCTTTCTAATGAGGGAGAGCTTAGTCTCGGTGAAGAACATGTCTTCTTGTGACTTACATACAGCTCTCTGTCTGGTCTGGTCTGTAGATAGTCAAATGGGGATTGAATAATGCTGTCTTGATGTGAAAATTGACAGTTTTAGAGGAACGATTTTGTGAGAAGAGGAATAAGCTTGGATGTGAAGGATTATTTGAGGGATTAAGATTAGAGGATATTTTGGGCAGCTCTTTTAATAGATATCGAATGTGATGACTACTAATGAGTTCATATTATATAGTATATACACAACATTCCTGTATGGAGTCTGGAGTTCATTGAATACACATGCTGTAAATTCAATTTCTAACTTCTTTGAAACTTGAAAGTAGTTCCAAAAATGAAGTTTGAGGATCAGATTAAGTATGTCTGCAAAATTGATTAAGGGGAGAAAAGGAGACTCTTTTATTGTGATGGAAGGAAAGAGGTTTGAAATATATAGATAGAAAGGCTTGTAAACAAAAGTAGTACTTTGTGCACCTGTAGTTCATCCTGAAAGCGCTAGTGAATAAATTATGTCGGAAGTAGGAATTTATATTCGGGAAAGGGAAACAATTTGAATCCTCATGATTGTCATCTTGATTTATGAAGCTGGATACAGGAATAAGAGAGTATTGAAATTTACTTATTAAGATTATTCCAAAATCCATAAAATTCTAGATTGCATGATGGTGAGAGGGTGAGAATAATTGCCAAGAATAAAGCAAAAAGCATGTTACAGGTGATAACAAAGTGGTTCTAGGATACTTGAATGATCAGAGCAAATGCAGGCTGCCTTTAATCTTGAAAACAATGCAAGAAATTATGCAACTACCGGTACATGTGAGTTCTATTTTAGGATATTCCAAATCAAATCATGGGAGCTTATGTCACATTAGCTAGCAGCGATCATAACAAGGAAATGTGCATTGTCTCATGTGTCGCTTTGAGTTCATACCCGCATGACAGGAATTAAGGGGAATGTTTTTAAATTCATTTAACTTGGCAGGGTGACACATACTTTGTTAATAGAGTATCATGTTTGGGACATCCCATACTGACTCTGTGCGCGGGGGACTCAGCAACCAAATAATATTTAACACATTGCCACATGTGACTATACTTCAGGGTGTACAGCAGAATTCTGTTTTTCTGTACTGCAATTTTTGTTTGTTTTTGTGTTCACTTCATGAAAACTAATAAGTGACAAAAATGTGTTCTTACATTCTTGAACAATATGCTGTTTGGATTTTAAGTGTACTTTTTGGAAATTGTTGATTTGCTTCAAACGGATTGCCACTTTTGGATTATCTTGGATTAATGCACTTTTCATAGCGCTTCAGCAGAATGGATATTTATATCTTTACCACTCATTTTTATAAAAGTGACTTGTGAAATATGGATTCTCAAAAATGATTGAAAATAGTGAATGTTAGCACATGTGCCTTTATAAATGAAGTACGCATAAAGAAATATTTCCAAGACTTAGATGATGAAGTCTGTTGATTTGTTGGTTCGCTTTTGGAAACAAAAGGTATGGAGACTCATACAGTATTTCACATTTAAATGTTTCACTATCTATCTGTAAACTGTGTTGAGAAATGTAGATATGACTTACATTCTCTTTTCCTATAGGTGCTGTATTATATACAGTTTTTTACAGAACTATATCCAGGACTATGAATCATCACAGTATATTCGTTCAGTAGTATTTTATTCTTCTAATACTTCAGTTGAATAGACTCAATTTTGGAAAATAGTTGAATAAAAATTATGCCTGAAGAAACCTAGACAGTAGTGCTTGATTTAATTGCCTTGTCTTTTATGATACAGTACGTATTAGTAGCAATAGATGTCTATCACATGTGCTCTCAACCTAGAAGTGTTATATGCTTTTTAGGTGGTAATAACATTTATTTCCTCTGTGATCAAAGTTGTTGAAATGTCTATAAATTGACTTAGAATATAAATGTAGAGAAAAGCATTGCTAAGATTTCAAGAGAAATTACTATTACACTGTATGTAGTGAGAGAAAAATCAATATTCATTTTTATTATAAGAATTGTATTTGTTCCACAGAACAAATTACTCTGAAATCCTAAGTATCATATTACTGCAAGAGGAATAATTTAAAATGGAAATAATTTCATTCAATCATTCATTGATTTCATCAAACTTTCAGACACATAATCTTTCAGCATATGACATAGATCAAACAAATAGCAGAATCTTTCCCTGCTCAAACCCTACAATTTCTGTATTAGTCATAACTGTATGACTAATAGTACAGAATGAATGCAAACTTGTTCCCTAGAATATTTGATTTGATTTGTTATTACTCTTATTTTTGTAATCGATCCAGGAAACGGTGGCTAAATTGAGAGGTGCCCAGGAAAATGTGAAACTCCTCCTGTGCCGACCTAGTGAGGAAGAGCTTCTCAGGCTTCTTCAAAAGGTAATCATTAAAGGGATCCGGTAACTTTGTCTTAGATCCTTTAAAAATATCCATGATTTAGCTCATGCTGCAATTATCATTATAAACCTTAAGGTCAGTCAGGAACCCCATGACTTTTACAAGCCGATCGCCTGTCTGATTATCAAGATATTTATGGTTGAAAATCGAAATCAAATTTTGCGTTTGCCAAACGGTTTTCATTACACTACATTCTATTGGGGAAAATGAGTATGGTAAAACCGGTCACTCAAGGTTTTTACTTTTTTGACGCACTTCTTGATCATTTTGAAGCGCCAGTTTTTAAAGGCTTCATTATAACATCAAATCACAGACACTGATAACACGAAGGGTTGGGCATTTCAGATTTAACATTGTAAAACGATCCCTTTAAAGCTTCTCAATTCGTTAGGTCATGAAAGTAAATAAATCATATTAATTTGGCTTAAAATGTATTGACAAATACTCTTGAAAGTTTTATTACAAAACTAAATAAGTGAAAATGTCCATTGCAATAAGCAGTTTTTGCTACTTAATGGTCTCCTATTACCTTAAAATTGTGTTAATACCTTGTACATATGCTTCATACTTTGTTTCTTGAAATGGTAATAAACCGTTCATTAATAAGAACTACATGTATATTGAAGGTGATATAAATAAGTATTCAATCATAGACAAAATCATGACCACAGGATTGATTGGAAAGAAAAGTCATGAGATTATCACCATTACCTTTGACTTGTTTTTCAATATTTACTTATGTGCTGGTAATAAAACAGTTGAATACTATGTACAGAAAATTACAGTTTTATTCTGACATTCTCCTGTTATCTTTGTAGAAGTCTGAGGAGCTGCAAGTCAAACGAAAAGCTGCCCTTCCTCCTTTGGACACCCCTGCTGCTGGCAACAACTCCATGCCCCTCAGCTCCCCACCCTTCTCCCCAGACCCTAAGGTCTCCTACCCCCCTCTCTCCCCTAACGTCGATGACCTCCCACCACCACCTCCATCACCACCCTCTTCCCCTCCACACTCTGACTATGAAGACGATGGGGAGGATGTCACAGATCAAGGTGCGCCCCCCTTGGAGAAACCATCTCCCGTGTCCAAACTGGCAGCGGCGGATAGAAGTGCCTTTTCAGAGGTGTCGCCCTCCCTCCCCAAGCTGGGAGCGGTGGACATCAAGTCAAAGATCCCTGTCAGTAGCAAGAGGAAGTCTCAAGACTTGGGGGTGAAGGGGAAACCCCTTCTCTCTCCATCCTCCAGTACGGAAAGTTCTCCCAGGAAGATGCAACAGATCATGTCAGAACCATCCTTTGATTATGAAGAGGTAATTGATTCAAGATGGAATACATATAATGATGAAATTAATAATTATCAAACAGGATGTATACCAGTTATATATGGTTATCATATACAGATTAAACACACCCTTTACCTCTCTTTCTCTCTCTCTCTCTATCTCTATCTCTTTCTAAAGATTCAAGATTCAAGATTAATTTATTGTCATGTAAAACATACATAAAATTTGTCGTCGGACATTTGAAGGTGCATATACATGTACATAAATAAATCACAATCATCACAATCTTCTCTCTCTCTCTCTTTCTCTCTTTCTCTCTCTCTCTCTCTCTCTCTCTCTCTCTGTCCCTCCCTCCTTATCTCCTTTTGTTTTTCTCTTCCTCTCTTCATTCTCTCCTCTCCCTCCGCTCATTTCTTTATCAATTCCAGGCGCGGATCCAGGAATTTCTTACCGGGGGGGCACACGGGGGGGCACCGTGTGGGAAAGAGAACATATATATATATTTTTTTTAGTCCCGAAAAAATCGCAACGACTCAGCCATCCGCTGAATAAGCGGGGGGGGGTAAGAGTACACTTTTTTTTGGGGGGGGTCATGAAATTTTTTAATTTGACATTTTGCTTCGTTGGAGGGGGGGGGTTAAGGTCACCTTTTTAGGTCAGCCATTGGTCGGGGGGGCACACCCCTTTTTTTCGGTATATTTTGGGCGAATTTAGGGCTGATTTTAACATATTTTTTTTTTGGCCGGGGGGGGGGGGGGGGGGGCACGTGCCCCCTGTGCCCCCCCCCCCTGGATCCGCCACTGAATTCCTCTAACATGTTTTGAACTAATATGATGTTTGTCTTATTTAATGTGAAGCATGAACATTAAAATGAACTATCTAAAATGTATTACACTCAAATGTACATTTTAATACCAAATCCTCTCGTTCATTCCTTGAGGCCTCCTGTTCTGTTATCAAAGTCTTAATAAACAATTTTCTTTTTGGTTATATTACATGATGCAGTTATTGTACTATGTTTATTAGGAACTCAACCTGGGACAGTTGGTGCCATTCTACAGGTGTCTCTAGTATACTAACTATTATTTTGTTCCGTTGTGTTTTCAGAATGATATCTTTGAGGTGTATTTAGTGAAGCCTCAACGTGGAGGCCTGGGGTTCACTTTGGCTGGTGGTGCTAACACTGGAGGATGTTACATCAAAGACATTGTGCAGGAACCTGCCATATCTGATGATAGACTCAAGAAAGGCGACAAAATATTAGAGGTATGCAGGCCTGATAATTACCTGATTTTTTTTAAAACCCTATTTTCCCGATTTTTCTCTATTCTTCTCTATTATTTTACTCAAAAGGGGGAATGTTGTTAGATGCCATTTTTCCTCCTGCGAATCCTCTCTTTTTTTACTCAAGGGGGGCGTGGTTGAGGAGGAATTTTTCATATTTTTAAATATTTTTTGGTCCTCACTATCACCCCTGGGTATGGTAGTGAGAAGGTTAGATGTGTGGTTTTGTTTGAATACTTATCCTACAGAGTTATCAATAGTTTTTAATCAATTTTTTATGTTTTATGAAAACATTCACTGATGAAAAGTGCTTCATTGAGGTGTATATGACAGGTATGTGTATGTATTCAGCAAGTGAGAAAAGATAACATTGAGAGCCAGAAGGGCCCACACTGCAGAGACAATTTCTCCTTGCGGCCAATTTACTACACTTGCTGCATTCCTGACTCCAACCCTGGACCAAACACAATGCCTAAAACACCTAAACCTAAAACACAGTTGCAACCCTAACCCTAGCACTACATGTACAGTGTGTGTATGTCTTTGACAACCTACAACCCAGAGAAAATGTCACAGGAGGTAATGTCGGATCAGCGAGAATAGCTCTCGGCAGAAAATATTCAGAAACAGTACATTAAAGTTTGATTATGTTAAACAGCAATGGAATATTTGTTTAAGTAGATCTAATAGATGAAATAAATAGTTAATAATCATAACTACAATGTGTTTTGATAATCTTTTAATTGTATATGAATTGAATCTCTTCTATTTTGTAGGTGAATGGTAGGAGTATGAAAGGGATGAGTCACTTTGACGCAGTCTCCTTCCTCCGTATGACCTCTAGAGAGGTTACACTCAAGATCGTACACCCATCTTCAAAGTCAATCCAGCCAACACCGTCCCCGACAAAACCTGTCAAGGCTGACAATGCCGCATCGCCTGCGCTGAAAGTAGATATGGTCGTCCCTAAAGCAGCGATGGACGTCCAGGCTAGTCCGGCACTAGCCCCAGCTTTGAATGAAGGTCAATACAAGGATGACCCAAAGAGTCCATCTGTAAGCGGGAGTGAGGATGATTGGTCGGATGTAGCGTCCGTCGATTCAACCCAAACACCCAAAATGAACCTGAGAGATGCATTCCACACAAGATCCAAGCTTGAGAAGTCCCAGTGGTCTAGTTTGGAGGAGGAGTCATCTAGACTACCTGATGCACCAAGTGTGGATGACCTCCCAACAGTTCTCATCAAGAAGAATGAGAAAGGTCAATTAGGGTTACTGTTGGGGTTAGAGGTCACAGACCAGGGATCAGGGTTGTTTGTCAAAGAGGTTGTGAGTGGCCTTCCAATGGCACTAGATGGAAGCGTACAAGTCGGTGATCAGATTCACTTCATCAATAATCAGTCTGTCAGTGGAATCGGCATGGAAAAAGCCAAGAGCCTTCTTGCAAGGGTGCCCTCTCTTGTTGAGCTCAAGGCAACTAGGTAAGAAATAGTGTTTGCTCTATATCACGTAGCCAACAGCTCTTTTTATCTCTTTTTTCAATTTGATACAAGTCTTTCAAAAAAGACACACATGACTGCCAGACATACAAGTGTATTCTTTGCTGTTGATTTTGTCCTCATGATTTGTACATACAATTATAATGATTATCATTTCATAGTTCCTTTCAACAAACGCTTAATATACTAACACACAACACCACTAATTACAGTGATGGAAAATTTAGTTTAGATCAGCAAGATATATACATGTACCTACTAATAATGAGATATTTACGTTATAAAAATGGTTCTTCTGTTGCCTATTAACAAAAAAAATAATTTGATGCTCTGACAAATTATCCTAAATATAATCAGTTTTAACCACATTGATTAGAAACCTAATAAAAGGTTAACATGCTCTGAAATTCCAAGCAATTTATGAAACACATTTCATACAACGATGCAGTTATGTGACATAAAGATAACTTATATAAACATAACCTAACATAACATGACACAGCACTAATGTATTTTGGCAAGGCAATCTTCAATTGCCACACTCGACCCAGGTGAAGTAAGTGGGTACCTGGCAAGAATTAAAATAACATAATTTATTCCTTAAATTTCCATATGGTATCACCACATCTTCAGAAGCAAGATTCCAGTTCAACCCAGACGACAGCATCCTGTCTTCAAGACCTCCGCCTTTGAGCCGACAGAGACAGGAGACGAGGAGAGAGTCGTTGAATCGGCCCAAGAGGACAACGATGAGGAGTGGATGACAGACTCCAGCGAGCCAGCTAAAGATGGGGGCATGCCCAGGACCCTCCCGGCCACGCCCAAGGGCGAGGAATCAGAGGTGAAGGGGAAAGTCCCCCCTGCAGGTTTTGACCTTGACCTGGGTGATGTGTCAGCAGAAGAGTCTGATTGGGAGGTGAGTGGAAGGAAGATGAGATTATTAGTGTCATGGCCGAGTGGTTTAAGGCACTTGACTGGAGATGTGAAGGTCGAGGGTTCAAATCCGGACACAGCACTTATATCATTTAGCAAGATGTTAACCTGCACTTGCTGCTCTCCACCCAGGTGTTAAACGGGTACCCGGTAAGATGCGACTGTCATTGTTGGCCAAACAGTTTATAAGCCTCAAGTAACGCCTGGCTGGAATGCTACCCAGGGAGTGGGGATTGTGCACACAGTGTGTGCGGGAAAACATTGAATTCAATGACCGGGGTAATAGTATATCTGTAAAGCGCATTGTAGATGTATTAAGCGCTTTATAAAAGCGGAATATTATTATTATTATAATCTGTCAGAAGTGGGATGGATAAGGTTATGAACCCTGAAAGTCTATGAACCCCACAAAGTGTAGCATCATGCAAGCTTGTAGATAATGAATTTTTTCAAAGATTAAGGGAGGGGGGTATTCCGACTTTGATCTGCCTAAGACTGGTAGCAAATTGTGCCCTAATGTGAATGTCGCATCATAATGTAATTAGACAAGACAACTTATATTTCTTCCCAAGATTAAGAACTGTGTCGGGAATTGTGATGGTGGATTTATGTATCACTAAGCAATAAAAATGAAGAGTTCATCTTGATGAAAAGCATGTTTTTAGGATAAGAAAAGAGGCAATATAAAAATCAAAGAGGTCTAACAGTTCAAAGAGTTGCATATGTGAGAGGTTGGCAGAAAAGAACACACATAAGATAGAACAAACAGAAATAAATCCAAATCATATCAAACACTGTTTACAAAGATGACACAAGCATCTTTCTTTCATGTTGTATAGGATTTATCTGTGAGTGATCGAGAGGAGCCAAGTCGACTTGATGAGGTTGGTGACATCATGAAGGATCTACACAGGAGTCATGGAGGATACACACCACAACCATCAATGGATAAAGATACAATGAGTCCTACTGTAAGTTAACAGGGTACAACGGTTGTAAAAGATGCAGAAAAGTATATTCTGTCATGTTGAGTCTGTTTATGAGAAAAATGAGTGAAAGTGCCTTCGTGATTCAAATAAACGTATCATCTGACGAAGTGTTGCAGCGGCACACGAAACGTTGTGATCTTTTAGATCCCTTGTTGACCATACATTGCGAGACAAACGAATATCACTAGCGATATTATTTCCGATAATACTGTTGTTTCAAATAATGTTAACAAAGGTATCAACACAGATGTGCATGTATAGGACAAAGCAGCCTGACAACCAGTACGATTTAGTCATATTTCGTACGATTTTTAGAAGCAAATACGACAGTACGATTTTGATTTGATTTGATTTGATTTGATTTATTTATTTCTGTTTGATTTTCTTTTTCTTTTGCATTTTTACAAATATATAACAAACAAATATTGCAGATTTACACATGACAAAAGAATATATATAGAATAAAGTAAGGCTGGGTGTAACTAATCGAGAACATCAAACAGGAGGGTTGACAAAATAAGCAAAGCTTGATAGTATGACTACCCTCAAAGGATAATAATAATACAAATATGGAAGAACAAAATATTGGTAAAAGGGGGAAAAGACAGGAAAAGAGAAGAGAAAAGAAAGAGGGGATGCACATCAATATTCACAGACTTATGTGGTAGTTGGATTTCAAATTAATAAATAAAGATTTTAAAAAAGAAAAGAAATGCAAATTTGAATACTGAGTGGCCAACTTTCCTCAATAAAATATGATTTTTTTTTTTTTTTTGTATTTTGTGTGTGTGTGCCCATTCTGTCCTGTAAAGTATCCTACAAGTATCTCACATCGGCAATTTTTTTGATGTTCATTGGTATCGAAAACACCAGTCGTGAAGAAATCATGCATATTCAACCAAGGATCCCTAAAAAAAAATCTTCCTGTATGTAGGAACTGTAAGAGGCATTGATCAGCGTAAGAATCCATGTTTATTTTTAAGAATACAACTTTTGTCAGTAAAATACAACTTGTGGGATTAAAGAATACAGTTTTTGAACTCCAGAGGTTGGCAGGTCTGACAAAGTACTCCAATATATATTCCTGGCATACCAGATATCTGCCCATTTCTGTGCTTGTACACATCTTTCACATTGTAGTATTTGTAATCAAATTTCTTCGAGAGAAATTAGTTATTAGTAGTTTAAACTTAATTATAGTTTGCTGGGATTATGTGATAATTCAGTATTTTGACATTATCCTAACTAGAAAACTCAATTAAGTCCCTTGGTTAAGATTGCCTATGAGTTATTTGATTCTTTGTGGACCTAATGTAAGGCTACTTTTATGAAGGCAATGATGGTACTCTTTATTTTCTTTTTGTTTTTTTACAGCGATCTATTACGAGTCCATTGGACATCCCTACCTCCCCTATATCTGTCTCTTCCCCGCCCCTGAGCCCCCTCTCTCCCAGCACAGGACCATCAACGGTCAAGGCTTTCACCTCGCTGACCGAAGCCCCATCTCCTTCTTTACCCAACGGTGGAAGCGACCAGCGAGATGACGACCTGGACAGCTTTGGTTCCGATGAGGCCTTCTCACCGTCCTCCACCCCGCGGAACCTATCAACGCCCGAGAGATTCAACGGTTCTCCACAGCGCTTGCGTCACGACTCAACTGAGCCAGAGCTAGAGCCTGAACTTGCCCGTCTTCCCCCTCTACCGGTAGGCAAGGCGTCGGCTTACAACCCATCCTCTGCCTCACCCGGTATCAAGTCCCCGCTGGGTAACTTCAGGAAGCAGATGAATGATGCGAGGGACTCCCCCACTGGGAGCGAGTTTTCAACATCAGCTAGGATTGGGACTCCAACTGGCAGGCCTCCATCGGCTCAGGGTAGTGAAGGAGGGAACCTCAGCATAGGAGAGGTATGTTCATTTATCATTGTCTGGTATTGGTTTTCATGCAGTGCCTTAAATACATATTTGCATTCAAAATAATATGTTTTAAAATCAGTTGAAGATTGTTAAAAATTGATTGTCAAAAATACAGAATTATATGTTTCAAAATCAGTCCTTTGAAATCTTCACATTTAGATTGCAAGATGTGAAAAGAATAAATAACACATGGCATGAACCAATTCCCGAACTAATCTATCAAATTGATACAGTTGATTTAGGTATAACATACCAGCCTAAATTTAATTTATCTCTGGCTTTGGCTTTTATATCTTGTCTCATAGATCAGTAATTTGAAGATCAATGTTTTTAAAACTATTCTTTTCATGTGTTTTTGCAAAATAGAAGTATCAGAAAGTTAGTAGAAAAGAATACAAATAGTCCGTTATATAACGTTCAGTTAGATTTATTTAATTTCCAACATTTTAGCAGATATTTGTGCAAAATGCAGCTGCTGGAAATCCAAAGAAAGTTGAACAGTACCTTTCATGATTTCAATGAGTATATTTTCAGGTAACATTTCTCTCTCTCTCTCTCTCTCCCTGTCTCTGTCTCCTATAGGGTGGTATCGTATGGATAGAGTTAGAGAAGCCTGAAGGAGGGGGTCTAGGCTTCAGCGTGGTAGGAGCAGAGAAGGGGGGTAAGACCAGTATCTTCATCAAGACAGTCACTCAAGACGGTGTGGCCAGCAGGGATGGGAGGCTCAAGGTCGGAGACAGACTTCTACAGGTAGGCACTATGAACATGACGGACAAAGAAAGTGGACAAAATATACCGTTCCTCATTCTACCCTCAACAATTGCTGTGGTGGACAAATGAACATCCCTTTACTGCTATTATGTAAAAATGAGTAGAACAGGTGTCACATGCATATTTACCTGTTCTACTTATTTTTACATAATAGCAGTGAAGGGATGTTCCTTTGTCTACCACAGCAATTGTTGAGGGTAGAATGAGGAACTGTATATTTTGTCCTCTTTCTTTGTCCGTCATGTTCATAGTAAGGATTTGTTCACTGAAATATTTTTGTGTCCTTTTTATTTGCATCTCTTGAAAGTAAAACATTTGTAATTCAATGTTGCTATGCTTGTTTGGTAAGTTGATAATGAGGATATTGTGTGAAGATGATGGATATAGGCACCGTTGCATAAAACTTAGCATTGATGGTAACTTTGCCATTAATGGTAACTTCCATGGAAACCTTGATTTGATGGCTGTTGAGTTACAATGTTTGTTGCCATGGGAGTTAGAACTGATGGCAAAGTTACCATCAGGGATAATTTTTATGCAACATGGCCATGATGTTGAATATGATGGTGGTGGCGGTTGTTCTGGTAATGAAAATGAATGAAGGTAATGTCCCTACTGATTAAGTTAATGAAGAAGAAGATTTAGATGATAAAGATGGTGATGTCAGATGATTGTGTTGGGCCCCATCATATAGAGAGTTATGAAATTGATTGCATCTTCTTTTATTATAGAATCATGCATTAACTTGCTATTGATCAGGACCTTTAATATAAGTTTGAGATAATTGTAACCCTTAATAAGACAGGACACTGATGCCACAATTGAGATGACATTCTAAATGACTGACAATTGATTTATTCTTTTCCAGGTGAACGGTCAGAGTCTAGTTGGAATGACCCAGAACAAAGTCATCACTATTCTCAGGAAGAGTAAAGGTGTCGTCAGGCTCGCTGTAACCGGGTAAGACAGGAGAAATATTGCCAGTTTGCATTTATTCATCTTAGGTAGTGCTCAAGTGATATCATCATCTAGCGCAATGTAATTTAAACATTTTAGGAATGTGATGAGTGGGTGATACTTTGAAGTAGGTAAAGACTTTTAATAAAATTAGTATTTTACAGGTAATTACACTAATGAGGAAGACCAGATTGGTTGTGGAGCCATGGGTCATACATTCTGTAGGTCAAGTCCCACTCTTCTACAGTAGTGGATGTTGAGACAGGAGGTGGTAACTCCCACCATGAACGTGACGGCCAAAGAAAGAGGACAAAATATACAGTTCCTCAGGTAGACAAAGGAACATCCCTTCACTGCTATTATGTAAAAAATGTGTATAACAGGTGTCACATACATATTCACCTGTTCTACACATTTTTACATAATAGCAGTGAAAGGATGTTCCTTTGTCTACCTGAGGAACTGTATATTTTGTCCTCTTTCTTTGTCCGTCATGTCCATAGCGTCCTTCACCCTTTAGCAACTAAACTGCCCGAAACCGCTTCTCCTTTTACTCACAAAACCGCCTGTCCGTTTTCAATGCACTGTAGTATCCCTCTAATGGGTCTACTGTGATAATGTTATACTTGCGTGATCTTTACAGTGTCTGTCTACAATAGGATTCTGCATAGAAATATAGCACATGTTTCATATTGTCCAGAACAATGTCAAAATGAGAGCTATATTGCAATATCTTCTAGTGAGTTATAGGCCTTTTTTTACAAAATCTCTTGTTAATTGCTAATGGGTTTTAAAAAAAAATGAATTGCACATGTATATGAGTATTGTGCTTTCATTTATATTTCTGTTTCTGTTGAGCAGTCAGCTCTCTCGACCAGCTAGTCTGATAGGAACGGACACTGAACGTCAGACTCCCTCTGTAGTCCAAGACAGGCTAACTAGAGCCGTAGAAGAGAATGAAACCAGCGAGGCAGATCTGTCACCCGCGGAGTCATACACGGAGTCGGCCCGTGACGCTGGATTCAGGCAACCACTTGGTGAGTAATTCCCTCTCAAAAATTAACCATTGTCATTATGGATAAGTGAGTTCTCCTTCCTTGTATGCACAGGTAGCTACAGGATGAGTATTTCACATTTTAGATAAAAGTCAGTCCAAAGAGGCCCTGTCCTTTATCTTTGTTTGCACATAGTGGATATTTCACACTCAAATTTAAGTCTGTGCTAGTTGTTTTGTGAGTAGTTTGTGATAGTGTAGCACTTTCAAAAGTAATTGTACCTTTTGATTAGCAGGACTGGTCAAAAGTTTAAAATGAATATTTTCTTCGTGTTTCATTTAAAGACACGCTGTCTTTAATCATGTCTGGTTTGCTTTGTGTTTTCGTTTTTGATTTGATGTTTTTGTGGTTAGTTTTCTTTGCCCTTAATATTGCATGCACTTTTGTCTTTAACGTCTTCATGTTGACTGCATGTGTGGGTTCTTGTTACACTAAACTCAAATTTGGAGAATAATTATTTTCTATTAAGTATACAGATACAATTTCTTGAAAGCTTAAGTCGGCAGGAGAAATTAGAATCGACTCACTGACCATTTAAACTGCTTCAATGCGCACTTTTATAAAATTGTGATATTTTGATATTAAGGAATCCAGTAGATGGAACCAAATTGTTGATGTTCTTCTGAAAAATGCAATGTTTGTAATGTTACCTCTGATAGTATAGTTAGTTAGTAAGCTTATTCTGTAGACATCAATGCTTATATCTCTGCATTCATTATTCAAATTCTTATTTGCTTTTCTAGCATTATTTAAATATTATGTTGCATAGTTTTTTTTATTTTTAAGTTACTTGTACAGATATTTTGTCCCTCTTTAGATTATTGTATTAGTATTAGTTAAATTTACATGCAGCTCTGATTGTTACTATTTTGTCTAATTTTTGTGATTTATTTTCAGTCTGTTTAACATGCCTTTGTTGTTATGATTTGATGTTAAATCTTTCCTTTTTTGTTCTTTTCCTTATGCCTCGCCTAACCCGTTCACACTCTGTCATTTGTTTTATCCTTGTAACCTTTCAACCTTCACTATGTGTTGTGTTTGCATGTTCACTATCACCATCCACCCTCATTCACCTTTGACCTCACCTGACCTGACCTGACCTCGACATCATACCTGTACCCCTTCCCCACCTACCTGTAACACCTGTCTCTGATTATGGGATGATCACAATTCTCTGACATGACATATACGGTGTACACCTCTGAATATGGGACTGATTCATCTTACTCTACATTTGATCAACATACTTGAAAATATCAAACCCTTTCCCCTGCATAAAAACATGATTTTGTAAAAAATTGAATTGATAAATTTGTGATACAAAAAAAAATGCTACGACTGATGTTTTAACGTACATCATGTACATGCCCACACCTCTCAAACGCTTGTTCTCAAACATACCATACATTCCACCCCTCCTTACATACATCCTCTACAACAACAACAACAACACCATCAATGACCTCCCAGACGATGACCTCTCAGACCATGATGAGGTCACCGGCAGCGTGACCTTTGACTCTTCCCTCTCCTTCACCCTCCCTTTTAGCGTGGCGGGGTTGCACAGTACCCGTACGTTTGGTGATTTTGCTATCACCCCGCCCCCACCAGAGTTCAGGGTAGGCTATTCAGGTAATTGGCACTGCAGTTGTTGTTTTTGTTTTGCACAATGTACAGTACATTAATGTTAAAGCACATTGAAATGGTAACTGAAATAATAATTGAATAGACATCTAAACATAGAAAATTGAAAGGAAATGATAAATTACATGTCATCATTGTAGCATATTCTCAATGAAACTGACTTTGTTAATGTCAAAAAATTGTTGATGCTTGCTGGTATACAGACAAAAAAGTATTCTCAATTGAATAGATTTCACAGATATGGAAACTGATTCTCTTATAATATACATAAGCATAATTTCAATTCATTTGATTGATTATGTAACAGTACCTGTATTGAAAGCTTGAAAATTGTTACATACACTGTATGTTGGGTTATGTTATGCAGTAAAGCACAATTGTTAATTAATCTGTTTATTTCAAAATATGGCTTCATTGATTTACACTTCTTCACCACCTTCTACATGAATGATAATGAGAACATACCAAGACTTTGTGTTTTAGCCTATTCTTTATTTGACACATGTAACACTAACTATAAGTTATGAGTGTGTAATATTTCTACACTCAATGAAATCCAAAATCTTAATCCTTAAATAATCATTTAAATTTTCTGGTTCCTTCAAAATCTCTTTGTGTGATTGGTTTTTATTATATTTGTTGAATAATACAACTAATCTTCAATAGGTATCCTCTCTTGATCATATACCAGTATTGAAATCAATCTCTTCTGATCTAATATGTTATGAGGCGTGGAAAATATATGAAAGTAATGACTTTACCGACCAAAACAGAGTCTTAGCTTATATAGTAACATCCCTTTGCCTCTGAAATAAGTATGAAGCTACATGTTATAGTGACAACGAGATCTATAAATAGTTTAGTATCCAATATATCTTTTATAGTTTCACTTTGGTACACAGAAATTATTGGTAGAATTGGTAGAATACAAGTTGTATCTATAATATAGAGCTGTATATAACAACTCTATGCTTTACCCTCATCTAGATGCTGAACAGGCATTGATGAGTATTACCATAGAAGTAGAAGTAGAAATATAGTCACTTCTGTACTTGTATGTTATCACTCTAAATATAGGCAAAGTTCAGCTTGTATATAAATGTAAATGGTCTATATGATATTATATACACATTATGTATGCATGCTTGTATATACATTACTACCATAATAGAGCAAGACACGGATAGTGACATTGATTCCACGGCTGAGCTTCCTGACGACCTTGACAACGTGGAGATACCAGACAGCCCAGGTCAGAGGTCAGACAGTCTCCTTGCAGCACAGAGATTAGGCCGTGCTTTGCAGGTTTGTAATGATACATCATGGCCGTCCATCCTGTCCATGCATAGTTGGCTTGGGACTATTCTTTTCCACATATGAGATATCCTATATCATTATAGCCCTGGGACCTGTTTCACAAAGCCTTTTTTCAATGACAAAAATCAGTGACAAATCTGCTGATAACCAATCAGAAGCAAGGATTTCAGTAGCTTATAACAAAAACTGTCATTTGTCACTGATGAACAGTTTTGTGAAACACCCTCTGGTTTCTTCACTCCTTTAAAGCCCTCTGCACTAGTTTGGCCAGGAGGGATTAGACCTCCCTGCATGGTCACTGACAGCTGGTTATCTCATTAAATCAGCTCTCAATTAACATAAGAAAGGGGACCATGGGGGACCAATGGTCACAGATTATAGGCATTGTTTGCTATATACAAATGTAGAGGGCACAAGTAGTGCAGTGGGGCTTTAAGTGGTCCATTCTATTCCCTCTAAGCTTTCATGTTGGTCTATTCCATTCCATAAATCAATTAGGCTATTGTCCCTAACCTAATTACACTTGATGTTTCCCATTTCATTCCATTCTGTTCCTGAGTATGTCCTGAATCAAGCTTGAAGAGATTTTCTCCTCAATTCTACTTCATATTCATGTATCTATTGCAATTGCGTCAAAGACATTGGTCATTTTTGATAAAGATAAAGGATAATCTTAGTAGTACAGGTACATTAATGAATAAGATTCTATCTGAGTTTGAGTACCTTTCAGTTATACACTATCAAGAAATTATTTGACCATAATTTTCAATTTTGTATTCATACGAAACAAAGTCTGTATGTGCTTTATAAATTCTAGTTTTCTCTTTTTCTTTCTGTTTCTCTCCAGAACCGCAATGACAAACGGGAGAGTGACGAGGAGTCCCTCTCTTGGGGAAGTGAGAACAGTCTCCCTCTCGACGAGGAGAACGAGATCAGCGAAGCAGCCAACGGTGCTGCGCGGGCCACGCCCAGTACCAAGATACTAGAGGATATCACTAACGCCCAGCTGGAGAGCATGGCCATTGTGAGACCTGCGGAGGGAGGGCGATATACAGGTAGAGGTCTGAGGAGCAGTATTGCTAAGATACAGAAGCAGATCGACAAGCAGGACCCAGCCGAAGAGTTCAAGGTGAGCATTCTCTTAGAGAGGAGTTTGAATTCTTCAGGCCTGATAATTAATCGATTTAAATTGGTTTCCTGATTTATTTATTTTTTCTCCCAATTTTCTCCCGATTTTTTTTCCTTCCCTATTTTATCCCTATTTTCCCCTTATTTTCTCTCATCTTCCCTACTCTTATCTATTTTTCCCCATTTTTCTCACTCAAAAGGGGAGAAATGTTGTAAGATGCCATTCCCCCCCCCCCCCCCGAATCCTCTATTTTATTTTTTTTTTACTCAAGGGGGGTGTGGTTGAGGGGAAAAAAAACTTATTTTTTAAGTGCTCATTATCACCCCTGATTCTTGCCTCAGGGAAAAGCTTCATGAGAAAATAGAGGGGGAGGGGAGGGGGGGGGGGTGATGATTGATAAAAGCTCAACCAAAATTGAATGGTTTTTAGGAAGAAAGTCATGTTGGATTCATACATTCATAACATCACCATTAAGCTTCAAATGATTGTAAGCACTAGCATGAAAGATTTCTCTGCAGTGCGACTTGGAGTAAAATCTTCTTGTAGAAGTGATTATGAGAGTTAAACCTAGATATACTGTATACATGTAAATGTAAATTTCACACTATGTTCCCAGTTTTTGTTTTGTTCATAGTTAACATTTGCAAAAGTCATATTTTTCTTGTGATTGATTGATTGATAGCCATTGCATAGTGTAAGACTATTGGTAGATAATCACTGCAAATGTGACCAGGGCACCAGGCACAAGAAAACTACCCCCAAGTTGCATGATATGATTTTCAGTTAGAGCTCAATAAAGGTGTATTTGGCCAGGATGGTCATATTTGATTTTTTAGCATTTCCTGAAAAAATATTCTTTCTTTTATGTAGTTTCAAAATTTGGACTCACAAAATACTCAAAAAGTGGTATGTTGTCAGTATTAGTTTTCCCTTGAGTTTGTTTTAGTAATCTCAATTTCCTATAGCTACTGCAATTCACTTTTCATATATTTGTTTATCTGAACCTACATGCATCAATGTTATTTTTACACCTCATACTTGATATTCTACTGTTACTGTTCAGTTTGTATATTTTAACATTATAATTTACCTTATTTCATTTCATTTCATTTCGTTTATTTATTTCACTCTCTTTTAAAAAACATCAAAAGTATATACGGTACATGTTCGTTCATTATCAACATAAGATAAAAGGAAGTGGGGAATCATGAAAGCCAAAATTGGCTTGATGAGAATGATTTCTGTTTACTATGTACAAAAATTCTGCTATTCGGCATATTGGCCGCAAACAAATTATTTCAATAAACCATAATTATACTACTGTTACTACTACTGGTTGCACTTTGATCTCCAATAATGTTGAATGGAATGTCTAAACAACAGGATGTGTTAAATGAGAATACCAAGTTTTAGCACAGTATGATAATCCCTTCATAGAAATTATCCAAGGAGTTCTAAAGCTCGACCTATTAATTGTCACCTTGCTCAATAAATTTAGAGACCAGGTTTTTTAATAGACTACAGGCCCTTCCCTCTAAAGTAACATTCTTGAAACTGGACCTTCTTCTCTTTTTTTAATATTTTTTTTATTGGGTTAGGAAATTGTGTACAGTTACATATCAGTTTAAGGTAAAGAATCTCCTCTTTTAGAATCATCAGACCTAAAGTAAACAATTAAATATTGTGACTTTTTTTGGTTTTATTGTGCTGGGTCACATATTTAACATTCTCATGAACTATTATATACGTTTATAATTCACTCAAGTCATACTGACACATACACTTAACTTTTGTTATTCTTTTGTATTACCATGACAGACTTTACGTCAGGTGAAGGCCATAGACAACTGTGAAGAAGCAAAGAAAGCCCAAAACAAGGACAAGAATCGCTTTAGGAATGTCCTACCATGTAAGTAAAAATAATAATAATAATATTTAATTTTTATTAGTCCCCTCCTTCTCTCTTCTGATCTTCTGCTTTAAGGATGTTTCCACGTGTGTAGTGTTTATTTCTTCTTCTTGTAAACATGTATTTCATAACAAATTTAACCAAGAAAATCTTGTTAAAAGTATTTCTCAATTTTCCATTTATATTAAAAATTATGCCTGTGAAAGATGCAAATTATGCAAGAAATACTCTCAGGGGAGTGTTCAGATTTACAATCTAATAACCGATGGTAAAAATAATATAGTGGAGCAGATCAAGTAGTCGTGTCATATGCTATATCAATGTAAATATAATATATGTTTAGAATTTGTGTGTGTTTAAACACACTGTACTTATCTTCCTGTATGTAGGTATGGTCTAGAGAGTGACTTTGTCCCAGAAGAAAATCAATAAAAAAGTTACAAAATGACAGCCAGCAAATCATTTTATTACAAAAATCTTACTTTATTGCCTTTTGCAAAGTTTTAATGCATTGGGTAGCACCTTTTATTGAATGAAGTGAATTTTAGTCTTAACCAAACCTTGTAGAGGTGTTGTGGTCTAGTGGATAAGTCATCAGACTGTGGATCACAGGGTCCGCGGTTCGAGTCCTGCCGCGGCACCAATGTCCTTCGGCAAGACATTTAATCATTTGTCATTCTCCACCCAGGTGTTAAATGGGTACCGGTATGAAGGAATTCCTTGAATGCTGTTGAGCGCCGAAATCGGCTGCCTAGCAGAGCCGGGTAATATTTGGAGCGCCTTAAGCACCTTGCGAGGTGGATATGTACGCTATATAAATATCCTATATCATTATTATTATTATTATCGTATTTCCTTCCAATGTGCATCCCTTTTTCTTCCTAGATGACAAGACCAGGGTGATTCTGGAGGACAGTGGACCGTCAGACTACATCAACGCCAGTCACATCAAGGCGCAGGTGGGCAAGGATACCTACGAATACATCGCCTGCCAGGGACCCCTCCCTAATACCACACAAGACTTCTGGTTGATGGTCTGGGAGCAGAGGGCAGATGTCATCGCCATGGTAACAATGGACGTTGAGAGTGGAAAGGTGAGATGATGCTTTGATTTTGTTACAAGTGTGCGAGATTTAGAATAAATAGCAGCAACATCCTTGAATCAGACCTTGTATTAAGAAATTTTAGAGATTTCTACATTAGCATTTTGAAAGTGAAGTTTTATTTAAAATAATAACAATAATGATAGTGATGATGTAGATGGTGATGATGATGATGATGATATTGATGAAGATGGTGTATTAATATCGCACATTTTCCATATGTATGTTAAAATGCTCATACTTTTGAAAGTATTCTATTGTTGAAATCTTCCCTTTCATTAAAATATGAATACCATCTTATAATCCAAATGAAAATATAAGAGATTCATCTTGTCTAATAGTAACACCCAATCCTTGGCCCTGTTCCAAAGTTATGAAATAAGATATTTGAAAGCACTAAGAGATATGATGAACACGCAAAAAAATAGGATGTTAGCCGCCTTTTCTATTCTTGATTGGCAAAAGCTCGGCTCGGCTCTTCAGGGTGTATTAATACCGTTTTGTTTCTGTTGTGTGTGTGTTGCAGGTGAAGTGTCATCGGTACTGGCCAGAATCAGCCAACTCTCCCCTGATGGTTTACAATAGGATTGAAGTACGATTGGAGAATTATCAAAACCTGGACAACTTCAGCATCAGGAGAATACTCATGATAGATAATGAGGTACGACCCCCCCCCCCTCACTCCACCCCTCCCCCTCCACACACCCTTACCTCTGACAAGCCATCATAACCAGCAAAACTGGTCAGACGATCGAGGTACATGTACATGTAATTGAGGATTGGTGTCTTCAATGGTCAACAACAATGACTAATGAATATGTTTTTCATATACATGTACACTGTAGAATTATTAAGTTGAATTGATGAGAATCCCATCAATGTATTAGGATGTGCGTTGTATCAGTAATCAGTTTGATCGACACCTAACCCAAGGGCAAAACAACACCAAGTTTACTTCAGAACCAGGGCATCCTGATTTCAAGGCATTTACCACCAATATGTAGTTCATGGAGTGTGTTATTGTTTTCATTCTATGGATAATGAAAGGATTTGAAGGTGTACAATAAAACCTGCTTTAGTGAACACCTGCATAGAAAGACCACCGGGCTGTATAGACCTCATTTTTGTAATTCCTTGAATGCCATTTCTCATGTAAAATTGTACTAAAAGAACCTGTACATGAAGGCCACCTGCTTCTGAAGACCGCTTATCTTTTCTCCCTTGAGCGGTCTTTATATACAGGTTTCAATGTAATTGATGCCACCTAAAAGGCCCCCATTTGAGAATCTTGGGCAAGAATTGCCACTCAGAGAACATACAGGTTAAATTCATACAAAATACAGTATGAAGGTGTTTTACTATAACCTATTCTATCAATCTACAGACCAGTGAAGTACACCATGTCACCCAGATGAACTTTGCAACCTGGCCGGACCACAGCGTGCCATCCACCTCTCTCCCTCTTCTCCGCTTTGCTTGCCACATGAGGCGTATCCATGACGACCGTCTCCCCATCGTCGTCCACTGCAGTGCGGGGATCGGGAGGACCGGTACCCTCATCACCATCGACGCCATCTTAGGGCTCATTGATCGTGATGAAGAGGTAGGAGATATGTCAAACTATTTCAGAATAATGATTAAAGATAAACTTGAGTTCTGGTAAAAAAAGAAAATAAATTCTCACAGAATCAAACTTACACTGAATGTTTAAGATTACAAATAAATGTCATTTGCCAAACAATTTTGGTAGAAAATGTATAATGGCTGAGTAATGAGCATAGAAAGATAAGGAAATCAAGGTGTCAGGCCCTTAAACAGTGCGTCCCAGAAAAAACGAAACCGAGAAGTATCGATGTTTTATCATAACTTAATCACAACCATAATTAATGAATGATACATATTTGGAAAGCTTAGAGTCTCCTCTTTCAGTTGATGCTACTCACGTGATGCATATTTTACACATGAGTGATTAACAGCAATTTGAAGGAAGGAAACCGAAAAGTAATTTGGCGGGCAGTATCTGAATTTCAAAGAAAAATTCATATTTCCAGAAAGTTCATTTTCTGCTCTTTCATATGATACCTCAATCGAGAAAAATGAGCAAGGAATAACAAAGTTCTGTTTGTTTAAAGTAGCCCTTACATTTTCATAATTTTAACAAACGAATTCGTTTTCACTGGTTGCCTGCCGTAGCAAAAAGCAGATTTGACAAAAGACTTAACTCCATTTCGTTGACAATCAGCCGTTGACAAGAGTCTTCATGCATGGCTGATTGTCAACGAAACGGAGTTAAGTCTTTTGTTAATTTCGTTTATTAATACGACAGGCAGCCAGTGAAAACAATTCGTTTATGGAAATGCAAGCACTACTTTAAACAAACAGAACTTTGTCATTCCTCGCTCATTTTTCCTGATTGAAATGTCATATGAAAGCGCAGAAACTCAACTCTCTAGAAATGTGAATTTTTCTTCGAAATTCAGATACGGCCCGCCAAATGTCTTTTTGGTTTCCTTCCTTCAAATTGCTTTTAGTCACTCATGCGTGAAATATGCATTATCTGAGTAGCATCAACTGAAAGAGGAGACTCTAAGCTTTCCAAATATGTATCATTCATTAATTATAGTTTTGATTAAGTTATGATAAAACATCGATACTTCTTGGTTTCGTTTTTCTGGGACGCACTGTATATACATCTTTCTGTGTACAGTGCTTGTTATTTTACCAAGACTGGGCTAAATTTATTATGATTTTGATGACTCCAGAACTTTGCAGTACACACCAATACTTACATGTACATGCTACATGATCAACTTTTTCTGATCCATTCCACACCTTTTCTTTCACAATGCAATAAATGGATCAGGTAACTTTGTCTCAGATTCTGAAACAAAACCCTGGATTTAGCTCATGCTGCAATGATAATTATAAACTTTAGGTCAGTCAGGAACCTCATGAATTTTATGACCAGATCGCCTGTCTGATTATCTTATGATTGGAAATCAAAATTTCAAAAATTGTTTGCCTAACGTTTTTTTAACACTACAGTCTATTAGAGAAAATGAGTATGGTCAAACGGGTCACTCAAAGATATTTACTTTTAGAGGCACTTCATGATCATTTTGAAGCGCAATTTTTTTAGACACTGATAACACGTAGGGCCATGCATCTCAGATTTAACATTAATACCTTTAAGGGACAGCTACAAGTATTTACATTTCTTTTTGCTTAATTGTGCTTGCTAATCAATGAGTTTTGTTTCCACAATTATTTATGGAACAATCATTTTCTTTGTGATGAACTAAGAAATGCAAATTCATGCTGTACATTTTTCTCAGATTTCATGAAAATTTCTATTTGTCTTCATTTGAGGGGTATAACCTGTGAAACATGAACTACATGTAAAGGTTTGTGTCTATGGAAACATCAGGATATTCTTTTGGACCAGTGATGGCCTGGTGGTAGAGTTTCTGCCCGGCAAACAGTAGATGCAGGTTCAAATCCGCTGGTTCCAAGATTTTTTCTGACCTTGTTTTTCAATTACAGATCGATCAATCAATCTTATTTACCCGGTGTAAGCCATAAATATGTTAAAATAATCCTTATATTCATAGAAACTTCTCTTTTTTATGTGATACAGTTCAAGGTACTGAACATAGTGAAGGGTCTGAGGAAGCAGAGGCAAGGCATGATCCAAACAAAGGTAAGCTTACAAGATATAACAGTGACTTATCTTTGTTTTATCTTCTAGACTTGGGTGTAAATTTTCCATCTTAAAGCCTATCTGTACTAGTTAATAGGAGGGATAAGACCGCCCTGCAAAGTCACTGGACAGGTGGTTATCTCATCAACTCAGCTCTCAATTAACATGAGAAAAAGAGGATCATGGGGGACCAATGGTCACCGATTAGGTATTGTTTTCTATATAGAGGGAGCCAGTAGCTACAAGTAGGACAGTGTGGCTTTAAAAATGTATTTAAAAAACTTAGAGAAAACTTATTGAACTTTAGTTTTTTACAAAAAGATAATAAAATAAAGACGACAACCAACAAAACCATCTCCTTGCTGTATCTCATACAGTCTGGTCAAAAGCTACCACTAGCATCCTGTGGCCAGTTTCTTGAAACGGTAAGACTAAGTTCGTAGACATGCCATTAATTCTTTAACACACGTTTCAATGGGATGTCCAAGAAGTTAGACTTATGACGGTTTCGAGAAACGCCACCTGAGGTACTTTTACTAGCATTGCAAATTCCCAAGTTAAAATATCCTTGTAAATCAGATTCCCACTGTCCATGTATGCGTTATAGATGCACAGTGCAATATCATTTATTCATAACGGCCACTTACATGTACAGTCAAACCTGCTTTAGTGACCACCTGTCTAAAAAGACCACTTTTTTTTCCCCTTGAAAATGGTTTCTCATTGATACATGTACTAAAGGAACCTTTACATACAGACCACCTGCCTATAAAGACCACTGTTCTTCTCTCCCTTGGGTGGTCTTTACAGACAGGTTTCACTGAATAATAAAAGCTATAGTTTATTTATTTCAGGGGTCAAGTAAACAATATCAATTCAATTCATAAATTCAATTCATGAAAATCTTGTGATGTACGTCTCTGTTTTGCAGGACCAGTACATCTTCTGTTACAAGGCTGCCTTAGAAGCTCTGAAGACCGTGCTCAGATGAGGGCCAGTGGATTGAGGAACATAGAATGATCAACACAAGCTCTCCACGTTTTCTTTTGGCTTCCTCTTCTTCTTCCAAGGAAAGTGCTGCTTCAAGGCCTTGAAGATTGCGCACTGTGTGTGCCTGTGAGGAGCCTGTGTGAGTGAGCCTGCTGGCCAGGATCCTTGTGCAGAAAATATTTACAGGGTGCAAGTAACAAATTCAATTCCGTGAGGGCAGTTAGGGGTGCATCTTCCTCAGTAAGGACTTAAATGCCTTGAGGCACTTGGGCAAGTGTGCTTGTTCGAATGCAAGAAGCTCTGGAATGGACGTGTTCAGATTTTGACTTTTGAAAAAGATAGTAATAATAATAAGTTTTGTATAACTTTATGCCTACTTCCAATGTATGATAATAATTATCTGGGTCTTTATAGCTCCTAATACATTGACAGTATCTCTTTGGGCTTTATCAATATACTATTACCCCATGCAGTCATGACTTCTGCATCCTACCGCCGGGGTACCCATTTAACACCCAGATGGAGAGGAGCAATGTAGATGATAGGCCTTGCCCAAGGACATAAATCAGATGGTGGCAATGCAACATCTGCAGGGAGAAGTAACTGACAGTAGTTTTTGACATTGTCTTTGTCTAGGGCAAGAAAAACCTAATATATTTTAATTAATTTTATTTATTTGGCCATAAAAATCAGAAAATCACAGTATATACAAATTCAACATAATAAATACAATTATCGTAGAAATGATAGAGTAAAGAAGAGGAAATGAGAAGTAAGGAGAAGAGGAAAGATATGGTTACCTATGGCCCAGGGTTTGCAAAAGTGAAATGCTTCACTGTTGCCCAGAGGCATGCGAGCCGTCATATGTAGAATATTGCTCTTATAAAATATTAGATTAGGGTATTTAGACAACTGAGAGGGAAAGAGATGTAATAATTCATAACGTATGAATTTGCTCCCATTATGGAATAAAAACAAAGTAAAAAAATTAGAGATAATATTTGTCTACATAAGTGCTCAAATTGTAAGGTGCTAAGTTATGAATACCAGTACTATATACTGTAAGAATTCACGATCTTCTGTTTTAGAAGTAAAAAATAATTACCAAAAGCACCTTATAACAGTCCTTATATACAGTGCTGCATTCATGTCACCTTAATAAAATTTGAAATGAGTCTTTTTTTATAAATTGTTTTGGCATTTGCATTGATATATCTTTAAATTATAAATGTAATAACTCAATTTTCTATATGGTTTTTATAAAGAAGTGAAGAGATATCAATTTACCTGATGTTACCCGTTAATTTTAATGAATTTTGTTATCTTATTTTATTCATTTTTGCATTTGTATATATAATCTAGGAATTTTAATTTTAATGACATTCTTCAATTTGTATTTCCATAATCATACATGTGCATATTTAATCTATTTGTTCATTTACGAATTACTAAAAAATAATTAATGATGAAATTTTGAAATAATATTGCCTTAACAAAATTGAAAATATTTTGTTAACAGGTTGTAACAAACCTGGCAATGTTTTTAACATGTAACAAAATTATAATATTTGTTAACAGGTCTTGCATGTACATAATTGTTTAATTGATCTATGAATTGTTTGATCTCAGTCTTTTCTGACCTGATACATTTATTAAAGATCGTCACCACTACTGGGCCAGAAGGGATTAGACCACACAGAGAGCCATCGAGGTCACTGTGACAGGTGGCTATCTCATTAACTCAGCTCTCATTTAACATAAGAAAAAGAGGATCATGGGGGACCAACAGGCACCGATTAGGGAAGTTTTCTATATAGAGGGAGCAAGTAGCTACAAGTATGGCAGTGTGCCTTTAATGAAGAGATGAAAATACAGGATGTAGTTCTTATATATGTTGCAACTACAGACAATTAATAATATTACAAGCTACATATACATGTATGTGTTTAATGGAAGTAAACTATATTGACATGATATGCTTACTTTTTGTCTCCTTGGAACATGAAGGCTAGAATCTTATCGATTGTGATTAGCAAAGGCAAAAGCACATAATGTTTGTTTTATTTATCTATTGATTTTCAAATGTCCATACATGTATTTCACATTACATTGTATTTCTACATGTATTTCTACGTGTATTTCTGATATGTGCTATGACAGTTTGACCAAGATCATACATGTACATAATCTTGATATTTGATGAAGTACCATTTTGCCATTTTTTTATACATAATTAACATTCAAAGTGCTACATGTTTGAGATATGTATACATACACCTGTATGGAATGTAATGCATGCCAATTTTATGTACTTGAATTCTTGTTATTTAAATCAATTCCTCTTTTGTTATGTCGATTTGAGTTTAAATTTGCAATTCAATGTCTTAATTTTCAGTTTTCAAATATTGTGATGCTAATTTAGATGTGACAGGCTGAAGATTATAAGTAATTCTTTCAAAATAGAAACTTAGTTGAGTAATTGAGAGCTCAAATGTAGGTTACATGTCATCATTCTTATTAATTGATTTGGTATAATACAGAGTTCTGCCATGCCTTCGATATATTGCTGAATATTTTGCACTAAGCAATGCACTCTCTTTAACATGTACAGCATTTCTACATCAATAATTCGACATTGTAACAAGAAATGGTTATATTTTGACATTAAGTTATTTATAAATGAATGTTATGTACAATCATACATGAACATGTAATTCTGCAATGTTTTCTGAAGTGTTCTTACTAGGTATAAAGAGATCTTAACTTATGCTATATGGCAATGAATCTTTAATAAACATATTTATTTAAAAATTGATGTCATGGTTCATGTGTGCCACTTGGAAGGAAATTGCTTTTAATCCTTTTAAAATTCTGAGTGACTTTAATACATGCTACGATATAAGAGTGTTACTTGTTTCTATATAATTATGCACTTACATTCTCTCAGTTTTATATTTATCTGTTTTGAGATTTTTGTTTTAAATAAGGGAGTGTGCTTCTACAAAAATGTGATCTACTTATAGGGTGGATTCACAACTAACAGCATTACCATAGCTCATCACCGACATCACCATCCTCCTCCTCCTCCTCCTCCACACAACCACCATCACCAATAACATCATCATCATCATCATCAATATCACTGTCATTATCAACATCCTCATCATTCTTTATGCCTTACATTCTCTCATGTAAGACAAGGCAGACTTGTGGGAAATGGTTTTGCAATTAAAAGCAAAGCATTTATTTAATACTCTCTTATTTACAAATGATACTTGAGCATTCATTAAGATAAACAATCCATTCCAAGAATATGTATATAAAATACTTATACCAGTGGGTTTATCAGAGCTATATGTGGGTAAATTGTATTTTCATCTTTGTTGTGCTTCATTGTTGTATCTACAGATAAAGAAGGATTAGAATGTGTAATTCTTAGGAGATGTACATCATCTCATTGTAATATTATGATGTACCACTGAACTTCTGTGATGTTTGATAACACAATGTACTTATTTTTGTTAATTTTTGTTAATATTTTATCATGGAGTAAGCAATACTTGTTTGAACCAACTACAGCGCAGTGAATATAATATGAAACTGTTCTGTGCCTTTTCATTGTGTGTCACATGTACAATAATGTTTAAGGAAAGATATGTATACAGATGCATTCATTCATTTTATGTAGTATATAACAAGGGTTGTGAATACTTCTTCCAAAAGGTACAAATATATCTGATGGCAAAAATTAACAATCATGTGTCATCATCTTTGTTTTGTTTTGGTGTGTGTGCTTGCTCTCTGAGCATGCCAGAGTAAATTAAATCTATTTTGTGATAAATGGAATTACATGATGCAATACCAGCTCAGCACAGCTTGTGTACAGCAAGACTATCAGGACAAGAAATATTACATGACATACTTCTTCACAAAATAATTTGAATATCTTGGATCTGTTATACATGAATTTGTCCCATATGAATACACTTTAAATGCAACTACAGGAAGACTTTTAAATGCACTTTTCCCAATGTTTGGAACAAGAGCTACATTTTTGTGCAACTCCTCCAATGGTTCAATGTTGATCAATCTAAGATCTGACTAGAGAAGTTTTGTAATTTTTTTTTTCCCCACTAAATAACGGTATACGTTTCAGAAATGATTCACCAGTTTGCGAGCTTGCCCCTAGTGTCAAAAACCTGACAGGCAAAGACATCACACTCGCCGCAGTTGTCCCTTTCCTGTTATTTGAATATCAGAATTTGACGGAGCTATTACAGCCGGTTTTAAACCCTCCAAAATTTTGTTTGCTCTTTTGAATGGTAGATGCACTTCTTTTATCTGACATATTTTCATGTTTCTGTCTGAATTTCCTTTCTTGTGATTGACCTACATGAACACATTGTGTGATCGATTGCAGATAATATGAATAAAGGGAAGAAAATAGTTTCACATCACTTAATACAATGGCAATATGTTAATATATGTGTACATATTCAAATGGCATACATGTATAACTGTATGCAGAATAATGAAACATACTGTAAATGTACTTTTATTGTAATTTTGATATTTCTCCTGATTTCCTTCAATCTGGAACAGATGATTACATAATAGCTAAGAAGTTTAGTATTAACACATTAACTTTCCAAGGCCTGTACAAATGTAGCAGCAGGATACTTTGTGCATGGGATTCAATGAAAAGATCCCCAAACCAGCCGATTTACCATTGCACATTTATACTTAATATCACAGTACTCTATTACAATCCATATCAGATTTGATTCAGGCATTTTTAACATATTTTGGAAAGCAAGGCTACGATGATCATCTTTTCTGCTTTAGATTGGCAACACTAGATATTTTCTTTCGAAAATGATGCCTCCGTCATAGAGCAATTTTACAAACCAAAACAGAAGCAACTTTTCAAGTTCGATTGTAATCCATTAACAGGTTCTCAGAATATCGTGATTACAAGTTATTTCTCATATACATGTACATGTATGAACCTTTTATCTTTGACCTCATGACCCCAAAAATCTACTCAGTTCATTGGCTCTGCAAGATACATACATGTCTTGGGCGTTTGATGGTAATCCATCCATCGGTTCTAGTGATAATGCGATCACAAGCTATTTTCGCATACATAATGAGCCCCATGACCTTTGACCTTTAACTTCGTGACCCCAAAATCTTATCAATTCATTGGCTCTGCAAGTTACATACATGAATCCATCAGTCGGTTCTTGAGATAATGCGATCACGAGAACAGGACGTACGGATGGACGGACAACCCGAAAACACAATGTCTCCGGCTACTTCGTAACGGAGGCATAATTACTGTATCATACATGCCAACATTTGAAAATCAGAAATCTGTACAAATTATGCTATTTTCAAAAAAAAGAGGAACAATCCTAACTCTCCTATTCAATACTACAGACAAATTTGTACAGGAAGAGGAACACCTGCATTAAAATGATAATTATCTTCTCCCAAAAAGAGGAATGTTCCTCTTTAATCTGAACAGTTGGCATGTATGCTGTATTTGAACAAAAGAATATATGGACACAAACATTTTCATAATGTTTAAAAAAAATCACTTGGTATGGTAAAAGACTAATTTTAAACTTCAATGTGTTGCCAATTCACATTATAATTTATGATGCGAAACACATGGAGACACGTTAAGCAGCAACTGCTCTTTCAGCTCATGCATCTGACATAAAGTTTTAGGGTATTGAACCAAACCACAAAATGAACCATTGACCACACCGGGTTAACAGAGGCTGTGATATGTGTATACGTGATGCTCTTATCCAAACATTCAGGTCGGGACGTCTCCAATCTTTTCTTCTAACTTCTTGAGTTGTTCGTTTGAGATGTCATCTCGCTCATCCTCGACCTGCAAATTGGCAATCAGAATATATACATTACCGTATCTGATTTCATGTCAAACACTACAGTATTCTAATTCAATCTAAACAAAATCATGTATCTTTCATCATACTGTAGGTAACATAAAACAAATGCAATTTGGATGTATAATGCATTGTCCAAGAGAGAGTATAGGAATGATGCTTGTGAGAGTTAAAAAAAATACAATAAATTATGTGAAAGAAAAAAACACAAAGTCGAGAGAGAGAGAGAAAGAGAGAAACTTCACCAAATCTTTCTTGTAGAATACAAATACAACTGTATATGTCTAAATGTATGTACATGAACATGTATGAACTGAAAAAGTGCAAGAGAAAAAAATGGTGAAATAATATAGAGGCCTGGCTGTTTTATAGGCTCAAGGGAACATGCACATATCATGCCATGACCCGGAGGCGCGCCAAGAGTATTGACCGGATGGGTATGAGGGCACTTTTCAAAAGACTATTGACTGGTAGGTGGGCATGGCTAAAATCAGGACTCCAATTTCGACCAATCAGATGGTTAGATTTCTAAAGTGAGGTATATAAAGTACATGTATGATGAGAACGAGAATGTATTATCCTTACCGCTTCGACCGAGAGTACCTCTGGTACGTAGAACTGCAACATATTCTGGACACCATGTTTGAGGGTAACGATAGAGCTAGGGCAACTGGTACAGGCTCCCTGAAGCTTGAGTTTAACTACTCCTTCTTCAAAACCCTGACAGGAGAGAGAGAGAGAGAGAGAGAGAGAGAGAGAGGGAAGGAGGGAGAAACATGATAAGACAACGCAGAGAAAATGATGATAATAAGGAATCAAGTTGAAAGGAAAGTGGTATGGAGAGGGGGCGTGAGATGAATGGACAAAACAAGTGCAGGTTATCAAATGAGCAGCAGCACAAGGACAGTGTGCACCAAGGGAGAAGGAACTTGCAAGAAAAACAGGAATTAGTGATACATATCATTGTAAACGGCAAATTGTCCTACGTCACAACTACTAACCAAACTACCAATTTGAGATTTGCGTAGATTTAATAGTGATCTCATATTACAAACATTCATAACTTCCTTGCTATTGGTCTGATTCATTTCAAACTTTTGTCATTCTTTATCTTTTATTGTTCTGCTTTTATATAAATCTACTTATTACAAGGGTTGGATTGCCCTTTAAGGAAGAAAGACAGAGTGAGAAAGATAGATCGTTCCTAGGAACAGAGTTAAAGAAGAAGAGATAGACAAAGGATTGAAGGTGAGACCTAAGAAACAGACATGTCCTTAAAGATAAACTTGAGTTCTGGTAAAAAAAGAAAAGGAATTATCACAGAATCAAACAAAACTTACACTGAATGTTCAAGATTACAAGTAAATGTCCTTTGCCAAACAATTTTGGTAGAAAATGTATACTGGCTGAGTAATGAGCATAGAAAGATAAGGAAATCAAGAGTAGTAGTAGTACTCCGACACCATTTGTGTAGTCCCATATACATCTTTCTGTGTACAGTGCTTGTTACTTACCAAGACTAGGCCAAATTTATTATGATTTTGATGACTCCAGAACCTTGCAGTACACACCAATACTTTGCTACATGATCAACTTTTTCTGATCCATTCCACACCGTTTCTTTCACAATTGCATGACCAGAACTGGTCTTATACCTTTAATAGAGTTGTGCAAACTCACACAAGACAGAATAAGTTAGAGATAGTCTGTCCATGGGGTTACTAGGAGTCAGGGATGGCTTGATGGCACCTAAAACAACAAGGAACATGGTATGCAGGCTTCTCAGAGTATGCAGCCGTCTAGGGCCTTAGGAAAGTGAACAACCCTACCATGTAATGCATAGTTCAAGATCACACTTCTGCCGGGGGCGTGTTTCATAAAGCTGTTCGTAAGTTACACATGACTTTACGAACGACTTGAATATGAAAAGCCAAATGGGATGCTCAATTATTTTTAACTACATCAACTAAATTGAACTGTGCAGATGTAGATTAACATACTTATTATAACAAACATTTTTAATACAAAGTATTTTTTTTGCCATAATTTAATTGAGGTTATTGGAAATATCAGAAAAAACTTTGGGCATCCTATCTGGCACTTCATATACAAATCGTTCGTAAAGTCATGCCAAACCCAAGGCCATAGAAACACACAGGGGTGTGGTGACCAGCAGGGGTTGTAGTCTGTCCACTTACAGGGCAGACGGTGCTCAACAGCTGTATAGAAGCAGGCTTTTTTAATGGAGGCTATAGCTTCTACAGCCTTATGGATTTGAACAACCCTACCCTGCAATGCATAGTTCAAGGGCACCCTTAGGCAAGGTGCAGTATCTGTTAGCCTTCCCAGAGACTGGAGGAATACTGGAGTTTGAGATCAGCAAAATAATCTACCTGTATTTATAATCATCATTATTTTTGTTTTTTTACACATGTAAGCCTGATCTTGATCTCGAACTTGATCTCAAACATTTTCTAACTTAATCTTGATCTTGAACCCAACATTTCTCAGAAGGTTCATTTCTCACCATATAGACTATGTCTCCTCCATCTTCTTGTACAGTGGGTCTAATTCTTGTATCTAGGAGCTCCTTGATCATCATCACTGTCTCATCGTCATCTTCTTGAATCTCTAAAATGAACACAGAAAACATATTTGCCTCATTGACATGTGAACAGGCCATATAAATTCAATGAAAAAATAAAATACCACTGATTCCTAAGAAAAATAGCATATAGTCTATATTATGTGAAACATTTCATTGGGGCTTGGGCTATGATTGGGTTTTCAGGCAATTTTTAAGGTTGGGTTTTAGGTAAATTGATGGGTCTTTGTTAGAATAATTTGGTTAGTCTTGGAAATTGGCCAAGGTCCAGGCATAAATAAATGAACACTGATTGTTTGCAACCACACAAACTTTCTCCCTGCATTAACAGCCTATGTGTAAAATTCATGAAAGATTTGTGATGTAAGTTTCTAGTTTCAAATTAATCTGACCTTTGACCCTTTGTTCGTACCTGTATCTGTTGGAGCCGTCTCGTCTGTTAGAATAGGTACTCCTGTTGCAAAGAAGTCCATGACAGTGGCATAGATCTCTGGCTTTAAAACCCTCCAGTCTATGTTATCATCATCCATCTTTGTTACGGTGATAAAGTCAGGCCCAAAGAAGACACCTTGTACACCCTCTATCCTGAACAATTGCCTTCAGGGGAAGATCAGGGAGGAATCATTGGCATCATTTAACAAGGGGAAAAGGTCAATAATATCTAACTCATGTTGATCATTATCATCCACTGTGTTAAGGTGATAAAAGGCTCTGTACAAGTGTTTGTTTTTGGTTCTTTTTTTAAAATTGGCAATATCACTTCAAAGTTAATCAGCTGGCAGTGAAAAGGGTGTTAGCTCTGTGTTAAACTATGAGTTAATGCTATCCAGGCCCTCAGCACACAATATATATACATATGATTGGATTCAAGGATTGTCATCATCTTCTATATGCTTGTTTAATTGTGATAAAGCCCAAGCCCTTCAAGTACTGGGGTCTACATCACTCTAAGATAGTTTAACGATTGATATGAGTTTACTTTAAACAAACAAAAACTACCCAGATTTAAAGTTCAACCTCAAAAATTTAAAAGGCTGTCATCATATCTTGCCCTCTTGGATTTCTATCAATGGAATCAAGATAAAGTCATTGCCATGGAAACTACTCTGCCGGCACTCTTTCCCTAAATACATGTAGTGGCCTTTTGGTAATGATGAAAGATTGAAATATTTGAATAATTTCTTTGCCCTAAAATATATCAGTCAACTGAAACTAAATAATTGTAGAAGGCATTGGCAATTATCCTTCATCATATCTAAATTTAGACATCTTAACTAGGATCCCTTACAATGATTCTGATTTGGATGTCAAATCAATGAAGCAATATGAAAGTTAGTCAGGGCATCATTCAAGTACATGTTCACCAACATCCCTTTTACATGTGTGTTAATTCTAATACACACTTTTTGATGAGATGATCATGATAGTTACAAGAGACACGGCCAAGTTCCACTACGAGCCTAGCTTCATTAATACCAGAATTAAAGAATAGTTTAAAAGCAGCTGATGGTGCTGAATGACAGTATAAACGTACCTTGCGAGAGGTGATCCATGTGCATTCATAGCGCTGGGGAAGTCCTTGGTGCCTGTTCCCAAGACTTCGACTCCTGGCAAGAACTTGAGACTGTTTGGGTTGGGTGTGTCTTGAGTCTGGATGAACATTGTTCGGGCTGTAACAAGATCATGGAAAAAAGTTTATGATGAAATTGTGGAAAGTGGAAACTATAAGTATATTCCATTTTGATGGTTCAATTCAATATATTCATCTCATATAATATACACATATTATATATACAGAGATGCCAACCCTATAGGATGGCTGTCAGTAACATTTACCATATTTGTCCGTAACAAATGGGGGTATTTCCGTAACGCAAGACACCGCAGCATAATTTTCGCGCAAAACGTACACAAACACCCAATCACTCTTACTGCATTTCGAACCTACCATTTTTAAGTCCAAAATAAAGATGTGCATAAAAACGTTTTTAAAAATCTGTTTCCAGTCAAAGGATCTCCTCCTCGGGTACTTGCTCTTTTGAGTGAATCCATGATAATATTCAGGAAGAAAACACCTCATTCAAGCGTCAAATGGCAAATTCGAATCCACAGTCAAACGGCATGCAGAACTCGTATCCTACACACGCACACGTTCACTCACCAGTACCACAGACACACCAGCCCAGGCCGCTAGGCCCGGCGTTCACGAACAACAACACACCGTATAACGCACTTGCATTGCGCCCGCTGAATCACCGAAGTCTTCGCAACTATACTATGAATGGGTATTGCGGGCGCCGCACGCACGATCATCTACCCCCATGCTCCCCCGAAAAGGCACGACCGCACGTAGCGGCCGTGTTGTTTTGGAATTAAACAAGATGGCGGCGGACGGACCATGTGCGCGAAAGTGCCTATCCAGTGTAGTCAAATTCAGTGAACTTATGTGTAAATGAGTGCAACATGCAGCGCTGTGTACGGAGGCTATGTGATAAGGCGGCATTCGCTATAATGTACTTTTGTTTATCGTTTCCCCGTAACATTTTGATTGTTTACCGTAACGCCGTAACAAGAGCATTAAAACCGTAACAAATACGGCGAAACCGTAACGGTTGGCATCTCTGTATATATTTACTAGATGGTGGGTGGACCCTCCTGTGGCTGCCTCCGTTTACAACTAGTAAACCGAGGAGTTTCGACGATTACACAAACACCCTAAAGTTGTTATTCACAAGATTGAAATGACGAGGTACGAAGATTCAGTTAAAGTTCACGAACTGTCGTTTATTCACTGGTCGTATGGTCACTCAACCTTCAGATAACAATCTGTAACACAACAGAAAGAGAAACAAACTACATAATGTTCATACTTATGAGACACTACAACAATACATGTGCATATATATCATGTCAAAATAGCTTAATAAAGAGATTGAACCTACATAATACTGACTACATGTACTCCAAAACTGTCTCTTTGTTTTATAAGCAACAAGTTATAAACCTTGACTAGACAATGAAATATAAGTCAACTTGCATGTATGTAATTAACTAATTACGCAGTCTATGTACATATATATGCTGCAACAAAACAACTACAAGTATAAAGAATAATATCCTACTAGATAAGAAAGTACCTGTCTTAATTAAAATACATTATAATGCAGTCATCACCATCACAGTGGCACTGTAACAAACATGAATAGAGAGCTGAAGAAAGGGATAGAGAGGGGAAGAGAGAGAGAGAGAGAGAGAGAAAGAGAGAGAGAAAGGGTGAGATCAGAGAGGGGTGGATAGCGATACAGAGAAGAGAGAGAGAGAGAGAGAGTACAGTACAATGCACGCATCTCCTAAGTACACTGGAAGAGCACACACATAACTTTCCTTGCCCTTCAAGTTCCAAACTATATATAACAAGAAAGATGTCTAATATTCTCTCCTAAGCTTACATTACTTCATAAAACAATTCAACATTAACTACCACTATTATATTAAGTGAGTTCTTACCAATTCGGGTCTGTAAAATGCTCCACAATCACTGGAAATCAAACTTTTGAAGATGGTTGCAACTAGCAACTTCACTGTTGAGACATTCACTTGAACACTGATGATATACTGCCTCTACACATAATATGCGATACATCTACAACACAAGTGCCTAAACACAGAATGCATACCCATACATTGTATGCAAAGTACTTTCATTTAGCACTATAAAACAAGGGGGCTTCTGTTATATAAGACAAGGGGGCTTCTGTTGACATTAGATAACAGCAGTACATGCCTAATACATTGCCATTGGTAGTCTATGAATTCAGACTGAATTAACTAGTCTTCAATACTAGACCTTATTTAACAAAATCTTGTAACAATCCTCACTACACACTGCTGTAGTGACATGGCTCCTTTAAATGGCTTGTCCATTTACACTTTAAATAAAGACAAACACCTAAAATCAATATACATGTACATGATAAATACAAATCTGCAACATCTATCACATTGCAAAACATTAAAAGGTGAATACTATAAAACATAACTGTTTATGAAACTCGCATGTTAATCCTAGCTTATTGTTCAGATGAGCTGAAAACATTGTTCGCGATTTAATATCAAAGGCTCCTTGAGGGGGAATATACACTGGTCTTCACTTGTGACAGTCAAAATTACTTTTCAACTGGTAACAACAGTACCAACTTCTGGATAGGTCTATCAAGTTCAACGGGAGGGCGTTTACGCTTTCCCTCATTGTCCAATGTTCCGTCTGCTATCAGTATCTTGACCTTTCTGACGCAACCGTCCTTGCTGGGGTAGACATCGACTACGCGTGCGAGTGGCCACCGACCGCGAGCATCTTCGTTCTCCTTTGAGATGACGATGTCGCCTACCTCAAGGTTTCGACGTTTAAGAACCCACTTCTGGCGGCTCTGCAGCTCCTGGAGGTACTCCCGTCTCCACCTAGCCCAGAACTCGTTGGCTGCATACTGAACCCGCCTCCACCACTTGCGTGAATAGAGGTCCTCGCGCTGGAAGGCTCCCGGTGGAGGAAGAACCACCTTCGCCTTGGCTGTCAGAAGGTGATTTGGAGTCAGTGGTTCAGGGGCACCAGAGTCGCTCAGATTCGTTGTTGTCAGAGGCCTTGCATTTATGATTGCCTCTGCCTCTGTTAGAAATGTCCGGAAGGCCTCGTCGTCCAGCTGGCTACCCACCGTTTGCAGAAGGGGTTCTAGAACTCGACGTACAGTCTGGATTTGCCTTTCCCAGACACCGCCCATGTGAGATGCATGAGGTACGTTCATCTTGAACGGTATCCAATCACATCCGTTCTGCAGTAGGTATTCTTGCACTTGAGACTGGTCCATTTCAGCTAAGGCGTGTCTCAGCTCGGTACGGGCGCCTATGAAAGTTGTTCCCTGGTCGGATCGCAGCTGTCGCACCACTCCCCGTCTATTCATAAATCGCCGCAAGGCATTTATGAAGCTGGATCCGGTCAGACTGTTGGCTGTCTCTAGATGCACACTCCTTGATGCCATACAAGTGAAAAGGACTCCATACCTTTTCACCTCACTTCGTCGCTCCTTAACCAGGAAAGGTCCGAAGTAATCGACTGCTGAGTATGTGAACGGAGGTGTTGGTTCCAGTCTGTCTTCTGGCAGATCCGCCATCTTCTGCTGCAGTGGCCTCCTTCGCAGACTTCTGCATTTCACACAGCCAGAAATGCACTGCGAGACTGCTGATGATCCTCCAATCACCCAAAATCCATGTTGCCTAACTTCGTTGTGAGTGATGCCTCGACCCATATGCTGAACACATTGGTGGTAGTGCCTGATCACCAAGTGACTGATATGTCCATGTCGAGGGAGAATGACTGGATGTCTGACATCTCGGGACATGTTGGCTCTGGTAATGCGACCGCCTACTCGAACCAGTCCATCTTCGTCGAGGTAAGGATCGAGTCTGTACAGGGCGCTGGTCCTCTTCATGTCATCTTTCTTTGATCGAGCCACTGTTCTGTCACATATTTTGTCTACCGCATCAAGCTTCTTCAGCACCTCCATTTCATCCTTGAAATGGTCCATCTGAACAGCCATGAGAATTACCCTTTCTGCCTCCACTAACTGAGATGTTGTCAGAGGAGGGAGGGTCCGCCTTTCATTTCCTTGGCTTGATGATGAAGATCGCTTGACTTCCTTTCTTCGAAGTCGGTCCTTGAGTTGCAAACAGCGTGCGATTGCCTTCTTAGCACGATACCAGCTTGAGAAAGGTTCAAGCCGGCTCGACTTGAACTGATCAGGATACTTCGTGTTTGCTGCAGTTGCCTGCGTTGACATAACATTGGCTCTCCTCACTTCAGGATCACCTTCCATAAGCTGGTAGGCATCTGTTTGCTCAGCTTGATGAGTAGGGTTTCTCCAAAGAAACTCTGGTCCTCTGAGCCAGCGACTGTCATGTGTCAGCTGCTTTGCTGACATTCCTCTTGAGGCTTCGTCGGCTGGGTTGTCTCTGGTATCAACATAGAACCAGTCCTTGGGGTCTGTCAGGTCTCGGATTTGTTGTACCCTGTTGGCTACGTAAGTATGGAATCTCTTGGCTTCATTCCGTATGTATCCTAGCACCACCTGACTATCTGTCCAGAAGAAGTCCTTAGCGTCATGATACTTCAGCTCTTCTTTCACGAAAGAGCTCATCCTGGCAGATGTGGTTGCTGCAGCCAGTTCTAACCTTGGAATCGTGATCTGCCTCAGTGGCGTAACTCGAGATTTCCCAATCACCAATGCACAGTGAACATTGTCGTCTTCATTGATGAATCTGACGTACGTACACTGACCGTAGCCATCTTCACTCGCGTCTGAGAAGTGGTGGAGCTCCACCTGCTTGATTTTCCCAAACCCATTCGGTTTGAGACATCTTGGAATCTGTAGTCCTTCCAGATTACGTACATCCTCCAACCAATTCTCCCAGCGTGCTCGTAGTGCTTCTGGCATTGGAGTGTCCCAGTCGGCATTACTGCGACACATCTCCTGCAGGATTCGCTTCCCAGGCAGCATCACAGGACTGATGAAACCACATGGATCGTAGAAAGAGCTGACCGTGGACAAGACTCCTCTTCTGGTGAAGGGTCTTTCCTTTATCTCCACAATGAAGTTGAAGACATCATTTTGGATCCGCCAGACGACTCCCAGAACTCTCTCCAGAGACAGTGAATCCTTGTCGAGATCTAACTGCTGGACCTCCTTTGACCTGTCCTCTTTTGGAAAGCTCTTCAGAACGTCAATGTCATTGGAGATGACCTTGTGCAGCTTAAGACCTGCCTTGGCACAGATCCCTTGGCTGTCCTTCAGAAGTTTCACCGCTATTTGTGTGGAAGGTACAGAAGTCAAACCATCATCCACATAGAAGTCCTTCCTGATGAATTCAGCAGCGTCAGCTCCAAACTCATCTTCTCCATCCTCTGCTGCCTTTCGTAGGCCGAAGGTGGCTGCACCGGGTGAACTTGCTGCTCCAAAGAGATGGACGGTCATGCGGTACTCCACGACTTGCTTTTCCGGGTTACCGTCTTCCCACCAGAGAAAGCGCAGCAAATCTCTGTCCTCTGGAGACACGAAGAACTGGTGGAACATGCTCTTTACATCAACAGCACATGCCACCTCTTCCTTGCGGAACCTGCAGAGAACACCCAATAGGCTATTCATCGAGTTTGGGCCCTGTAGGAGGTGATCATTCAGAGAGACTCCCTGGTATGCTGCTGAACAATCAAAGACAACTCGAATCTTGTCTGGCTTCCGAGGATGGTAGACTCCTGTATGAGGGATGTAGTTGACCCTATCTTGGGCATTCAGTCTATCTGTCGGCACCCTTTCCGCATGATCAGCGATCACACCCTTCATGAACTCGGTGTAATCCTCCTGGAACTTTTGATTCTTCCTGAATCTGGCAGTCAATTGATTCCATCTCTTGATGGCGAGGGGCTTGTTGTATGGAAGGGACATCTCCTTGGACTTCAGAGGTAGGGGCATCTCATAGTGTCCATCCTCTCTCTTCCTGACTCCTTTCTCCAACATGCTCATGAACTTCATCTCGTCGATGGAATAGGGCTTTCCCTTCTGATTCATTTCAATGAAATCCTTCTCCAGCACGTTGAGAACTCTTTCTGGGGAGAATACTTCCTTTGCCCGATTGGCGTAGGCAAAGTGAGGGTAGTCGTCCTGGACATATGTCTTCTTGCAGAAGATTTCCTGGTTTGCAGACTTGCAAACGGTCCCAACGACACCCCATCCCAGAATGGATCTCTGAGCGTAGGGTTCGTCTTCTCCACCGCAGATGATGTCCCTGGGTCTAATGGCTCTCGGGCAGTCATTGCCGATGAGAAGTCCAACTTCTATTGCTGGATTGTATGGCATGAGGTCGTCGGCAATGGGGGACAGATGAGCCCATCTCTTCATTACTTCACCCTTAGGAATTTGAGATCTCCTAGCTGGAACGTCGTCCCTCTGATAGCATGCTGGTAGGGTGACCACATGCTCCTTCTTAAAGTCCAGCACTTCAAGTCCACAGATCCTTGAGGTTTTGATGCGCGTACTCTCGTGCATTGTTGTCAATTGAAGATTGGTATCTGTTCCATCTACACGCATCTTCTCACACAATGCTTTCGACACAAATCCAACGTTGGATTGGTCATCCAGGATCGCGTATTGTAAGATCTCGTTGCCTGGGTTGCTAGCATGCCGTACCCACACAGGCACAATCATGCAGTGTTCTTTCCCGTCCTGGTCTGGTAAGGAACAGACGTTGGTGCACTTTGAGGAACCTTCATATTCTCTGTTCTGCGGACGATGCAGGCATGTGAGGTGCCTTCCCTGACACTCCTTACATGTTTTCCTCTGAGGACAGTCCTTTACCTGGTGGCTGTCATCACTGCCACATCCCATGCAAAGTTTCTTCTGGAAGAAGAAGTGCTTACGAAGTGGATGAGGCTTCTTGGCGAATTCCTTGCACTCATCCAGATGGTGCTTTTCATTGCAAAAGGGACACGATGAGAACTTGCCTTGTTGACCACCATTGAATGCTCTAGTGGACAGCGACTTTCCAGCAAATCCCTTATTTCCAGCTGGAAATTGCCTAGGCCTGGATTCTTGGTTCTTCAGGCACTCCAACTCTGGAATGCTGGCCTTGCGTGCTGCGTCGTTGACGAATTCTGCAAATCTTGAGAATGTCGGATAGCTACCAAGTCCACGACGTTGCCACCTGTCAACTTCGTCACGCCATTTCCGTGCGAGGTATGCTGGAAGCTTCTCCAACATCTTTACGTTTTCTTGGGGAAAATCCAAAATATTAAGTGTTGAAATTGTCACCTTTGCAGCTTCCACCTGGTTCAAGAAGTCTGCGAAATCCCTCAATCCTGTAGAGTCTTGGTTGCTGATCCTTGGCCATGAGTTCAACTTCTTTGTGAAGGCAGCAGACACTACGCTCTGGCTTCCGTATCGTTCTGCAAGTGCTCCACATGCTTTGTGGTAGGCGTCCTCAGTGCCAAGAAGAAGATAGTGCTGCACCAACCTCTTTGGTGCTCCAGCCACAGAGTTATTCAGGTAATGCAGCTTTGTAGGATGATCAACTGGATTCCTGTCTACGAGGCTCACGAATGCATTTTTCCAGAGGGGATACTGGAGGGGGTCTCCACTGAATACGGGAAGATCGATGTGCGGCAACTGACTGGTCACAGCGACCTGCTGAGAGCTAGCACTTTGTATAGCCATCGACCTTGCTACCTCTGCGAGTGATTCAGCTACCCTTTGCAACCCATTTGATTCATACACAGGAGTGACATCACTCCTTGACTGTTGAGGGCTCTGCTGTGCTACACTATCTTGGGATTGCAAATATCTCTGGATGGAGTCCTCCATTTTCTCCTCAGGAAGATCTAATTTGACAGAATGGGTCTCTGAATATTCAATGTCATCCCTGCTTCCTTCAAGTTCTGCCATTCTCTCATTGAACTGCTTGGTGAGCTTGAGTTTTCTCAATTTTGAATTTGCTTCTTCTTGTTTTCTGGCAAACTCAATTCTTTTGAGTTCATCCTCTTGATCCATCATCTGGAGTTCAGCATGGAACGCTTGAAGAACTCTTTCGCTTTGCACGGAGCGCTTACTTTTAACGCTCCCTTCCTCGAGCTTATCAGGGAGACTAGTGGCCGTTGCCATGGTAACTTATACAATTCACTATTCGTTTAAGTCTATGGCTACTTTGCCATTCAGCTTACTGGATGCACATGCAGATCCTTGATTCTTATTCAGCTAACTGGATGCACAGGCTACTTTGCCATTCAGCTAACTGGATACACAGGCTACTTAGCCATTCAGCTAACTGGATGCACATGCAGATCCTTGATTGTTATTGTGGCTGCCTCCGTTTACAACTAGTAAACCGAGGAGTTTCGACGATTACACAAACACCCTAAAGTTGTTATTCACAAGATTGAAATGACGAGGTACGAAGATTCAGTTAAAGTTCACGAACTGTCGTTTATTCACTGGTCGTATGGTCACTCAACCTTCAGATAACAATCTGTAACACAACAGAAAGAGAAACAAACTACATAATGTTCATACTTATGAGACACTACAACAATACATGTGCATATATATCATGTCAAAATAGCTTAATAAAGAGATTGAACCTACATAATACTGACTACATGTACTCCAAAACTGTCTCTTTGTTTTATAAGCAACAAGTTATAAACCTTGACTAGACAATGAAATATAAGTCAACTTGCATGTATGTAATTAACTAATTACGCAGTCTATGTACATATATATGCTGCAACAAAACAACTACAAGTATAAAGAATAATATCCTACTAGATAAGAAAGTACCTGTCTTAATTAAAATACATTATAATGCAGTCATCACCATCACAGTGGCACTGTAACAAACATGAATAGAGAGCTGAAGAAAGGGATAGAGAGGGGAAGAGAGAGAGAGAGAGAGAGAGAAAGAGAGAGAGAAAGGGTGAGATCAGAGAGGGGTGGATAGCGATACAGAGAAGAGAGAGAGAGAGAGAGAGTACAGTACAATGCACGCATCTCCTAAGTACACTGGAAGAGCACACACATAACTTTCCTTGCCCTTCAAGTTCCAAACTATATATAACAAGAAAGATGTCTAATATTCTCTCCTAAGCTTACATTACTTCATAAAACAATTCAACATTAACTACCACTATTATATTAAGTGAGTTCTTACCAATTCGGGTCTGTAAAATGCTCCACAATCACTGGAAATCAAACTTTTGAAGATGGTTGCAACTAGCAACTTCACTGTTGAGACATTCACTTGAACACTGATGATATACTGCCTCTACACATAATATGCGATACATCTACAACACAAGTGCCTAAACACAGAATGCATACCCATACATTGTATGCAAAGTACTTTCATTTAGCACTATAAAACAAGGGGGCTTCTGTTATATAAGACAAGGGGGCTTCTGTTGACATTAGATAACAGCAGTACATGCCTAATACATTGCCATTGGTAGTCTATGAATTCAGACTGAATTAACTAGTCTTCAATACTAGACCTTATTTAACAAAATCTTGTAACAATCCTCACTACACACTGCTGTAGTGACACTCCACATATATAAAATGTACTGATACTGGTAACTAATAATAATAGACATTTTACAGAACTTTATTTTTTGCATCCAATTTTATATTGCTTGGAGTCTCCATACTTATGGAAAATAATTGGCACTCAAATTTACAAGAAAATATACATAAATGCATATAAATGTACAAAAACTACATTTGTTTGTGAGAAAAGATTCTCTATTTCACTTTTAAAGAAAAGATAAATTGTGGATCTTGTGAAAATGATATGCTATGCCAGCTCTTAAATAGCTGGGTGATATATATATGCAAGTCTTTGTCGACAGACTAAACAGTTCTGTTCACATATGAATTATGCTTAACTACAAGAGTTTGTGCCTGTAAGGTAAAGTAGACTTGCCATGCTGAACTTGAGGGTTTATGATGTGTCTGTTTCCTGCCTGCCTTAAAATCTGTTTCCTACATGGCGCCATTGCTGATGGAGTCACCGTCTGACTGGTTGAGAGTACATTGTAAGCTCGAGATGAGGGTCTTATAATGAGGGTTAAAAATAGTTAGATAAAATCAGTTCCTGCCAAGAACAAAATAACCAACAAGTCACACTCAATTTTCAAGCACGGAACAAAACAAACAGAGGAGGGGGGGGGGGGGGGGGGGGGATAAAACTTCATGGGAAGAAAAAGTCATGTAAACAATATCTGAATCGTTTCTTTTCACTCATAAGTCTATAATTCTACCTATGTTTCGATTTGAATTCTAGTTCTCAATCAAAATTCAAAAATTTACTCAAACATCAACGTATGGGACTGTACAATTCAACTCTCAAGCTTACAAAATCTCGAAAACGAATTATGACACTCATTTCATCATCAAGTTCGATATATACCTAACGTGTGATGCCAGCACTGCATTGATCCGTACAAATTTTGAAAGAGGTCGCTGAAAAGACATTTTATCTGTGTTTCGGGCCCGGCAAAGTCAGAGGTTCAAGATGAAAACATTCAATTGCGTAATCAAACGAAGAGATGGCGCTCTTCAAAAAGCATGAATTCTCGCATGAGCTCACGCCACACACAAAAAATAATAACAAACAAAAAGAAAATGAATGAGAAAATTTCGTAAGCGAACATTAAATAAGTAGACAAAAATTTGGACTCTGAAACTATCATAAGATAGAGCTGACCGAACACGGAGACAAATACCTTCGAATCACGATGAGTACACCGCCCCTAGCTGGCCGAAAAAAAAAGGACGCTGGCCGGTGTGACCGCGTAGAATGTAAGCGGACACTTTTTTTTTTTTTTTTTGGTCAGGATATTTGAAAATTTGAAATTTTTCGTTGGGGGGGAGGGTGGGGGGGGGGGGTAAGGTCACTTTACGTAAGCCGTGGGCATTATTAAAAAAAAAAAATAAAAAAAAAAAAAAAAAGGGGGGGGGGGGTTAGTTTTTTTAGGGGGTTTACCCACATAAAAATACCACCCACCTGCGTACGCCCCTGCTGGCACCAATAGTCCGCCTGCCGCACCGAATGTCCGTACTCTAGTCCACACGTATACATAGTCAAAACAAACAGGGATATACTCTCATATCCCTGATACAAGTATAATTATACTTAATGAATGAAACGACTGGATAACCCATATTCAGCTTAACCAGCTAGCTAGGGATGAAACTACAGGCACTGGCGGATCTAGTAGGGGGGATGGGGGGGGGGGGGGGGGGGGGTGGTGCAAATTGTTAAATTTTCGAGGGCCAAAAAAAAAAGGTGCTTACTACCCCCCAAGGTCGCGGAGAAAGGCTTTTGCCTCTGCCCCCCCCCTCCCCCCCAAACCAACCCCCCCCCCCCTTCTCGCCAAAAAAAAAAAAAAAAGAGAGAAAGAAGGGAAAGGGAAAGAGGAGAGCTAAAATGAAAAACAAAAGAGGTAGAAAAAAGAAAAGGGTGAAAAGAAGCAGAGATCAGTTGCGATTAATCCCATCAACATTGTGTGGATCGGGGGGAGGGGGCGAAAGGCCCCTGCCTCCCTCACCAAACTTAAATGAAAGAGGATGAGAGAAGTAAGGGAAGGGAATGGGGGGGGGGGAGGGAAAGAGGAAGAAGAAAGGTAGGGGAGATCAGTTACAATTTCTTTTAGTGTATTTTATATTAAAGCCAAAAAGCCAGATATTAAAAGTTAATCATTTTTTCCAATTTTGGTGTGATAAAATAATTATTGTTGGTGTTGTTGATGTATTTGAAAGGGTTCCAAAGCACAATATGTCAATGGATTCCTCAAAAAAAGAAAAAAAAAAGGGCCTAGAGTGAGGGGGAGCAGTGTAGGAAAAAACTGTTAGGGAGCCCCTTTGCAAATATGGGGGGCCCCAGGCGCGGATCTACGATTTGTTATGGGGGCCCAATTTGAAATTATGCTAGCCAAATATTGGTACGTAATGGTGACACCGGCAGTGGCGAAATGAGCAAAAACGTTGGGGGGGGGGGGTAGAACAAAACCCCGCCCCACCCACTTTTCATGCAGGCCTCGCTGAACGTTTCTCTAAGTAGGTTGGGGGAGTGGTATTTACGATAAGGCAGAGCGTAGCGTTAAAGATAAACTTTAGTAGCCTACTGGTAATGCGATTGCATTGTGCATGAAAGAAAAGGTGTGGAAAGGATCAGAAACAGTTGATCATGTAGGTATTGGTGTGCACTGCAAGGTTCTGGAGTCATCAAAATCATAGTAAATTTGACCGAGTCTTGGTAAAGTAACAAGCACTCACATAGAAAGCTATGGGACAACACAAATGGTGTCGGGGCTAGTACCTTGATTTCCTTGTCTTTCTATGCTCATTACTCAGCCAGTATACATTTTCTTCCAAAATTGTTTGGCACATGTCATTTATTTGTAATCTTGAACATTCAGTGTAAGTTTCGTTTGATTCTGTGAGAATTATTATTTTTTTTTTTTACCAGTACTGGAGTTTATCTTTAATTGGCGTGGGGTCTAGGGCCTTTTGGCCCCTCTGAACTACAACTTGTTGCCGGCAAAATTGCAACTGATATCCCGCTTTTTTTTCTTTTCTTCTTCCTTTTCCCCTCCCTTTATCTCTTCTTTTCCTTTTTCTTTCCCTTTTCATCATTCTCTCTTATTTTGTAATGGGGGGGGGGGGGGGGGGGTGACAGCTGGGATCCAAGACCCTTTCGGCCCTTAATTGATCTGCTTCTTCCCCCCTTTTTTCCCTTCTTCTTCCTCTTCCTCTTTTTTCTTTCCCTTTCTTTCCTCTTTCTCTTCTTTTCCTTCTCTCTCTCTCTTTTTTTTGCGGAGGGGGGGGGGGAAGGCCCTTCCGGCCCCCTGGATCCGCGTCTGCCTTTAGGGGGTAAAGCTGCGCCTGTCGTCAGCTAGCTGAAAGTGTTAACAACTAAAAGCACAGTGTTAAGAACTAAAAGTGAACCAGGTAATCGCAGTGAGGCAAAGTGGTCTCGTGGATAAGCAACCGCCTAGTAAGTGGAAGGTATCGGGTTCGATCCCCAGCTAGTGTATTTTGTTTTAAAGCCCAAAAGCAAGATATTAAAAGTTAATCATTTTTCCAATTTTGGTGTGATAAAATAATAGTGTTGGTGATTGTTGATGTATGGGAAAGGGTTCCAATGCACAATATGTCAATGGATTCCTCAAAAAAACTTGAAAATTGGCTATGGTGAGGGGGGAGCAGCTGAGTGTAGGAAAAAACTGTTAGGGAGCCCCTTTGGGGAGGGGGATCTTTTTTTTTTTTGGGGGGGGGGGGGGGTCTTTTTTTTTTCTTTCTTGGAGGTCGTCAGCTAGCTGGCGGTCGTCAGCGTAGCCGGTGGCCGGTAGCGTTAGCCCCAAAGCCATGTCCATTTTTTAAACTACATTCAAGAGTCCCTTATTGCCAGGTTAAACAAGTTTTTTTTTTACATTTTCAGTACTACTTTCTTCCTTTTATTCACTCTGTATACTCCCATGCTATCCTTTTCCAGTCTGTAAACAACTTTACAACATGAATTCAATGATGGGCAAGGTTTTACTTTTCATAGCCCAATATGGGCTAACAACTGGCCTGCCCGAGCAGAATCATTTTGTGCTCGACAAAGACACACAGCCTTGGGTAAAGACGTCCATTATTATTATTTTTGTTAGTTATATTTTTTGATTGACAGTATACTATTAAATATCAGGAATATTGGATGCTCTGTTTCAAATACAGTCCAGATTGCCGAGCAATGAATTATCTCATGCTTCTTGTCCAAAATCATATCTAACTGGTTTTTAAAACGGTATCATTTTAATTTCCATTTCCCAGCATTATTTTGAACTGTCTTGAACTGAAGTTGTTTTCCTTTCTTATATTTCGATACCATTACGTCATCAAAATAATGCGGTCATAGTTGCAATGTCATGAATGCTATTTCTACCTCAGTCTTTGGAAATCCTCGCAATGACGAAAGTATTAACTCGATAAAGGGAGTGTCCGTTCTTTTCTTCAATTCATTAATTGATGCCATGTTAGAGCTGAGTAGTTTGTTACATAAATATTCAAGTATAGCCGATGCGAGCTATTAAAAAAAAAACTGAATCGAATAGCCTGCATCTTTCATATGAATAACAATGAGCAGTGCCTAAATACAGCTGCACTGCATTTCTAAGTAAGCTTCAACGGAATGTTACTTTCAATGGCATGTTAGTTCGAATGCACCTGTTTCTAAACATAACAATCATTAAATCAGCATCAGAAAGTGTTAACAACTAAAAGCGAACCAGGTAATCGCAGTGAGGCAAAGTGCTCTTGTGGATAGGCGACCGCCTAGTAATTGGAAGGTATCGGGTTAGATACCCAGCTAGTCCATATTTTTGTTTAAATCTTGAAACAAACAAAAACGTATGTTAATTTAACAACAAGAAGTGAACCGGTATATGCGCTCAAATAAGACCTTTTTAATGTCGGCTGCTAGAATTTTTGCACCCCGTATTCGATGAGGTATATAATAATCTACATTTCATGTGAGTTTCAACACATTTGAAGAAAATGGGAAATTAGCAACGAATGTATTAACCCCCACCCCTTTTTATATACTCTAGACGTTATCAGCGCCAAACGTTTAGGTTTGCTCTAGACATTGGTTGATATGCGCTCAAATAAGACCTTTTTAATGTCGGCTGCTAGAATTTTGTACCCCGTATTCGATGAGGTATATAATAATCTACATTTCATGTGAGTTTCAGCACAATTAAGGCAAGTGGGACGTAGTTGCGAATGTATTAAAGGCCGAACTCCCCATCACCGATATACTCAACATGTTATGCGCTATACGTTTAGGTTTGTTCTGGACATTGGTTGATATGAGCTCAAATTCGACATTTTTAATGTCGGCTGTTAGAATTTTTGCACCCCGTATTCGATGAGGTATATAATAATCTACATTTCATGTAAGTTTCAGCACATTTAGAAGAAATAGGAAATTAACAACGAATGTATTAACCCCCACCCCCTCTTATATACTCTAGGCGTTATAAGCACGTTTAGGTTTATTCTGGACATTGGTTGATATGCGCTCAAAAAAGACCTTTTTAATGTCGGCTGCTAGAATTTTTGCACCCCGTATTCGATGAGGTATATAATAATCTACATTTCATGTGAGTTTCAGCACATTTAAAGTAAATGGGAAATTAGCAACGAATGTATTAACCCCCACCCCCTTTTTTTAATACTCTAGACGTTATATGCGCCAAACATTTAGGTTTGTTCTGGACGTTGGTTGATATGCGCTCAAATAAGACCTTTTTAATGTCGGCTGCAAGAATTTTTGCACCCCGTACTCCATGAGGTATATAATAATTTACATTTCATATGAGTTTCAGGACATTTAAAGCAAATGGGAAATTAGCAACGAATGTATTAACCCCCACCCCCTTTTTTTAATACTCTAGACGTTATATGCGCCAAACATTTAGGTTTGTTCTGGACATTGGTTGATATGCGCTCAAATAAGACCTTTTTAATGTCGGCTGCTAGAATTTTTGCACCCCGTATTCGATTAAGTATATAATAATCTACATTTCATGTGAGTTTCAGCACATTTGAAGTAAATGGGAATTAGCAACGAATGTATTAACCCCCACCCTCTTCTATATATTCTAGACGATATCTGCGCCAAACGATTAGGTTTGTTCTGGACATTGGTTGATATGCGCTCAAATAAGACCTTTTTAATGTCGGCTGCTAGAATTTTTGCACCCCGTATTCGATGAGGTATATAATAATTTAAATTTCATGTGAGTTTCAGCACATTTAAAGATCGTCACCACTACTGGGCCAGAAGGGATTAGACCACACAGAGAGCCATCGAGGTCACTGTGACAGGTGGCTATCTCATTAACTCAGCTCTCATTTAACATAAGAAAAAGAGGATCATGGGGGACCAACAGGCACCGATTAGGGAAGTTTTCTATATAGAGGGAGCAAGTAGCTACAAGTATGGCAGTGTGCCTTTAAAGCAAATGGGAATTAGCAACGAATGTATTAACCCCCACCCTCTTCTATATACTCTAGACGTTATCTGCTCCAAACGCTTAGGTTTATTCTGGACATTGGTTGATATGCGCTCAAATAAGACCTTTTTAATGTCGGCTGCTAGAATTTGTGCATCCCGTATTCCATGAGGTATTATAATCTACATTTCATGTGAGTTTCAGCACATTTAAAGCAAATGGGAATTAGCAACAAATGTATTTCTACTACTTCTACTACTAGTAGAGTCTACTACTACTAGTAAAGTCTACTCTCCTGCTCCTGCTCTGCAACTCTACTCGCCGACTTAAACCAGCTTCTCTCATCTACTCAACTCTCCAACTCAATCCAGTCTTCTAATCAAACCTCTCATCCTGTCTACAACTTTCTGGTTTACAGTCCTTTTCAGGACTATACTCACTTCCGAAAGATACTCTTCCTTCCAACCTCCACTTTCTCGCCTTTCCATTTCACTTCTATTTCTATCCACTTTCCTTAGTCCTTCTAGGACTTTACACATGGTGTACCGTAAACCTCTTCCGCGATTGTTCATACCACCATGCAAACCTTCAAAAAGCACACTTTGTGCGCATGCTCAATGATGACGTCAGTCTTTAACTTCAAATAGGTTGAACGATTATGTCTTTTGCCTACGACCATACCATGCTGAATTTACCGGTTCTCGTCCGATCACCGTAGTCAAGCAGCGTAGGGCCTGGTTAGTACTTGGATGGGAGACCGCCTGGGAAGGGCGTATGACCCCCCCCCCCCCCCCCCCCCCCCCCCCCCCAAGGACCTTTTCCCGGTGAGCGACCCCTTCGATCACCGCCGCGAAGCCCGCCCTCTGCGGCAATAAAGGACCCATTTCTGTTATCTCTCATGGGCTTTTTCATGCATCCTTTTTCTTTAAAGAGGGCCTATTAATCAAAATTTAGGGTGATATGAGCAATAAAAATAGTTTTTTCTTCAGCAAATAAGATGCTTGTATTTCTAAAGTATTTTTTGTTTTCATTGTTTCTTTTCTTTTTTCTTAAAAATCATGTTTTATTCTTCCTTGTTTGGAATTCCTTTTAAAAGGTCAAATATTCTTTTAATGTTTCACCACAACAAATTTCAAAAACACCACACCCACCCACAAACATTCTTAAAACAACCACAACAAACAAAACAAATCCATTTACACGTAAGCAGGAGAAAGAAAATAAAATAAATATTACTCGTAAATGATTCAATTGTTCGTCATTCCTTGTATTTGATTCTTGGTTTCAGTTCCATGTTTAAAGTATTTTTTCAACAAAAAAAGTAAAAAAAAGTATAAAAAGGACAAGTAATAGTACATATACAGTAATAAACGACTCTTTTAGTAAATTGAGTTCGGTAGTGAGTTAGCACACATGAATTGGTTAAAAAATGTTGACCATTGAGTTATAGCATAACATTGGTTGCGTGATACAGCTTTAAATCTCAACTATGCAAGGTTTACGTTTGCACATTCGGAACTACAGCTGTACTATAATACTGATCTTTTGAATATGGCACAATTTAGTTTTCTCAATTCTTAGTCAAATATTTGGCTTCCCAGTCATGGCAAGATCTGGAATTTGGTAAAAAAGTACACACTTATAACCGACTATTTACAATACTTTCAATGTTCAAGGCACTTGAATATCTTCAGCACTATTTTGAAAATGATAACCAAAAAAGAGAAATAAAACATGCATATTGAATACAGAGTCATATCGTCCAGTCATCAACATAAGAGTGAAATTTCACAAAGCGCTCTAACATGAGCAAACTTCTACTCTGCTAAGGTGTTAAATGAGTGATTTTCCACTCATTCAAATAGATTATTGGCATCTCATAACGATACAATAGTAACTTAACGATGGCAAACATACAAAACGTATCACAATATGAACAAATTATTTAAATCAGCTCTTCTTTGTCATTTGTACTCGTTTCTGTCACCAAATCTCTTCACTTTCAACAAAAAAAGTATATATACAATCTTTGGCAAGATTTACTTTTCTACCTGAAGCATTACATTTCGTCGCTGTTTTCACGAAGTGACGGTAGTGAAAAAAAAATTGCATTCACTTTGCGATTTTCCTCACTACCGTCACTTCGTGAAAACAAGGACGATTTGTACAATGATACAAAATATTTCGACTTTGGTAGCCAGCTACGACATTAACAAATATATTGCTTTAAAAGTCTCTAGACGAGGTATCAAACATATAACAAGATGTGCATACAATCTTTGGCAATACTTAGTACTGTACCCGTAGTATAATATGTGTACTATACTAAACAACACTTTGACTTTGGCAGGAAGGCAACAACATAATGAGATGCCGGTAATATATATATATATATATATATGTATATATCTGCACACTTAATTTTGGAATAGGCATGGAATATTTGGCAAGGTATAGTACTGCATTGCAATGTACTGTAAAGAATAAAGTATTACATTTGTTAAATAATACTGATTGTTTTTTAATACTGTTCCAGTAAAATATAAAGAGATGGGCACATCAAAAATGTCCAACATGACAAGACAAACAATCTTATCAGTATCTAGTAATGTATGGTACCTGATTAATGCGAAAATACATTGATCTGCATTCAAGGTACTGAACTATCCATGTTCTGAAAAAATACACAAAATGAATAATCTACTTTTCCTCCTCTCTATTTCTTTGTTTCCTCTCCAACTCTTCGTCAACCACTTTCTTAAAGTGCTCATAATTATTGTACACCTCTTCAAATCCGGGTGTAGTTGATCTGTTTGTGGTTGGGCAGAAGGTAAAGATTTTTTTAGTATTACCTCGAGTTTTGGCTTTCGATGGTGTGTACCTTTTTCGAAGCCCACCACATTTTTCGATGAGACATGCAGCACAGGGTTTCTTGGATGGGTTAGGGAGGAAACGAGTCTGTTTTGGTGGAGGAGGAGGTGCAGGTTGAAATGAGAATGGTACACTGCTTGATGGTTGGTTGAGGGAAATGGACTGTGCCTGTGGTTGTGATGGCACAACCAAAAGGATTGGTACTCCAGAAGCTGCTGATGGCATACAACGAGATGATGTCTTTGGAAGAAGTGGCAGCAACTTGGTTTTGGTTGGTGGCTCAACGGCATAAGATGTTGATGGTTGAGAGTCAAACTCAAGCCGCCTCTTTTCTCCATGCCGTTTTCCAGATTCGTGGGGGATATCTGAATATTGTACTTGCTGGAAAGTGGCTGCTGGCAGGGATTGAGGGAGCTTTCCGGCCTCTGGAATGGTTTGGGTAGATAGGACGTTACGATGGGATTTGACTTTTGGTTGCGTGGTGGATAGAAAGTTTGTCCTCTTTTCTTTTTTTGAGATGAAAGTGGTGATGGACTTTGCATTGATGTTTGGAAGAGGTATGTCAAGGTCAATGAGTACAGGATCATCCCGAACTCTGTCAACGATCCTCTTGTAGCTGCCTTTGATCAAAGTGGCAGCTTTCGCTGGTGATGACAGGCAACCAACCGTTGGCCGATTCTTTAACATTTTAATGAGGATGTAAAGAAGTCGTGACTCCTCCGTAACCTCTGCTGCTCTCATCCATCCAAATTTCGTTTTTTGGGCAGAACTATTTTCTGGGCTTTCTGGTCCTAAACACCTACCAAACAGACTATACCCCCACTTTGACTCGTATTTCTTTACAAAATTACGAGCAGACCGATCATGGTCAGCCAGTTTGTTGGCAGCTGCTGCGATTTGCTCCCTCAGAGGGACTGGGATGATGTGATGGTCGCCGTTATCAGACAGCTGAAGGAGTAGAAGGGCAAGCTCCTCTACTTCCTGAAAGCCAGGGAGATGAAGATGGCTTCGTTTCATCAGTACATCCTCGAGCACTGGGCTGACCTCCTCTGTCACCTGCTCCTCCTTCGTCACAGCAGCATGGGCAGCATGGACTGAATCCATGTGGTTTACTGGAAGGGAACTTTCATCATTGTCATCCTCAATTCCCTCGTCCTCTGACTCTGCCAACTCCTCGTCGACCTCACGAGATTGCTCTTCAGCTGTAAAATGAAAGCAGAAAAAAAAGAAAAGCATATAAATAAACTACATAAATACTTAAAACTCATTTACAGTGTTTTGTTTGACAATACAAGGAATATTAGGGTATATGATTTGGGGTGACAGAAAAAAAAACAGACTGTTTTGCCAAAATACTTATTAATTAACTGACTGTAAGCAGTGTATCACACAAGAATTTATTTTATTCAAATAAATTACAAATTATACCACATGTATGAACTAACATAGATTTAACATTGCAAACTAATCTATGAAAAAAGTTGCTGACCTTTCTGTATGTAGTCGGTAGACTGGCTGTACGCATATTCTACTCCCAACAGCTCTTCCTCTGCAGGGTCGTGATACCTGTCCGGATAGGCCATGGGAGCTGAAAAATTTGGCTCGAATAGATGATCCTTCCCAAAGAGGGTCTCTGCATGCTGGTTGAGACGTTGGACCTGTCTGGGATCATCCAATGATGTGAGCCTACCTCGACCCCAGGAACCTTCTTTGCCTCCATTCGCCTGTTCCATTGGACCGCAAATGAAATGAGATACACCTGGGGGGGGGGGGGGGGGGGGTAAGGGGATGAAAGAAATTTGGAATTTAACAAAACAGATAACAGATCATGCAATTAGAATACAACATTATAATGAATGCATAATATGCACACCAGTTATATTATTAAATGAGTGATCATCTGACTGGCTGACAGAGTTCAAACAACTGAAATATAAATTTGTAGAGGTTTGACATTATATATATCTATTGTTGTTAAAATAAAATCTGAGGCAAGTGTGTTTACTTGGAATGGTATTATCCCGCATCGCTTTGAAGGGATGGCTTGATACATGTGGGAATGTAGTCCTTCTAGGGAGTTGCTGCCTCTTCGACAACGGTACTTGTTCAGCTGTACCCTGTTGATATTTACAACTTTGGTTGCCACATACAGCTGAATGTATGGTGGATCCTAGAAATGGATATGGATAATTAAGAAATGGAAAACCAATTAAAGACATTTATAGAGTGTATGGGAGAGAATAATATTTTCTTGCTTTTAGTTCTCACTGCAAGGAAGAAAAAGATAATAATACCAATTTTTAATACACCACTTTCTGAAAAATGCACAAAATGCATCAGATAGATACCAAAACTATCTGTGAGTGCAAGAATTAAAAATACCTCTATCATTGCTATCAATAAAATTCAAAAAATTAGTAAATGAGCCTTAGTAATACACATATTTACACATACTATTTAACACAATGTAAAATCTCACCTGCATGCAACTCAAATGCTTGCTTGCCATGGCCCAACGAGCATCAACGGCTTCTGGGGACTTGAAAAGCGGTATCCCGTCTATGTCAAGGCCAGCTGGTCCCTTAACTCAGATAGGATGTGCTCAATTGCACAGACACTCTCCTGAAGAATTATAAAACACAACAAAAAGGGACAAAAATAAGTAACGCCATACAGATTATAAATTTAAAAAAAGGATTAAACAAAAATAGGATTAAACAAAATTTTATTGATGTACTGCTAGTTTCCACGGGGGGGGGGGGGGGGTAGTTATGTTTAGTTAATATCCAGATGATTTAAACATTTTCACTATAACAAAGAGCACAAAACATTAAGTTTTAATGGAAATGTCTGTTGCATTAGATAAATTGATTTATATTGTGCCCGTAAAGATGGGGGAGGGAATATGTATATGTAGTGAAAGAAAAGGGGGTATTAAATTCAGAAAGATGAAAGAAAAAAAATCTGGACATTGATCGTCATAGATGGCAGTGTTGGAGTATAACAATCTCTCAGAACGTTTACATATAAGAAGCGTTATTTACGGATTGTATCAGAAGAACAATTTCCATGATCCAGATTCCAAGTGAGAACTCATCGGTGATTGAAGCCTAGATATCAATACAAATCTGAATATAACACTCACCTGCAGCAATTGTTGTCTGCATAGACCTTTGGCGCTGGGACATTGGCACGTTTAAAACGTGCAATGAGTCCCTGAGCAAGCCTTCTGTAGCAGTCCTCAGACTCAGAGGCAACACACAACAGTGCTGACAAACTGTCCCCATTCATTGAGCACGCTGGTGACGAAATGCATGGTGCCTTTTACATCTCCGTGAATCTTCTTAGGTATCTGTAAGGAGAAAACAAACAATTAATATCTTCTTTTTGGGGGGTCAAAATATGAATATGAGACATTTTCTATTATATCGCACTATTTATGAAACACAACATTTCATTGCTTTTAATTTTTACTAGAATTTTAGTCTTTCATGTTCTTAGTTCTTCCTTTTTATATATTTTATTGTAGTATTACTGTAACAGTAACCAAAATAAAACAGTTTAAAAAAAAATACACACCTGTTTTGTACCATCTATACACAGTATCTCTCCTGTCACACTCAAGATGGAAGCTCTGTACACGGGCATCTTCCAGGGGCGTCGCCAAAGGGGGGGGGGTGTGGGGGGTGCGACACCCCCCCCCACCTGTCAGGATATGTCGGTAAAATTGCGCTGCCGTCGGGGAAAAAGAGAAAAGGGGGAGGGGAAAAAATGAGAGGGAAAAAAAGAGAGGGGAAAAAGAGAGAGGGGAAAAAAGAGAGGGAAAAAAAGAGAGGGAAAAAGAGAGGGAAAGGAAAGAAAAGAAAAAAAGAAAAGGAAAAGAAAAGAAAGAAAGGAAAAGAAAGAAAAGAAAAGAGAAGAAAGAAAGAGAAAAGAGAAAAAAAGGGAGAGAGGAAAGAAAGGGGGGGGGAAGAAAAAAAAAAGGGGAAAAAAGAAGAAATAAGAGTGAAAGGGAAACAAAAGAAACGGGAGATGAAAAAGAGAGAGAGAGATGGGAGGTAAGAGTCTGAGAGAGGAGGAGTGGGAGTAAAAGAGAGAAGGGGTTGTTGGGTGGAGTCGTCTCGTCGAGGGAGCAAGAAAGACACGGGTAAATATGTTGCTGTGTCGGGTCAGCTGTGTCGGTATTCTTGCTCGATCCTCGTGTACTATATCAATGCAGAAGTTTGAAGTCGGTGAGATGTTGTCGGTCGGAAAAACTGAATTCAGACAAGGATAAAGAGTCGAGAACAGTACACCGAGTCGTCTGCTATTTCTCATAATTTAATGAAACGTCAAAGCTTCCGCGCTTTGCGCGGGGGAGGGGGGGGGGACTGAATTCAGAAAAGGATAAACAGTCGAGAACGATACAGCAAATCGTCTTCTTTTTATAATAATTTAATGAAACGTCAAAGCTTTCACGCTTCGCGCGGGAGGGGGGGGGGAACTTCGTTCAGCCAAGGATTACCAGTCGAAAACGGTACAATTAATCGTCTTTTTTCCTAATAATTTAAGGAAACCTCTAAGCTTCCGCGCTTCGCGCGGGAGGCCCATCACCCACTCCCCCCCCCTAATGAGCGCGCTTTAAAGTGATTCTCTTGCTCACTACCGCCCCTCCCTAAAATAAGATCCTAGCTCCGCGCCTGCATTAAAAATATAGCTATGATGCGACTAAATTGAAGAAATAATTCGTATATTTATGTCGTCGAGGAAAATGACCATTTTGCGCATATGCAAGTACTATAGATAGTCCATAGGAAAAAACAATTTAGCTTCGGCCCCAGGTTTATAGGGTTGAATTTGTAGATATTGGACATTTAATTTGTCGGTAATTGGTGGCTAGTTTTGTCGGTAATCGTTGGCCTCTACACCCCCCACTGAAAAAGGTCTAGCGACGCCCCTGGCATCTTCTCCATCTCCATGATGAGATGAGCTCTCCGTAGGACACGGGGGGATGGAAGGGGTGGAGATGGGATAGGCGGGGTGTAGTGATGGTCAGTGTAGGAAAGTATGCCTCGCTGGGATGTGGATGTCGTGGTGGCGTTATGGGCTTCCATAAGGAGAGTCTGGTAGAGATCTCGCCGCTCACTATACCATTCATCGTGACCCTGTTGAATCATCCTCTGCACTTTGTTCATGGATATTGCATTGAGACGATCACTCAACAGGGTCACTACATTTCTGTCTATGGCCCGCTTTCCACAGATAATGGCCGGGAACATACTTCGAACTGCAGAGGCAAGTTGCATGAGGATGGTCGGACTGAAGGCATGCCAGCGATATTGTACCGCTGATCATCGCCTTGGACTGCTGACGATGACGCATGCAGAACAGGCACTTCAGGCGTTCGGTCAATAGGGTGTGATTCTGCCTCATGCCGCACACCTGACGGGCTGTATTGCCATAGCCACTTCTTGTTAATGGCCCGGTCCCCTGGCCGACGGACACAAAACGTATGCATAAAGGACACAGCGGACGAGCAAAATTTCGAGGGTGGTTCCATCCGTTTTCATCCGCTCCAGAAATGGACAAAATTTGCGAAAATTTGCGAAAACAGAACGGAAAAAACGGACGGGGTAGTATGTAGCGGGGATGTTAAACGGATGTTCATCGGAAGCCTAGCGGATAAAAAGCGGATGGAAGTGGATGACAGCTTTGAATACTTTATATACGAGATGTATACGCTTACATCCTTTCTATTTCGTGCTACTAACGATGTATAGACGTTCATGTACCTTATCTTTCCTCCCTCTGTCCGTTTTCAACTGCAGCGGATGTGAGTTGCGAGGATGCCCAGAGGATACAGAGAGGATGCAGCGGACGCTTAACGGATGATAACGGACATAGAACGTTTGTTGCTCGTATTTGTCGCGGATTTACATCGTACACGGCGGAAGTTTATCCGTTCTAAAAGTTTTGTGCAGCTCAAAACTTTTTGCGCGGATGAAATCACAGTGGACGGATGCCCGATGGATAGAGCGTATGAAACACGTATGCAATGAGTACACAAACGGATGCATAGCGTTTTCCAACGGATGGCAAGATTTTTTTACGTTTTACATCCTCTTTGCATCCGTAAGTGCAGTGGGACCGGGCCTTAAGAAGCTACCTTGTGGAGCAGGGCAGTTAGGATTGGGGACATCTGATCTTGGCTTCCATCACTCCAACTGGCCTCCAGAAGAAGACGGGGGTTGTAAAAAAAGATAGCATGGACGGCACGTTCCTCTGACTATCGTAGGGAGAGGAGGGGGATTAAATGTCATCTTCTTCTTAAATATCTTGCGAACGCAGTTGCTCGTTCAAAGATGCCGTAAGGCCCATCGCTCTTCAGCCAGGGGACATTTGGCCGAAAACATACCCTGCCACCTGTGGTGGAGGCTCATCCCATATTGTTGCTACCCTTCCTGTACTGTGGAGCACTCTGCAGATGTCGATGTTGAGGGCACGTCTTCAGGTGATGTGGTGTGACGAAGGTATCAGCTTTCCAACTGTTGTCA